AGACGCAACATGGGCTACATTGATGACATGGCGGTTCGTTGTGGCAGGGTGTTATCAACGATGTAATTCGAGACGCTGGGGTTTGCAGCACGAGAAACCCATCAGCCCATCTCATGCGGCGTGCTGTGTGTTTGCAAACTCGTCTTCACACCGTTGAATTCGCTCGCTAGTCAGATACTGCGTACGGAGTAGTTCCAAAGCATCCAATGATGATGTATCAGATATCAGGGCCCAGAGCCCATGGTGTTGTGCTGACGGGACACGGCCAACGAGAGAGAAGAAAAAAGAGGCGCATCAAGACGAATATCAACAACAGCAGACGACGGCCATTGTCGTGTCGTGTCAGTTGTCGCAACGAGAGCTTACGACGCGGCTCTGATGGCAGGGGCGTTGGGAGTTGGGAGATGGTCGACGCCGAATATGCAACCGCGTCGTGAGATGTGAAGCTGTCTCCCATTTGACGTTTTGTGCGCCTCAACGGAGACCGTGAGACCGAGCAATTATCGAAAGGCCGTTGAGGGTTGACATTGGCAAACTGGTCAGGTGACTGGTCGACCGTCCTGGCCAATCAGTTGCAAATCGCCAGACGTGCGCCACACAAAATTCTGAGCGATCTCCAGGCCCGTCAGATCTTGTGCGAATCGGTCACTTCAACCCATCGGTCTGTCTCGCGAGGCTTGGATTGGGCTTTTCAGCTTGGGGCGGCTTCCCTGACCGGCCATTGGGCCATGGCCGCGCCGCAGCAGAGCACACAGGTTGTGCAATGTTATATCCGAACCCACGCACGCAGTTCGTGCCACTGCTTATGCAAGCCCTCTCGAGCACATACTACCAAATTATCTGGGAGCACGAAAACGGCCTGGGGGGGGATCCCCGCCAGGGAACAGACCTGAATCTGACTTTCCCCATTTCGAAAAGGCATGGCTTGCGGAGTTGTCCATGCATGTTTACAATGTGGATATCGTGATACAAGGCTGCTGTTGGTTACGCCTCTGTTACGAATGTTACCAAGAAGTGGTGGCGGTGGTCAGGTCCGTGGCCGAACCCCTCTCCTCAAAGTCCAATCTCACGTCGCTGAGTGGCATGGTATTGACGTGGTTCAAAAACAAAAAGTCTACTCCTCACCTACTAGTACCTAGGCACGAGAGTATCGATACATTGGTAGCCGAGTTCTGCCTCCGCGCACCCTCCAATATCAAGAGGGCCAGACAAGGTTCCAGATTTATCCTCCGATATCGACTCCCGGCCATCTGAACCAGCATGACGCGCGCCCTGGCAAGTTGCATGCTCCATATACGGAGCGCTCCGTGGCAATTACATGGCAGGCAGGCATGGACTGATTCTGCTACGTCGGTCAGTCTATTTTCATGTTGCAATGCATGATGCCGCGCTGGATTGGGTGGCTGCGGCTCCGTTCTCGAGCCAACGACGCGTTGGTCCGGGAAGCATCGCGCCGCCAACAGCGCCTTCTGATACACGTTCCATGCGCCAGCTACCAAGGCCCTTGTTCACGGTGAAAACACGTCTATAACGATGCTGTGTTGTGGCAATTTCGCGCGCACGCCTGGGGGTGACGTACCTTTCACACAAGTTGAGCATGTAAAAGGGACTTCTTTTTCACGGCGATATTCTGCCTAGATCTTGCTGTGTTATACATACAACTATAGCTATACCTCCAAGAAAATTGGCTATACCCCTAAGGACTTGGATTGCCTTGTCAGCCTTATCGCACTAACAAAAGTACTTTTTTTCCTAAACAGGCAGTCGCATCTTGACGATATATTCCCTGTCGTCGTCGGGTCATAACGATAGTAAATCCGTCACAAAAGACATTGTTATAGACCTGGTTTACTGCACCAAGCTGAATTGCAAGGCCCAGGACTAGACCTCTTTCTGCCTTTGAAATTGATACCTGATGCGCAGTCATCCAATTTCAACCTCCACTCCTGCGCGGTGAGCAAGCCTCCTTGTCCAGAGGTGGCGGGCAACGTACTTGCGCCAGGCGTGTGAAACAGACAAACCATGAAGAAAGAACTTGAAGAAAACTGAACCATCCAGAGTAGACAGGGTCGTCAAAGTCATCCTTTCACTCCCACATCACGACGGGACCGATGGGCGGGTCGGTGTTGCAGCTGTTGGGGTTCGGGCCAGCACCTGGTCTGTTGGACCGAAACCACAGGCCACGTTGGGGGTCTTTGTTTTGTTCCTGAGCCTCTTTGTCGAGACCGAAATTATTGCCCGGTGGCATCGTCTTATTATAGTGATACGGAACTAAATGCGGGCAAAATGTGGCTTTGCACTGAACGAGACACGGCCACGGCGTGTACCTCATGTCTCTGGAGATTTTAACGAATCCGTCTTGAAGTGTGCTGCGACGCGCACGCTTCGTGCGACCTCTGCTTCTCGATTCGCTATTTCTCTCGCTATCAATGTCACTATCGCCTATGCTCGCTGTGTTGGCTCTGCGGCGGGATGGGCGGCCGCTAAACACTGGCAAAAGACTTTGCTTCTCCAGCAACAAGGCGGTCCTTGAAGCATGATTCAGAGGCGATGACTCTGAAATCTCGTGAAGTGGCCATCACTATTGTTTCAGTAGCAATGCTGACCCCGTTGGAGCTTTGTGAGAGATGTGCTGCAACGGCAAAACAATATTCCGCATTGGTCATCGCGACCCGACAAAATAACCCAACTGGATCAGACTTCATAGCTTAATCACCTCTCCAGACGACAGTTCTGACTCTCCCCTTATTCATGCTTAATCAGATTGTTAGATGATGGCGTAAAGCTGTCAAGTATACACCTTTTTTTTTTGGACTGCCGAGCACCTTGATTGGCTCGGGTGCCGTTTCGACTACTTCACGAATCAGGACAACAGCGGTGTTGCCAGACGCGGCTCTTAGTGACTATATAAATCTGTCAAATAAGGGCAAAGACTCCCATATAATCAAGCACTATAGCATACAGAAAGATATTAAGCGCCTTGCGGCGTCTAGCTTGCCTGAGATGAAAAGCTTCAGCATCAAGACGCTCCTAGTGGCCGACAAGCTCCCGTTTAGGAAGAGCTGGTAAGAGCGGCATATAGCGAGATGTAGTTCCAGGCTGAAGCTTTCTTGTAGAGTTGCAGGCCCTTAGGCTTTCCACGCTAGCTGTTCTATTTATTGACCTCCATACGTCATTTTCCGTCCCTGCAGTCGACTCGACAAAACCAGGGCCTGCCATTGACAAGCTATAATCGTCGCCCGAAGATCGAGAGGCAGCGCCGCAGATACAATCAGCGACAAGATAGATCTTGCAGCGCTCTAGGCTATAAATCTCGAGACAGATCATCGCGCACAACGCCGGTGAAATGGTCCCAGAGTGGCAAAAGTGACCTTTTGCAACTCTCACCTCGCTTTCTATCCTGGTAAAACACCAGCGTAAAAAGGTATCAAACGGCTGATTATGATGATTCTCCTTGAACTAGTGCTCTTTGATGAATCTCCAGCTCAGCAAAGTACTCCTCAATGGGACTAAAATCAGGGAAACATGGGGGCAAGAACAATATTCTTACTCCAGCCGCTGCATACGTTCGCCAGATCCTTTTAGAACGATAGAAGGACGCATTGTCCGTTAACGACAGATTTGGAGCAGGGAACTTGCCAAGGAGCGGCAGTAGCTCCTCGGTAAATTCTCAAAGACAGCACTACAGTAGATCCCCGAGATGTTTGCGTGTAAAATTCCATCCTGGGTGGTACGCAGGTAGAATCTGAATCTTTTTATCCCAGCGTAAAATCGTTGACGTGCGCTGCCGCTTGGCCAAACGGCGCCTATCCCCCGTCACGTTTCGCGGCAAGCTTATTGCAGCCTGATTCATCGACGAAGTTGAGTGATGCAGCGCACACTCGTTCTCTACTAGCTGTCTCTACAAGTAGGAAAGTTCGCAACAATAAGATACGTTGCCTGGCCACACGTCTTGTCTTCTTCCAGGACCAACCCGTGCTTGTGGTCCACAAGTCAAGCAGCTGACTGACAGACATCTCTAGACCAAAGTGTTCCTCTACATGCAAGACGATGTCTCCTCTTTCCATGCAGGCATGTCCCAAGAGCAAGACACATACTGCATCCACCATGTATCGGCGCATCGTTCATATGGTGCCGGTCCGCTCCATCTCGCTCGTAGCCCGCGAATAGTTCTGTCGGTAGCCGCAAAGTCATCAGCTATAACCTGATTCGGAGGTGCTCTAAAAATCGAGCCATGACCGCGTCGTGCTCGCAGGCATCTTTACGTGCGCAGCAATAACTAATGTGCTTGATACTACAACGCAAATAGATATTAGAGATGACGCGGTACATGACTCGGACAGTGAAAACACGCTACAAGCCACAGACGCCAAAGGTGGTGGTTGTTGGTGCTTTTGGATAACAAAAACGGTGCAGGCGGTATCAACGACTCACGAGTGCGTATCGTTGGCAACCAACCAGTATGTCGACGTCCCCGGCCGAGGCAGCTTGGCAGCGCAGAATACTCCAGAGGCACGGTGTCCTTCTTTTTGACTAGTATGCGTGACGAAAGCGCTCGGCGTTGACGACACTTCCCAGCTTCGTTGCCCAGCATACGGCTGCAGTCTATGCTCTTGGTCATGGCGGCCAACTGTCGCCTCTAGACGCAGACTAAACGCAAGCAATGTGATGCACGAGCATGTAATGTATCAGTGATTTCTCTGCTTCCAACCATGCACGACCCATCCCTGTCCTTCGCCCTTCTCCTTATAAATGAAAAGCGTCAACGTGGGCCATCCGTCGGAATGGCTTCCAACACAGCGCCACCAGGCGGCTGAGCTTAAATTGAACATGTGTAGCGAAATGTCGTTGCAGGAAAAGAGATATTCCGTACCCCATATTACCACTAGCCTAGGGGTTTTATTTCAGGAAAAAAAAACCCCCCCTTCAGTAAAGAAAACAGACAAGACGCACCAGGGGAGACCTTGGGTCGTCAACAAGTCGCGATATATTCCCGTTGCTCACCCCGAGTCCGCCAATCTCCTCCTCTTTGCCAATCTCCTTCCGGCGACAGAATTGTAATCACTGGTCGCCATTGCCAACGACGACCTGACGTCGTGGTAGCCAACCGTCGACTCTGCACGCTGCGCCCCTTCATCTCCGCTTGAAGCGTCCGCCCCAACAATGCCCTCTGTAAATACCAAATCACCCCGTTGTCCAAGGATCTCCCTGCTGGCTTCTTCGAGCAAGATCCCAAAGGCGAGCAGAGCGGTTTCGTCCAAGCTCTGTTCGTCAACGCCTCGTTTTCCCATGATGCTGCTGCTATTGCCTGCCCCTGCCTCAGCTCCCTGATTCATCTCGCTCCTCCTTCGTTCCATGGCTCCATAGAACTTGCTGGCGTACGCATGGACCGACTTGAGAAGATCGCTGTCGGGCAGAATGTCCCTTCCGCCTTGTGGCAGGTCCCTCTCGTGCGCGTTGTACACGTCGTGCTCAACATACCGCACCGGCGCCTCTTTGCGACGGAAGAGCACCTCGTCGGGCGCTATGGGTGTGCCATGAGTAGGGTGCCTTGTAACTCTGGGTTGCTGTTCCTGCCGTTGGTGGGAGCGCCTATATGAGTTGTTTTGATCTGATCTCTCATTTCTGAGAGCCGTATCTTTGGTGACCCTGCCTGCGGTCTTGTTAACCTCACGTGATTGAATGGGAATGCTTGGTTCTTTTGCCCGTTGCATGTCTTTTTTTTTTTTTTTTTCAAGAGTAGTGCTTTGTTAACTTACCCGCGACGGCGTCGTAGATGGTTGCTAAGCGGCGGTGAGGCGAAATCGGATCTCCCTCGTCAGAGGGACTGGAATATCCAGCATTCTCGTCTTCGACTGCGACTGAGGGGTGCTGCTCGTCCTTTGTCTGGACGTCCATCTTGACACGGTTGCAAGCTTGAAAAAGTGAGAAGGACTGTGATGGAAAGACGTTTGCTCGGCACAACTCATCAAGAGATGGGTTTCGTGGAGAGTTTATCGCGCAACTGTGTCTGCCTGATCGTCATTGTCCCGCGGAGATGTCGTTTCCTAGAGCCAAGGAGGATATTTGCCTTCATGCTATGAGGTGTGAGTACAAGATGAAGTCGTAAGCTGTTGAGGCTTCAGGGTGAGGTTGAAAGTCGTGGGGCAAGGGCGGGGCCCCACATGGCCACAACATCTACTGGTACCTAAGTTCTTGAGGGAGGTAGGTACATAGCTAAGTATAGGCACCTAAGGTAGGCACATACCTACCTTAGGTACCTAGGTAGGTACCTATGTACTTACCGCTGCGGACCTCGACAAGTCATCCATCTACGACTTCAACTCCGAGAGCATCGTCGTGCTCCGGGTCCTGATGCGTCTCTTCCATCAAACACATGTAACCTCCGACTGCGCGTCGTCTCGATGAATGCAGCCCCGCCTCCTGTCGCGTGAAACGGGGGATTTGAGCCCCGATGATCTCTCCAAAGCGGTGTACCAAGACCTCATCCGGAGCTTTGCGCCCGCACCACAGCACCGCTTCAACGGCGAAATAGCACCTCGGACGTCTCCCGAAGGGACTCCAGAGCGAGCCCACAGTATCCGCGCCCATGGCGCCGGCGTGAGAAGCCTTGCGCTCGAAAAGTTCGACGGCCGCATCCTCGTGTCAGGCGGCTCAGAGGGCTCTGTCAAGATATGGGATCTCGACGCCGCCCCGACCCCCAGTCACCCGCACGTCTTCCGCCCCGTGAGCACAATAGCTCGTTCGACCGGCTCTTTTGGCGACGGCAAGGTCGGCGGCCACACTCACGGCATCACGCATCTGGACTTCTATCCGTTCGACCCGGACGCCTTCCTGTCAAGCTCCTACGACAAGTCGCTCAAGCTCTGGGCAACCCAGCGCTCTGCCCTCACGGCAGACTTCGACCTCAATGCCACCATATACTCGCACGCCATGAGCCCCGTCGCGCAGCACCTCCTCGTGTCCTGCGCGACGCAGCACTCCAACGTGCGTCTGGTCGACCTCAGATCCGGCTCCGCCGTCCAAGCACTCGTTGCCCACGGCGGGCCTGTCCTCCGCACGTCATGGAGCCCGCGGCACGAGCACATCCTCGCTAGTGGCCATGCCGACGGCAGAGTGCGCATATGGGACGTTCGCCGCGCGGGGGGTGTCATTGCACAACTCGACCAGGAGGATTCATTGGGCGTGCTTCACCGGTTTCGGCACGCGACGGCCTCGGGCAAGGACTGGAGCAGCGTGCCGCACTTCCGGGCATCTGCCCAGGCGCACGACGACGCCGTCAACGGACTGCAGTGGACCGACGATGGCAAGTACATCGTGTCGGCGGGGCTGGATCGCAAGATTCGCGTATGGGACGCGGGGACGGGAGCAAACACGCTCGCGAGTTTCGGGCCACTGATTCGAAACCAGCATGCCAAGACTGCTGCCATGATTGTCACACCGCCGGGCCTGTCAAACGGCAGGGAGATTCTGGTCTGGCCCAACGATCACGAGATACTGCTGCTTGACCTGCATGATGGGAATGTGATGATGAGGTTGCGCAGCCCCGGTTCCGTGAACCCTGCAGGCCCTCGGGGCGGAGAGGGCAGAAACAGGATCACCACGATTGTATGGCGAGGCGCCGGGGGAGGATGCGGACGCATCGGAAGAGTCATGGGAGGTGGCAACTCGGTAGGTGCGATTTACAGTGCTCACTCGGACGGTCAGATTCGCGCGTGGATGCCGCAGATCCCGGGACCCGACGACGTGGACGAGACGCAAGATGTTGACGACGACGAGGAGACGCGGAGAAGGAAAAGAAAGGCCGTGGATAGTGCGTATAGGAGCTTGATGGGCCGACAGATAACGTTCACCGGCACCGACCGGTAAATGTGTTTGACTTGAAAAAATCAATGTATATTCTGTCCGTCCTCAATGATGCCGGGCTATGTAATGTAAAAACAAAACCCATTGCCAGGAAGAGATGAACGCCTCCACTCCCAAATGCCATGCCATCTCGAATCCCCATCTACACATCTACACCGTCACCACCAAGCACAGCCAGCCATCAGGGTACGCTGCCTCCCGCATGAGTTCCCCCAAAGGCGCGTCAAAAGGCACGCCGGCGCCATGCATGACCACGCCGGCCAACACGGGATCCCTACTGCTCGGGAACAGTTTCGGCATCATCTCTTTCAGCGCCTGACCCAGCAGCTTGGGCTTGCGATCCGCACCCGTCGCCGGCACGAGGGACTGCATGATCCTGAAGCAGCCAGCGTCCCCCGACCCGGCCGGGCCTTGATGCCCCGGCGCAGAGGGGATGTATATCCGCATGGGGACGTGCCTCAGGGCAGAGGGCGCATTCAACAGCCTCGCATTGACCTTGGCAAACGATGCGTGGTCATTGTCGACGACGGCGTTCCAAAGCTGCGTGGTGTGCTCCTTGGACATTTTCATAATCTGATTCGCGTTGCCGTTGCGCACAAAGTCTGCCTACATGGTTGCGATTAGTTCCTCCTCCCCGTTCACGTCGAAGCCGGGAGCGTCTGCGGGTAGAAGATGGGTTTACCTCCTTGACGCAGTTCAGGAACGTGTCTCCGATATCCCACCCTACCCCGTCACTGACCACCAGTCGAAACGGCAGCGTCGGCTGGTACAAGTCGACCAGCAGGCCGACGGCTAAATTCCTCAGCTGGACGTCCTCAAAGTGGAAACTCGAGCATGCCGAGCCGAAGAAGGCGGAGAGTCGGGGGAGCAGTAGCGCGAGGTATGAAAAGCGCGGGACGCTGGTGATGAACGGGTGGGTGGGTGATGAGGCGTGCGTGATGTGGAGGGGGATACGGGCGTCCCAGAGAGTCTGGGCAATCGAGGAGGCGGCGGCCATCATAGAGGACACATGGTGAGGATGGAGGAGTTTCGGCAAGGTTGCGGGATGCCTGACGTGGGTGAGTGCGTGCTGGTTGGGCGAGGCTGCATGTTGTTTGATCCGTTGATGGATATTTGTAGGATGCCTGAGTGCCACGCCGAGTTGGCGGCGGGGTGCTTACTGCTGAGATAATGCAGAGGCACAGAGACCCACTTTCCCCCTCGGGCGGTTATGTAGGTCAAGGGGAATGGACAAAGTAAGCCCATTGCTTTTATTTGCTTGGTGCTTGAACCGGCACACGTCAAGGTATGAATTGGGCCAATATCCTGCTTGTACCTGGCATCATAGGTAGGTTTGCAAGTTGCAACCAGGGGTCAAGGTATAGTGCAAGTTCAACCTTGACAAATCAAGCACGTCAGACGTCACAAGTATAATGATAAAGCAAAGTACCGCGATCATGTCAAAGCTGCTTCAATATTCGCACTATTCATACATCAAAACTCGTAAAATCATGACTTCTCCCTCAGTAGCCACGGTGCTGTTCCTGATGCGAAACACTGTGTCTCTTGGCACGATCATGCGAAGAATCCTCATGTTCAACAGTTGGGGCACCTATATGCTTCTGCAGAACGGAAGGAGGTACCTGCGCCGCGTCTGTAGGATCCTTGTGGTCTAGAGACTCAGCCCTGCATTGACTAGTTAGATATTGTGAAAGAGTCCAGTGAGACGAGTTGGCACACACTATTTAAGGCTGCGCGTACGTCTTGTTACCGCCGACGGTCTTGCTGCCGTCCAGATTGCTGTCGACGCGAGGGTCGATCTTGTTCAACATGTCGGACTTGTGGGGCCCGGCAGTGTTCGGGGCCGGGCCGGGGCCGGAGCCAGTGGTGCCGGCAAGAGTGTCATGAGTGCCGTGAGCACCGGTGGTAGTACCGGCAGCGCCGGCATGAGTGCCGTGAGTGCCGTGAGTGCCGTGAGCACCGGTGGTGGTACCGGCAGCGCCAGCATGAGTTCCGTGAGTTCCGTGAGTGCCAGTAGTGTCGGCGTGGGATCCGTGGGTGCCAGTAGTGGCAGATCCGTGAGGGTTTGCCCCTAGATTACGGCTGTAGTCTCGGTCAGAGTCAACACGAGGATCGGCCTTGTTGGCCAGGTTGGAGCTGTGAGGGCCGTCGGTGCGAGTGGCTGGGCCATCAGTGCCGCGATTGATACCAGTAGCACCAGCTGCGCCGCCGGCGAAAAAAGCAGAGTTGTCCCCAGTGCCAGTGTGAGTTCCCTGACCACTGGTGAGGCCTGAGGTGCCAGATGTGCCAGTAGTGGCAGTCCCGTGAGGGTTAGCTCCCAGGTTTCGGCTGTGATCGCGGTCAGAATCGACACGGGGGTCGGCCTTGTTGGCCAAGTTGGAGCTGTGAGGACCATCAGTGCGAGTGGCAGGACCGTCGGTGCCACGGTTGGCACCCGTAGTACCTATGGCGGCGCCAGTAGTGCCCGCCGAGCCAAGATCGCCAGTCGTTCCAGTCGTTGCAGTTCCGTGAGGGTTTGCTCCCAAGTTGCGGCTGTAGTCTCGGTCAGAGTCAACACGGGGATCGGCCTTGTTGGCCAGGTTGGAGCTGTGAGGGCCATCGGTGCGAGTAGCTGGGCCCGTAGTGCGGCCACTGTCATGAGCAGCAGTGCCAGCAATACCACTGCCGGCGATACCACTGCTGGCAACACCACCGTGATGCTGAGGACCGCCGACACCAGTTCCAGTAGAGGCGCCACTATAGCCAGGGAGGTCATGAGTAGCTCCAGCGCCGGTGGTGGCAGTTCCCTGCGGGTTCATGCCCAAGTTCTTGCTGTGGTCGCGGTCTGAGTCGACACGAGGATCGGCCTTGTTCAACAGGTTGGAGTTGTGAGGACCGTCAGTCTTGGAGGCCGGGCCGGAGGCACCACCTACATGGCTGGTAGTCGTGGTGTCAGTGCGAGGCTCAGTGGAGCTGGATGTGTGAGTGCCAGTGGTGGTGGGATGTGTCGAAGAAGTAGTCCCTTCCGGTTCCGTGGTCTTGCTCTTGTCGGAGTGAAGAACATCCTTGACTTTGTTGACGATGGAAGACATGGTGGCTGGTAATCTGTTGGGATGTTTGGTATCCGTGGTATCCTAGTAGTGAGGGTATGCGGTTGTTTGATCGGGTATAAAAGATAAAATGCCTTGTGTATAAGTGCTTTTGGTGTGATTGACTGTTTCGGATAAACGGGATTTACGTAGCCCCAACCACAGGTTTATATAGATGGAGAAGGACATTGCACGAGGCCGTGGCGTTGCCGTTTTCGATCCTCAGACGATGAAATCATTAGCATCCCCCGATGGTAATCTCCGCCACAGATCACGACCGACTTACCTGATCCTTGAGCCCTTTCGTCATAGGGACCGTGGGTAGGAACGCCGTGGCCACGCCTGGTTTCATCCAAATCACATGGCGGCGGCGGTTACGAGGCCCCGTTTGAACACTGCATGGTCATGCTCAAACAGCCATTGGCTTGCCATGGTGTCCCGTATGCTATCCAGCCCATTAAAGTGGAGGACCATGGTAGATGCTAGATTGTAAGCGTCATAACGGCCCTCCTGTGACGTGCAAACCAGGCTCCTCGGCGCCGGATGCTTGTCTCCGCCATGGAAAGCTTGGTTGTGGCGTTCGGGTGAGCAAAGAAGCACACAAAGAAGGTCTGGTTGCACGTTACAGGTCAAACAACAAACACGGAGACCGGTAAGTTACACGGCACACGGCTCCGTTGGGTCGCCACTAACAATGCGTTGGTCTGGAGAAAAGCTGATGCAAACAGGGAGCTGGAATGACGCAACGTGGAGTCGATAATCCGACGATGATACGATCAGGTCAAATGGAGATGGGACGTGCGGCAAGACGCGACTGCAACTGCAACTGCAACTGCAACTGCGGCTGTGGCTGTGGCTGTGCCCGCGGCTGTGGGGTGCAGTGGCAGGAGAGCGAGCTGACAAACAGGGAAGGCACTGGGCAGCAGGTGCTACGCAATGTCATCATAGATTCCGTGTGGCTGGTGACCGTAGTCTGCCCGGCCGTTTGGAGTTTTGCATGAACATGTGCATTAAATCTGCAACATCTGACATCGGGCAACATGCTGCAACCAGACATCATGGCAACCTGCGTTTGCGCATCTTTGTCGAGTTGCGGGTCGACGGTCCAGAACAGAATCCAGGGCCGTCCGCTTGTGCTGCTTGCGCTCCTTTAGTCATCAGCGCCCAAAACACTAGAAATGAAATCCGACTGGGTAATCGTGCCCGCCCCACTTTATGTGGTTCGGCTAGCAAAAGCCCTCACCACCAAAGGTGGTGCTCGACAGCAAGGCGGGCCGGACACCAAGGCGGGCCAATTTTCAACCTAATAACGCTATTAACCTCTTCGCCTATAATGTACACCCTTCTCGTCCCAAATTTCTAGTAGATCTAGTACAGAATCCAGACGCCATTTACGTGCCTTTTTAGCTGCTTCAAAAAACGTCCTCTTGGCGTGGTTGTGGCGCCTTTTGTCGGCATGCTCTTTATGCTTGCTGTTCGCCTGATGAACTCGAGAAAGGTCTTTGCAAAGGCGTGATTGGAAGGAGAAACGGCGAATGGTTGACGCGACAGGTATGCATTTGTTGGCGGTGACGGGAGGGGAGCCATATGAAGAGGTGCATTATCTGTTGACTGTTTTTCTAGACCGGGAAATAAAAATAGGACATGTATAGAAAACCAGATATTACAGCCCTTTTTAAAAAAAAAATCAAAAAAATCAAAGGTCGTCACTCATTCATTGGAAGCTTCAACGAAAAAAAAAACCCCGGATGTAATTACGCAGCTCATTAAAGATCCACCTGATCAATCGCCGGCCACCATTGAGACCAGGCCCCCTGCTCGTCGAGGTTATTGCTGACTTCCGCGAAAAGCTGGTTCAACAAGGTATTAGTGTCGAGCTCGTGCTCGTGCTCGTGCTCGTGCTCGTGCCCTTGAACCGGCCAAGTCGCCTGCGCCGAGGGCCGCTCCGCGCCCCGAATCTCCCGAGTATGCGCGTCGGATCTATCCACGACACGGAACTCGTGGACAGACTGGTGTAGAGTATCAAAGTCTGCTCGTGTGCGCCCCTGGTATCGTGTCCGGTCCTCGGTTGCTCGCTCGTAGAGCACGGATGCATGGTGTATCGTTTTGATCTTGCGCGTGCCGCCCTCTCAATGTTAGCGCAACGGTGGCCACGGTCGTGTCATGCTTGCGGGCGGCTTACCCATCCGTCGGCGATTTTCCAGACAAGTCGAAACTTTTCCAGGTAGTCGAGACACATTTTGAGACAGTCGCTTGCTCGCGGGCTGCGGCCCAGGTTCATTCGGGGGTATTTCGCCACGTAGAGGTTGAGGTAGCCGGCTGAGAATGCGCAGAACCCGGCAAAGGGCGTCATGAGATGCACGCCACACTCGGAGGCCTCGTGTAGAATGGCGGCGATGTGCTCTGCCGCGCCGAAGAGGAGTCGGGAGCTGTCGTCCCACCAGCCCTCGGGGGCGGGCGCCCCCAGCATGGGCTGGTCGACTGGACCCCGTGGCTCCGACTCCGGGGTCGGCAGGAAGGGGAAGTACTCGCGGTGAAGCATGAGGGTGCTGACAAGGCGTAAGCAGGGGCGGCGGCGGCAAGTTGGGAGCCCCGTCGACCGCTACCGCTGTGGGAAGGGGATTCTTACCTCACGTAGTACAGGAGATTGAGGTAGACGAACGTCTCGCCTGGTGAGGGCTTTTGCTAGCCGAACCACATAAAGTGGGGCGGGCACGATTAGATGACGGGATTTGCCAAACTTGGCTTCGCATGCGCCGTGTTCTCTCGTCTTTACAAGATCTCGATCCTCCCCGATCGGCAAGCAACGTGCTCGTTCGGGCCAGCTGTTGCAAAGTGACATGGTCACATGGCCTTGGCCTTCAGTCGCCATTGCTTAAACCCCGTCTCATTAGGTCGTGTCTCATCTTTTTTCTTGATTGGACCGTTGTCGAGGGCAGAGTAGCATCATGATGGCTGTCAGAGCGGCCTATTGAGGCGTTGCGTGGTAACCTTAGCCGCAAAACCGAAGCAATCTTCACCACCAGAGGACAACAAGCGCTTGGATTTTAATACCACGAGGATTGATTCATACTAGTTACTTGCTAACCCAAATTTCCCAAAGAAAACGGCAGCGTCACCACTCTCTTCCCAGAAGCCACCCCCGGTCGTCATCGTCGACACCATTATATAACCACACCAGCAAACACCTGGGTATCGCAAAGCCAAGCTGACACTATTAAGATCCTTGCTCCTCAAATAACACTTGTAGTACCATCGTCACCTTGGTAGGGATGCCTTTGAGACATGTATATAGTTTGTCATAATATTGAACTGCGCCACAGCTGTCTCATTTGTCCCTCCGAGGAAAACATTATCGCCATAGCGCTGGCTTGCAGGCCAAAGGGACTCTCGGCTGCTCCAAGACTGCGTATCGCGCGTGGCGTACCCGACGACTTGCATCCCCTAGACGTGGCTGCGGCGGTACCAACGGCGTCGGTGAGGAGCCGCATCGGTGCGTGCACGGCGTTCATGCTTGCGCAGCCAAAAAATGCCGATGAGGGCAGACGCAAGCCAGAGGATGGCAGACAAGAAGGAAAAGGCGAGGTCGGCTTTGAATTTGCCGCACTGGTCGCCACGGGGCGAAACATTGTCCCAGTTGAACCAAGCACCACAGGAGGATCCAAGAAGCTGACCCGTTAGCCAAACCGCCATGAACGAAACCACGGTTGCAACTTGTAAGTCAAGCGGCGACGAGTAGCTTAAGGAGTACTTACGTTGGCGAGCAGTCCAAAGGAAACCCACCAGAGAATGCTGATAAAGATATCCACTGGCCAATGGGTGAAAGTGCTAGAGAACGGGAATAGCCATATCAATGCCAGGAATATGGATATGCCTGCCACCACCTCGGTATAGATGAATCTGCCAAGGTTCCAAGCACTTGCGTGGGACCTGTGCAGATAATGTCCAGAAACGCCAGCCACGATGGCGGCGAAGACAAGTTCGGCCGATCTGAGAATAAGACTAACGAGGCGATCGAGGGCCATGGCTACTTGGGGTTGCTGGTCGGTAAGAAGTAAGCAAAGGTAAGTAAATGAAGAATTCCAACAGTGCGCCTCAGATACTGCAATGCGCAAGTGTTTGTTTTGCTTCGGCTTGTATTCCAATATGGTCTTGAATCCCTGGGTACCGGCCAACAAATGTTAGGGATGTCATGGCCTTTTATCTACAAGAGCAACTGGAAGTGACTGCCGATTTACCCGGCATTGCGCATCGTATTCCAGGGGTCATGATGACTGACTGGGATGCGTACAGGCGTGGCCACATGATGGGCTCCCCAGTTTCGAAGCCGTGGTTCATTCTCCCCAAGCCTGCTTTTGGCCTTTGCGCCCCTGCTCGACGACACCACCACCACGTATCCTCGCAGGCACCAAAAGGGTATGACAAGCTGATTGATGCAAGCATCCATATAAGGCAATCTGGACACCCATACGATGCGTGGCATCGGTATTGACAAATCATGGTGCGGGTGCACTCAAGCCCCTCGGACCAATCAATTCATGGAACGTTGGTTCCGTCTTGGAACCCCTCCAAAGTGCCAAAATAATCAAGAGCACATCGTATGAGGTCATTTGCAGCGAAGTCGTGGCGTGACTTGTCTGGGCAGATCCGAAGCCACAGCCTGCTTGCAGCCCCATCCGTCACTCTCCATGACGCGCGAAGGTAGAAATGCCAGTGTTGGTACCGGTCTCGACATCAAGTTTGCATCCCTCCCCATCGCCTGGCAAAGATGCTGGTAATTCCCATCAAATTCCATGAGTCGTTGCATCGCTATACGTCACTGGCATCGGCCAAACCGTATCTTGGCGGACCAGGAATAGGTGATGAATCCACTTATACACAGCCAGCTATGGTGACGCGGCCTGCATTGGTAGCTTGGGCGGGAATTTGGGAATTTTTTTTTAAAAAAAAAAATTGGAGAAAGGAGACAGTGAATGCCTAACGTTGCCGGGAAAGAACTGCTCTGCCCTGACATCGTATGCCTTCGCCATAGGCCCTCCATGTTGGAGTGATATATGCTCGAGGACGGCTCCCCCTCGTTCGTCGCCAGACACCTGCAGTAAGTGTTCTGTGTCTGCTGATGGAGTTCAATACTTCCATCACCCCGATCCAGATTCCCATCAAGTGTTGTACTTTGGACTTCATTGATGAGTCTGACATAGTAAGGTGATGGCTGTGACTGGACTCGTCATCATGCCTCGCAAGACACGCCGCAGATGTGGACACGGAGGCATAGGCGAAGCCGACGACGGAAATAGAAACGTAGCTAGAGATTCTTGCACGATTCGAATTGTATCTCGGCGGCCTCTTCGACTAAAAGTTAATTGCATAGCTGTATGGTTGCAGCCCGCTCTCACCTCTTGCAATACCATGTAGATCTGGACACATGAACCAAGTACACTGCGCGGACTGAATGTCGTCAGGCCAAAAACATCTGGAAGTGATGCGATTCACGCTTTGCTTTTGGTCTTCTTGCAACTGGCCTGAGCTTATTTTTGCAGGCACGTGAGCAGGTACTCGTTGAGTGACTTGAGTCAAGAGGAAAGAGCACAAAACTCGAATGCCACTGGAAATGGTCTTTCAGCACGAGCTAGCAAATTTGCATAGACGGCACCCGTCACGACTCGCAGCTCACAGCCAAGCTTTCCGCCTCGGAGGCAGGGCGACCCCGCCATCCGCATCCCCCACCGCACGCCTCCGCCTTGGTCGACGACTCTTAGTCTCCTACGCCTTCGCGACTCGGTTGACCGTAAATCGCCGTGACGAGGAGTTGACCTTTGAGAAGCAGTCCAGGACTCCCTGCCATAGGCTCAATCTTTCGTTTCTTCATTTTTGTCTATTTTGCATCTTCTCCACATCGTCATCCAGATACGTCTCTACTTTCGGCTGGCACCATGGCAAGCTCTACCAAGGAGCGCGGTGTGCGCATCGCCATTGATCGCGGAGGAACTTTTACGGATTGCGTTGGCGAACAAAACGGTCAGGAAATCATCATCAAACTTCTTTCTGAGGATCCAGCCAATTATAAGGATGCTCCGCTGGAAGGCATCAGGCGCATCATGAGCCATTTTCTTAAAAAGGACATTCCCCGTGGTGAGCCCCTGGACACGTCCAAGATCGACTCCATCCGCATGGGGACAACTGTTGCCACAAATGCTTTGTTAGAACGAAAGGGCGAGAAAATTGCCTTGGTAGTTACTAAAGGATTCAGAGATTGCTTGGTCATTGGAAACCAGTCGAGACCCAAGATTTTCGACTTGGCAATCAAGAAGCCCGACGTACTGTATGAAAAGGTCGTCGAAATTGATGAGCGTGTGACGTTGGAAGATTACACGGAAGACCCAGAGCGCAAAGTAACAGGAGTGGAAGATCACGTCGGGACCAACGAGGCGGAAGCAAAGTCGCTAATCCGAGGTACATCTGGCGAGACTGTTCGCATTCTCAAGAGAGCCGAGGATAGTGAAATCCGTCAAAAGCTGCAGGAGGTGTATGGGGAGGGCATCAGAAGCATTGCAGTCTGCTTGATGCATGGATATACCTTCCCCGATCACGAAGCTCAAATCGGACGCATCGCCAAGGATATCGGATTTAGTCACATTTCATTAAGTCATGAGCTAATGCCCATGGTAAAGCTTGTCTCGAGAGCTACTTCTGTTTGCGCAGATGCTTATTTGACACCAGCCATCCGGCGATACATCGACGGCTTCCAAGAAGGGTTCGAAGGTGGATTGGGGACACAAAGCGTCAAAGAAGAAAAGGGATCCAAAGGCGCCAGGTGCGAGTTCATGCAGTCTGATGGTGGTTTGGTTGATGTTGATAAGTTCACCGGATTGAAGGCCATCCTGTCCGGGCCGGCCGGGGGCGTGGTTGGCTACGCCATTACATCGTATGACGAGGACACCAAGATACCCGTGATCGGTTTTGATATGGTAAAAATTCCATCTTGACCCGATAGCAAACAAGGCATCCTGACATTTTTTAGGGCGGGACAAGTACGGACGTTTCACGTTATGGTGAAGGTCGATATGAGCATGTATTCGAGACTACCACAGCAGGCGTAACCATCCAGTCACCCCAGCTTGATATCAATACCGTGGCAGCTGGTGGTGGATCAAGGCTCTTCTTCCGCAATGGGCTCTTTGTCGTCGGCCCAGAGTCTGCTGGCGCCCACCCTGGTCCAGCTTGCTACCGTAAAGATGGTCCTGCTACGGTAACTGACGCCAACCTGCATCTCGGTCGTTTGTTGCCCGAGTTCTTCCCGAAGATCTTTGGCAGGAGTGAGGATGAAAGTTTGGATCCAGAGGCAAGCAGGAAGGTGCTTCAGGAACTGGCAGACCAGGTGCAACGAGAAACGGGGAAAAGCCTGACTGTTGACGAGATAGCCTACGGATTTCTGACTGTCGCTAACGAGACCATGACAAGACCAATTCGATCTATTACGGAGGCCAAGGGGCACGACTCGTCTAAACACCGCCTGGCAACGTTTGGCGGTGCCGGTGGCCAGCACGCCGTTGCCATTGCTGATTCTTTGGGAATCAATCAAATTCTTGTGCATCGCTATTCCTCAGTCCTCTCAGCCTATGGCATGGCTCTTGCGGATGTAGTGGACGAGCGCCAGGAACCTGAATCTGCCGTTTGGCAAGATGACGGTCGGATTGTCAGCGAAATACAAGCCAAGATGGAGAAGCTTAAGAAGAAATCTCGAGCTGCGCTAAAAGACCAGGGCTTCAGGGATAATGAGATTGTTTTCGAAGAATATCTCAACATGCGATACAGGGGTACTGAATCTGCTCTGATGATTATCAAACCCACTGACCAGGAGGCCAAGGCGCATTTCGGCGGCAAAAGTTGGCAGTTTGGCCAGGCTTTTGCCCGGCATCACAGATATGAATTTGGGTTTACTTTGGATGACAGAGACATCATTATTGATGACGTCCGGGTCCGTGGCATTGGCAAAAGTTTCCGTCATCAAGAAAAGACAGTTGATCAGCAGCTCAAGACGATCAAGCGCCAGGACGTAGCAGAAGACAAGAAGCACAGTACAAAAGAAGTGTATTTCGAGGGTGGGAGAAAGAAAACCCCAGTGTACAAGCTGGAGGACCTGGATGTTGGGGACGTTATAAAGGGCCCAGCTATGCTCGCAGACGGCACGCAAACTATCGTGGTACCACCCAAAACAAATGCATTGGTCACGGAAACTCACGTCATATTGGACAATCACAAAGGAGGAGACAAGGAGGAAGGGTGCGGCATCTTTTCTCCCTCAACAAGCATCTCATCTCAGGACAAAACTAACGAAATGCTAATAGATACCATCGAGACAACGCTGATCGTGAGGTTGACCCCATCATGCTAAGTATCTTTGGCCACAGATTCATGGCCATTGCCGAACAAATGGGCCGAGCCCTACAAAAAACCAGCGTCAGCACCAACGTCAAAGAGCGCCTCGACTTCTCCTGCGCCATCTTCGACTCTACAGGCGGGCTCGTCGCAAACGCTCCCCATCTACCCGTCCATCTCGGCTCTATGTCAACTTGTGTTCGGCGACAGGCTGAAATCTGGAAAGGCAGACTCGAGAAGGGAGACGTCATCATTTCCAACCACCCTTCATACGGAGGTACACACCTTCCTGATATCACCCTTATTATGCCCGCATTCGACGAGACGGGTAAAAACATTCTCTTCTACGCGGCATCCCGCGCACACCACGCCGATATTGGCGGCATCACAGCCGGCAGCATGCCCCCTCATTCGCGCGAGCTATACCAGGAAGGCGCCGCAATCATCAGTGAAAAGCTAGTCAGCGGTGGTAAATTCGACGAGAAGAGAGTCGTTGAGCTCTTTTACGACGAGCCAGCCAAGTACCCCGGCTGCAGCGGTACCCGAACACTCGCCGACAACATCAACGACCTCAGGGCCCAGGTATCAGCCAACCAAAAGGGCATCTCCCTCATCGAAAGCCTCATCAAGGAGTATGGAGAGCCCACAGTCCAGTTCTACATGGTCAACATCCAAAAGAATGCTGAGCTCTGCGTACGTAACCTCCTCAGAGACGTGTACAAACGATTACAGGGCAAAAACCTCGAGGCCGTCGACTACATGGACGAAGGAACGCCCATCAGGCTCAAGATCACCATCGACCCGGACCAAGGCAGTGCCGACTTCGACTTTGCCGGCACAGGACCCCAAGTATACGGCAACGTCAACGCCCCGCAAGCCATCACCTATAGCGCCATCATATACTGCCTCCGGTGCCTGATATTCGAAGACATACCCCTGAACCAGGGCTGCCTCCGGCCGATCAACGTCAAAATCCCCGCGAAATCCATCCTCTCCCCGGCTCCCGGCGCCGCCGTTGTAGGCGGCAACGTGCTCACCAGCCAACGCATCACAGACGTCATCTTCAAGGCGTTCGAGGCCTGCGCCGCCAGCCAAGGGTGCTGCAACAACCTCACTTTTGGGTTCGGCGGTAACGTGTCGGGGTCAAAAGCCGTCCGGGGCTTCGGATACTACGAGACGATTGCTGGGGGGAGCGGCGCCGGCCCCGACTGGATCGGCACATCTGGCGTTCATGTGCACATGACGAATACCCGGATTACAGACTCGGAGATTTTCGAGCGCAGATATCCCGTGCTGCTGCGTGAGTTTTCGATCCGCAAAGGTTCGGGGGGCAACGGTCAGCACCGAGGCGGCGACGGCGTCGTGCGAGACATTGAATTCCGGATTCCCCTGCAGGTCTCCATCCTCAGCGAGCGGCGTGTATACCATCCGTACGGCATGAATGGCGGCGAAGACGGTGAGTGCGGGCTGAACCTCTGGGTCCGCAGCGTTGAAAAGACAGACTGGGAGAAGTCGCTCAAGCAGTTCCGTGAGCCGCACGCCGGCAACAGGGAGACCGAGGAAGCAGAATACGAAGAACGCTACATCAATATGGGCGCCAAGAATAGTGCGGCAATGAAGGCTGGCGATCGTATCATTGTATGCACACCCGGTGGTGGTGGTTGGGGGGTGCCCGGGCTCAAGAGCCGCGTCAGGGATCAGGTAGATCACAAGGAGAACTGGAAGAAGGGCAGCGGTGCCACCAGAGAGGATACGGCTCTACAGGCATAAAAGGAGGCTGCCTTTGGCACACACAATGTCATACTACTGTTTGTTGGAGACAGGGGCCAGCTGCAGCAGCCGGCAAAATCCATCCGCTAAGAATTCCCAAGGTCTAAAATTAGAAGCCAGGATTCTCAAAAGTATTATACGGAGACCAACGCCAACAAGAAAGATGAGCATGAATCGAGTGTTCAACACGCACGTATTCCCCACGCACATTACGTACCAGAACAAGACGAAGGAGGGAGAAGACCCATGCTGACAACCCCCCGGCCCCATCGCAGACACGTGTCTGTTGGACCAGTGTGTCGGGACGCGGGACTGATTTCATCTGCAACATCTTACCAGCAACAGCTTGGCGGTTGTTCCCGAGAGTGGTTGCATTTCATACATAATACTGCATCAGACGCATCTGACACGGCATGCCACGCTTGGGCTCAAGTGGGCATCGTCCGGGGCTCCTACAGAATGCCAGAGCTGGCGGCATATCAGGTCTGGCATGGCCTCCCCGCACACTCCATGCTCAGTCAGGTACGGAGCAGAGCACGACTGTAACTTGTATCTGTAGCACACTGGGTACTTTTTATCGGCATGTTGGGCAATCTGCAAACCACGCGACTGAGCTTGCATATGCCCTTCCAGTCGATCATCAGCCCTACAAGGCGGCGTATGCCGGACGCAGCCTCGTGTTATTGGCGAGAAGCGGACGTGTTTGGCCCCCAGCCCTCCTCGTGCGGACCCTGTTGCTTCACGGCCATCGTCGTTCGTTCCCGGGAATCTGATTCGCATGCGCCATGCACCGCCTAGCGTGGTCCTCCATCAGCACCCGCTCGTTCAGCGAACCGAAGGCTTACAGGCTTCGCGTTGGTTGCGAACGAGATGCGGACATGGTAGAGCAAGGCTTCTCGTTCAACGTTGCCGAATAAAAGGGAAGAGAAAAGGCTGTCGACGCCGCAGCGAGCTTGAACTCGTCGGGAAGAAGAGCATGCCTCTGTCTGGTTGACGATGTTTGAGATATCTCAGATCAGACGACCTGCACGGGGTTGAAATTCCCCACCCACCAACACCTTCCGATCACGCCAAGATCGAGCCACGAGCGCGTGGTTGGTCAGTTGGCAGTTTTACGAAAAGCCGTCAGCTGCGAGACAAGCCAAAGCACAAACTTTTTTCCTCGAGCAACAAAACAACACGCCCTTAAGCGAGGTTCGGTTCGGTGCCGTCTTAGTAAGGGGGGCTTATGGTCGGAGCCGAACGTTGACGCCTCTCGGATTCATACCACGGTCACGAGAAATTGAAACATGTAAGGCATGATGATTGAGGAAGGGCTGGGCCTTTTGTACATTTCGCCCTGAAGTTGGCTGGTCATGCATCTTGATTGGCCGACTTGAGGTGACTTTGTGCAGCACGGCATACGCACGTCTATTCGTCCGCCTCACCGGTTTCCAGTGGCTTTCCCTTCGCCAACGGACATGAAGCGACCAGATGAACCAAGCTCAAGCCTGGAGGTGGCCATCCGGTGCTCCTGCCCGGGCAGCACTGAAGGGAGAGGATCCCGACCGAAGACTGCCTGCTCGCCTAAACGAGCTTCGGTAAAGCAGCTGTGGGCGTCTTTGGTCGCCGACGAGGCTCCTGTAATGTGCTGACGTTGGAATGACGCGCGGGAGCGTCCACGACTGGGTCAAGGCCAAGGTCATGGTCGCGGTCGCGGTCGCGGTCGCGGTTGTGGTCATGGTCATGGTCTCATGGTTATGGCCCGGTGCATGTCTGGTCGGGTCCAGGAGGAGAGCGAGATATTCGGTCGTAGTGAAGAAACCTGGGCAACCCGACCTGCCCGGGCTACCCCGCCATATCCCACTGATCAAGCGACTTGAATATCGCGCCACAGGTGATTTTCTGCCGTCTGGCGGTCTAGGCCAGCGCCGGCCATGACCGCTCGTGCCCCTGGACGCCCGCGGGGCCACTGCCGAGGGATCTCAGGGAGCCTTCGAGGCTTGTGGGCAACACCCTCTCCCCACCTAGCGCTTACATAATACAAGCGACTGCGTCGGTACGGCCCAGTACAACCATCACCAGCTGATTTCTAAGCAGACGGAGGTACTGTTTAGCCGTTGATGTCCGATTGGCCTTTGTCCCCCGACATTTTTTTCTCCGTAAGCCTTCGAGGCCTCGAATGAGATTGTGTGCAAAGTATCGGGCGCTGTGAACTCATCACGCAGACAAAGTTGCCGGCAGCTTCTCATGGCTCCCCTCTGGGCCATCAGACGGGCGTGGAAGCGAGGCGAAGCCAAGCCAGGCTCCTTGGAGTTGGAAACCAGGGCTAGATAGAATATGTTGTCCACTTCGGCCCGCCGTGCCTACGGCCGATATTCGATGCCCCCTTGCCCCACTGGCCGGCCCATCATGTTGTGTACTTGAGTAAGTACTTACTCAAGTACTTGCGTATCAGTCAGTCCCTGGATGGGCCATTTCAAGCATCCAGTCACTCAGCAAGGTTCTCCGCACTCCGTAAGGACGTGAGAATACCAGCCACCGGAAGACCGTTGGGGCGAGAGAGAAAAGGACGCTGGGCTCCCCGTACTTGGATAGAACGGGCAACCGACCAGAGGCCCTACGTTCCCGCGTGGCGCACAAGTTGGTGGTGGTGGTGGTGGTGTGTGACTGTGTCCCTCAAGCATGTATCTGTATCAAACATGTGTGGTTCTTTGGTGGAGGCCACAGACGTTCGAATCCGACTCTGGACCTCTCTTTTCCACATCCTGCATTTGTCGGTAATTGCCTGGCTGTCTGTTTTTGCTGCGTTGCGGATGTAACGTCAATGACGCGGAAGGACAAGGCCTCCCCCCCCCCTTCCTTCCTTCCTCCGCAGCTTGGTATATATACCTATATATGCGCACATGCGTCCCAAGTGCTTGGTTATCGGAGCCAGATCCACGCAACCAAGCACTTGCTTCATGCGGGCTTTCGACGACCAGCATACCGAGAGGAGAGACGCGAAGAAGAGCATTTGGCCCGCCGCGGGCAGCGGGTTGCACAAATATGATGCGCATTGCCGTCGCAGGTGGAGGCGGACTGGGATACCTGCTGGCGCTGCAGCTTTCACAGGCAGCCAACGCTTACAATGTTGTCGTTTTGTCAAGATCGGTTGCTTTGCCCCGTCTCGTCTCGGCCGCTCCGGCTTCCATGCTGATGTGGCACAGGCAAGACCCGAATTCGGCCAGCTCGACGTCCAACTCCATGTTGTCGACTACAGTGATCACGACAAGCTGACTTTTGCTCTTCAAGGCGTGGACCTGGCTATATCGACCATATCAGGGACGGAGCAGCTCAGCCTCATCAACGCCGCAGGTCGTGCTCGCGTGCGCGTCTTCGTGCCATCAGAATTCGAGGGCAGCTTGAGCCGGCGGCCTTCGCACAACGACCCCCTGGACCGTGGGTCGGCCCAGGCAATTGCCCTGCTGAAACACTGGGAGAGCGTGTCCCGTATGAGGTATACCGTCTTTGCGTGTGGCATCTTCATGGAGCGGTTTCACCCCTACGGGCTGGGCTACCTCAACATTGGATACGGCAGTGGTGTTTCGGCGGTGGGAGACTATCTCCTCGACATCAACCACGCAACGGCAGAATACGCGGCCGAAGACTCCAAAGGCCACACAGTCCGGGTGTGCCTGACCTCGGTCTACGACGTGGTGCGGTTCATAGTAGCAGCCATAGACTTGGGGCCTCGACACTGGCCACACGAATTCACTATGCGGGGGGATAGAATGTCTGTTCGAGATGTTGTCGGGACGTGCAGCCGCGTGAGGAACGGTGAGCCCCTCCCGTCCCGCGGGCGGACTGGAGCAGGGATACAGTTGCTGATGCCGATACTAACACCTGATCAGTCGCCTTTGATCATCACTTGCGGAAAAGCTCCGAGCTCCTGTCGTACTTGACTTACTTTGTGCAGGCCGGGGACGGTGACAAAGTGGCCTATTACCAGCGCCTCATTGCCACGACGAACGGACGCTATGATTTCTCGCGGGCCTCGCTCAACGATGCGCTGGAAAAGAGTGGCCAGGGGGACGTACAGCCCATGACCCTGCTACGGTGGCTAACAAACGTCTGGCAGTCGTTATGACGGACGCGTCCAAAGATCCAACAGCGGCAGCGGGAGTCGGCATGTCTCTCGTCTTGTCTGGCTATGTGACACACGACACGCTGACCGAACAAAGGGAGGAGACGGGCGGATCGATGCTCTGGGCTCCACGGACGGGGCTGGCCGGGCTTTGGGAATCATTCGGGGGGCAAGAACATGGCCTACAAGGCCGAGAGGATGGGGAAGCATCCGGGAAAGGCATTTGGCGACGGCGTTCATTCTCGGGCTCTTTTCTTTTATGGATTCATTTTGGAGAAAAATACCCCATTTTTCAGACTAGGAGACAGGGGAGGCGCGGGTGACAACGGGAAGGTGGCTTCCAAGGATAGTTACAGGTTACGTACTTGGGGAGCAGGTATTGACAAGTGTCGGGGCGGCAGGCGATCGGGGCGGAGACGGAGAGAGCGTTGCTCCTTCCACAATTTTCAGTAGAATGAATGGCCATGTCCCACGCACTGCTGCAGCACCACTTGGAGCCATGGGAAAACACCAAGGCTCCCATTTTTTTTCTTTTTTTTTTTTTGTGTGCGCGCGCGCGTGTGTGTGTACGTGTGAAAGACCTGCAACGCGTCAATGCATCCCATGTCGAGCTTCCACATGCCAACCATCATCAACGGCGGCTAGTGCTAGTGTCAAGTGTCATCTCTCTGCCGTCTTCCGTCCCGCGCCTCAGGGCTAGCCAAAAGTACAGACGCCGCTGCGGCACCAACGGCACTATCGACGCCCGCAGCGCATTGACGATGGACGCCGTGTCCGAGCACTTGCATTGTTCACTTCCTTTGAGACTGCGCACCGGCCGGGCATGCGCCAAATGCAACCGAGACGGCACATGGCACTGGGATGCGCAATAAGGTTCCTGCCGTCGGCCGAGGGCGCTATGCTATGTTCATGCACTTCAGTGACGGACGACTACACGAATATTCAGCTTCAGTCATGTCTTGTCCGGCCATGGCAAGGCTCATGCCAAGCGCCGGGCCGGCTCGCTTATCAAATCTCTGTTTGTCATAGGCCGTGTATGTATAATAGCGCGGGCGCCCATGTTGAAGGCTGACCTCTTCAGCTTGGCATGGTCCGATCAAGATGCTTTTCCTCCGCCATAAGTCCATGAAACTCCGCGCAGCCGGCTCCCCTACGAATGGCACCGCGTTGAAGCGGCACGCCTTTAATGTTCGTGTTACCCATCCAAAACGAAAGCCCGCCGCATACGTCAGCCCTCGACAAGCACGTTTCTGTGCAAGACTCATACAAGTTACAACCACGCGTGGTAATCCGAATCATGATGCCTCTGCCTCGGCAAGAGCATCATTGGCTCCCTCAATCTCTCCTTTAGGGTCGAACTCGTCCCCGAATTCAGTCACGATCCACAGACAAAACTGCTCCCACTCAACTTGCCACTGCTCCAGCCTCTGTGCCTTGATACCGCTGCCCAGGCTTGCCTGGCGAATATCTTTGGCCCACGCGGCGGCCTCTTGGTCTTCAAAAGCAGCCCACCTCACGCTGTTCTCGGCCAGACTTCCCAGGCCAGCGAGTCCAAGGTTATCCCAGCCCTGGAGGGCCTGCCAGAAGTCGTGCGACATGCCAGCTGTGTCCTGGCCGAGCATGGCTGGGTCGTCATTACAAAGGCAGCACGCCACTCCGCGAGCTAGCAGCGCCGGCAGGGGGTGAGCTAGCACCGAGCCGCAAAGACGGAGCACTTCGTTTGATATCGGGCATGATTCGATGAGGATACGCTTTTCCTTGACCATGTCAATCAGCAATGGATGTTTGTATAGGCTATACGCGTGGCCGATGCGTCTTGTCCCGAGCAGGATGGCATCAAACAAGTTGGAGTCGGTGCTGTTGCCGTCACCTAGTGTTTCGCCTGCATGCAAGAAGAAGGGAATATTGACCCCTTCCTGCGCGCATTGTTTCCGGAACCAAAAAAGCTCTGGCAGCACATCCACCAGCGGCTTTCCAAGATCCTCTGGGCCAACCAAGTCATATCCGGCAATGAGGTGCGGAAACTCCATTTTGGTCGTGATGCAGTGGTCCATGTTTTCGATCAGCGGTCTTGTATCGACACTCCGCAGCGTCGTCCATATAGTTGTCAGACCCCAGAACCCTTGACCTTCTGTGGAGGCTTTGAATCTGGCGAGCTCTTCTTCAATGACCTTGAACATGTGGCCGTAATCCTGCTCCGGCTCTTCCTGGCGGTCGCGGCAATAATCTAGAGGCCAGGTAAATCTACAGAAACAAGATTAACACGTGGGCATGACGTCTTCACGGTGGCTATATGATGGCACGTACCTGAGCTCAACCCAGTTCACCCCGTCCGATTTCAGCTGGCTCATCAAACGCTGCAGGAAGGCACGGAAAATGGGCTCGTAGTGGATGATGGTGGCAACTACAACGAAGCACTTGACAAACTTTCGCCATATGGCGTCGACACCGTGATGGTGCTCGTGGCTGTCAGCCGTTGACAAGGTGCAGCGGCTTTTCAACCAATGGAGAAATCCTTGGCGCCCGCCGTCGGGAAATTTATCAGCTTCTTTGGTGAGCAAGATGAAGGTTTCGGGCGTGTAGGATTCTTCCCACAGGGAGCCGTCAGTCCTCTCCTTGGACTTGTACCGGAAGTTCATGGCAGCATTCTCCAGAGCATCCTTGCCCTTGAGCGGCCGGTCGCTCGACATGTGAAGTCCAGGGGTACTGAGCAGCACGTCGAGGAGATAGTCAAAGTCCACCATGGCATCCATGTGGGAGTGCAAGAGGCAACCTTTGGGCATCCTTCTGACAATCCTCCACAGGTTGGTACCCTCCATACGGTCCTTGGCAAACGTGAACATCATGCCAGGAAAGATGCATTCGTGGCTACTCTGAGCCATGCGCTCTTCGACGTCTGACGTCCAGATGGTCTTCTGCTCATGACTGCGGATTCGGTCGACGATGGTGCAGGCTCTCCTGGCGATTGGCGAAAGAGACTTTCTAAAGGAAGTGTCTGAGCGCGCCGACTTTTCTTGACTGATGAGACTTTCGCGGCCAGCCATGTACTTCTGAATAAACGGATCCGAGACAGACGGAATATCCTGGGAGACTTCGTCCCACACGTCGTTTGGCATTGCCATGTTGGGAAGAGGGGCGACTGTGCACAGGAGATGGGCGCGATGCAGCTGAGCCGGACGTTGGTCAGAAGGCGCAAGCACGTCAAGATGGAACAGCAAATTGATCTGATGGATAGGGACAGGTTGGCTGGGCCGGCGCCGATGTGATTGATGAACGAGCACAAGAATGGCTGGAGGTGCTGGAGGATGTGAGCAGAGCAGCGGCCGCGGGGCGTTGCAATTCACGACGCATCTGGTCTCCAGGCACACAGTCGGCACGATGGCACAGAGAGTAACCCGATCAGATAATCGGCGGGCCACGAACCCTGGCGGTCGTCCGGGGTCGAATTGGTCAAGACTCGAGAGTGGGCTGGACGACGGGGCGTCAACAAGCCAGACAATGACGGCGGCGTCTGGTGCCTGGACGGGCGGATGGCAGAATAAACCGCACAGCGACACGGTCTCTCGTTGCCACTCATCTGCAGCTAGAGATGCGGGCTAGACCACGCCACCCAGTTGAACACGCACATGGGCCAGGCTTGTTCCTTTCCAGGCTAACGATGGCGTCCTCTCAATCTTCCGCCCACCCAGCTCAGCATGAAGGGCCTTTGGCCTCAGGTCGTCGTCACCTGCAGCCTTATCACAGAAGCAGATTCACATCAGGCGCTTATTAGAGCCCGCAGCCCTTGAACTGCAGAAACAGGCATGGACCATACAACGTGATTGCCATGGTCGTCCATTCCTCTTCCTCTTTCGGGCGTGACCGAATGTACGTCTCATGTCATGCCAAGCTCGACTCGACCAACAGCAGTTGACATATGATTGTTGTCGGTGTTGGAGTACAAGGAAGAAACTGGCCGGTCAAGATCGGAACATGGCCAAGGAAGTATTGTTTTCTGAGATGATGAAAAAATCTACAAAAAGGGCCGTTGTTCCCTGGGGCGTCATTATCCAACAGACGCGTTGCGCCGTTTGCAGATCCGTGAAGCACCAACGACACCCTTTTTTCCAAAATGCTACATTTGAAGCTCGTCACGCTCGTCCTCGTCCGAGTCGCAACATGCCTCTCTTTGCCCCGACAATACGTTCGCCCCAACGCATGCTGCTTCACGCTCCACGACTCATCCACCGACGAAACCGTCCGGCAACAAACCAGGCACGGCTTGCTGTACGTGGGCGGTTCTCAACCTACCGGCTGGTACTGCATCGACCTCTCTGGTGCCAAAAAGGTCCTCTGGGACGCCTTCAACAACGCGTGCTTCGTCAACCCCGATAAAGAGGTTCGGTGTCTCGATCCTATCCCGAGCGGCGATTCTTGGGGTATGAAGCAGAGCGGCGACGACGTATTGGTTACCGTCAATGGAGGTTCGTTATTTCAAGTGTGCCCGGGAAATACGATCTTCGCCGATGCCAAGAAGGACGCAAGTTGTCGGGGGGTGGCCTTGAGGGGTAGGGGGCTGAAGGGGAGCTGTGGGAGCTTCCGAGCATGATTTTGTTTCATTTCAGCTCATTTCATCTCGGTCCGATGACCTGCTCCTGCTCGGCTGGTGCCTCAATACAAGCTCTCATTCTACACGGTTGAATCGTCTCGCATGCCAAGTTGCTCGGCACGCACACCACGCACATGTGAGAAACAAGACGTAATCATGATAGCATCGCGACGAGGCTACAGCTTGGCATCGCGACGAGGCTACAGCTTGGCCGCGGCGGCGCCCCCATCGCCGTATACAATGGCACGATCCTTGGCCAACTCCTCCTCCGTGCGCCCTCTCGGCCTCCGGCGCACCCCGGCAAACTTGTCCTCGACGAACCGGACAAACACTTCCTTGGCCGCTGGGCTCCCGTCCGTGCCCGCATCGACGTAGAGCAACAGCGAACAGAGCACATGGCCCAGCTGCCAGACAAGCTCACGCGCCTCGCCCATCAAGTCGGCCTGCGGCGTCCCCTCAATCTTGGCCTTCAACGCGGCCCACCTCTCAACCGGTTTCCAGCCGGGCGGCTGTCCAATCTTGTTGCCCTGGAACGCCCACGCCTTGCGGATAACCTCGTCCAAGGCCGCCAGTGAATCCGCCCCGCGGCGCGTGTGCTTCATGGCGCGGATCAGATCCGTGCATAAAACATCCGTCGTGCCCTCCCAGATGGGCAGCACGCACGTATCCCTGTATATACGCGCCACGTTGAGATACTCCTGCTCCTCGTTGACAAGATAGCCCACGCCGCCCAGCGACTCCATGCAGGAGAACAGCAGCGCCACGCTGGGCTTGCAGACATAGGCCTTGGCGAGCTGCGTCATGATCCGGAGCAGCGGCCCGGCGAGGCTCCTCGTCTGCGGCGTGAGGGCTTCCAGCGCCGGCGGGGGCCTCGCGTCGAGCGAGTGCTCCGACACGCCCAGCACGTACGACGTGTAAAAGGTGACGAGCATGAGGCCGCGGTACTCGGCCGACATGTTGGCCAGCGTCCTCATGTGCAGCGGGCTGTCGACCAGCCTCGTCCTCTCGCGCTTGCCGGCGCCGACGTGTCGAACGAGGGCGTAGGCCCGCGCTATCCCCAGGCCGCGACCTACGCCGCCCACGGCCGCGACGGCCGAGTGGACGCGCGTGAGGGTGAGGATGGTGCTGATTTCGTGGATGCCTCCTCCCTCCCGGCCCACCATCCAGCCGCGCATGTTGTCCAGCACGAGCTCTGCCGTGGGGAGCGACTGCGTGCCCAGCTTGTTCTTGAGCCGCTGGATGCGGACGCCGTTGAGGACCGTGCCGTCCTCCCTGGGCTCGCCCGTCAACGTCGTCGCCCCGGCGTCGTGCCTCCGCATCGGGGCGAGGAACGCCGACAGTCCTCCGGCCGCGGTCCTGGCCAGGAGGACCGCCATTTCGGCGTCCGTGGCGCTGGAGAACCACTTGAACCCGCTGATGGACCACGGCCCCAGGGGGATCTGGCCCTGCCTGGAGGCGAGGCCATCGGCGCCGTCTGGCCGGTACGTGGCGACGGTTTCCGTGAGCGAAACGTCGCTCCCGCCCGTCCGCTCCGTCATCCACTGCCCGCTGGTCCAGGCATGCCCGGCATCGCGGGACGTCAGACGCCCGTACGCGTCCGCAAAGACCCTCTTCTCCGCGGCGGACAGCGCAGCAGAGAGCTCCGGGTGCGTGAGATGGCGCCGGAGGAGGCACGCCGCGCCGTCCTGCATGGCCGACGGGCAGCCCACGTTTGCGCAGGACCCGACCCAGAGGTGGGTGCGCAGGAACTGAAGAGGACGCGCGAAGGCGCCGTAGGGCGTGTCGTAGCCCGTGGCCACCATTCTGCACTCACGATACTTAGTTTTCCCCTCCGTCTCTGCCAACACGGGGGCCCTGCTCGCACCCTCACTTACCCTCTTGACTGCCCGAAGGCGCGCAGACTCCGCCATCCCTCGCCGGTGACCAGCTCGCCCTTCCACTTCCCAAAGGCGTCCCGCCCCGATCCCCTGAGGTACGGCTTGTTGTGTTCTGCTTCAGCGACCCAGGTGAAGACCTGGTCCGAGATGACGTCCCGCCCGAGCGTCGATACCTCGCCGCCAGCCCTGGACGCCACCTCCGGAGAGAGGAATACTAGGAAGCACTCGTCAGCACGCCCCGTACGCTACGCGGCCCGGACGAGGCCGTCGACGAGCGGAACGCCGTCGCCAGGCCCAGGGCGAATCCGTACATTTAAAACACCGCTGGAACGACGCATCATCGTCGAACTGGTTCCTCAAAACGGGCGCCTCTTGGAAGAAGCCCCCGTCGGCAGACGACGGCTCCATGGCCACGATCAAAGTAGTCTCGCGAGCCAGAATCCGGGGGGAAGCAGAGGAGCACGCATTTCCCTCGGGACCAGACGGACACGACAGGCAGCATTGACCACGCGATAAGGGGCCCAATCCCGCACCAGGAAGGAACAAAGTGGCGTTTGGAGAAACCGAGGCAAACCCGACCTCCTGAGGGGGCCCCGAAGAGAGGGGAGCGTGTGCCTCTCCTGGCAAGCGTTCCGTGTGGCATGGTTGTGGCAGATAAACAATGCGGCAGCACCACCGTCTTCTGCCAGTACGGGATGTTTGACGCAGTGGGTTCCCCTTCCGCTCGGCTGCGCGGGAAATCGTGGATTGGACGTCTGGATGGCGGAAGCATGCATGTGAAGACCGAGCGAGCGTGAGTGAGCACGAGCGCGGAGAGACCGCACATGTGCGGGCGGAAAACGCGCCGCGAGCGATATTCAAGCGTCTGCGTGCGCGGTGAAGGACAAGGACTGTACCTGGTGCGTTGGGCACTTTCTTCATCTGCTCTTTTTTTTTCCTTTTTTTTTCTACCTTAACGACGCTGTAAATAGACGTCGCATGTCAATGGGTCCCGGAATACTGCAGACGCCGCACGTGAGAAACGACCCGATTGACAGCCACAAGGCTTGGCCTCCACTTTTATGTGAGCCCTTCATATTTCTCATTAACATGCTCAAACCCTAACATTGGCCGCAGTCGTCTAGGGGTCAGGACACCAGTTTGTGGATCGGCGAAACACTGGAAACCGAGGTTCGAGTCCTCGCTGCGGCACGTCTACTTTTTGATTTTTTTACATCCATTTACGTCAGCTCATTTGCAACTTATCGACTTCATCACCTAGTTAGTACTTGGCATCTTATAAGGCCGTTTGTCTGGTTTCCACCCTTGTCGTGAAAATCCCCCGTGTACGGAGTATTTCGCTCCATGTCAACTTGCCTCTTGCAGGTAGCCTGTTCACGCAGCACACGATAGGAAAGTGAGTGACTAGACCACGTTTCTTTTTGTTTGGAAGTCAATGGATACGGCTTTGTCTGACATCTCCTCGGGAGAAGCATGCAGAAGTTTACATGAGCGAGCACCTATATCATATATGGACGGCTGGTGAGCGTGACAATGCAGCCTCCTCATTGAACAGAAGCCAAATCATGGTTCGCGGCGGACAAGGCAGCTAGCACCTTCCTTGCTTATGGTAGTCTCAGGACACACACACAAAACATATTCTGATTCAACGCCGATGGCGGCTCAAGCGGAATAGCTTCTGGTGTGCACGACCTTGGTGTGATGAGTGACTGTGCGCAGTGCTTATCGGCGAGTCCCTGTTGGGTTGATTTGACGTGTCTGCTGGAAGATCTGGCCTGGTGCTTCCTGACACCAGGCGTATCCGCATTGATTTGGGGAGAACTGGATGCATGTGTACGACCCCCCTTGTAGAAGCCGGCGGCGTGGTGCCAACAAACCCCTGTCATGCAAGACACCATAATATCGAATGATTGCTAAAAACCAAGGTGAGATGATCAACTTTCAACGCCCAGATACTGTGAGTTTGGTGAGACGGGGCACGTCTTGTCGATTTAACGATTCAAGACTGTGAAAGAGGCCGCGTTGAGATGAATAGCATCCGCAATGGCATCAAGTCCCCAGCTGCTCCCTGTTGCGCAAGCTTTGAGAGAATGAGCGAGCCGCTCAGCTGGCCAAGAGACATTGACCCAAGACATAGTCACGTACGCGGGTCTGGAACAGAGGCCGGCCTGAGTCAAGGGCCCGGTGCATTGTCGTGATTGCCAGCCGCCCAAGGGGCCTTTGCTCAGCGAAATCACCGTTGAGCGGCAAAGAAATTGAATCGGGAACGTTCCTAGGAAGGTCGGGGACTGGAAACAATTAAAAGGCAGCAGAGCAGGCCATTTGGCGTCGTGCTTTGCAATTATACATTATACTCGGGAATAATGCGAGCGCAGTCGCCTCACAGAAAGCTGCCGCATCACCGCATCCCCATCTGTGTTACTCCGTAGGTAGTCATCCAATTAAGGTTGACGGGACAGTTATCCGGGCCTCCGGACCGCTTTCCAGCCCCATGGTGGTTAAAGAAGCAGGTTTTCGTGTCCTCATTGGCCATCTCGTCATGGCCAGCGAGTCCACGACTTGTTGACCACGGCACGGGGCAGTCGGCACGTTCCATCAAGACTTCCCCCGAGCCTGTCCTGGTCGTACGGTGAGCCTTGCATCTCATCGTCATTTGTCCGTGAGCAAACCCGGCAGGAGGGGAAGTCCTCCGTGCTGCAATCCCGATACCATGTGACTATTGGGCCCGGGCTCCAAGGCGACACAGTCCGCTTCATGCATGAGTGCGTGCTCCACTGCGAATATTTGGCGTAAAAGGCCGGGCGGCAATCTGCTTGGGGAAGACGCAAAAGCAAGTTGACCCTGCAGGAGAGCCCACACACGCCCTGTTTGTACACCCCCTCCGTCCAAGTCAATACTGGTAGACTAGTAAGTTACTCCGTAGTGTAGTACGTAGTACCGTCGACTCCTGCCGGTCGCAACTGTTATTAGTGTACCCGCAGTGAAGGGCGCCAGTTGACGGAGGGTGCTCCATGTGCTGCCACGAGACCACCAGCATGGCACAGTGATGAGTGTCTTTGGGCTTGAGCGCTTCCGTTTTGAAGGCCCAATATAATGTAACTGGAGACACAGCAGCAGGCTTTGGGGCGTGTCCGTCTCTTATCACTCGGAGTTGATTCGCAAAGGACATGGCCTACCCGGGCCCGATGTTACGGCGAGCCCGACTCGGGTGGTCTGGCGGGGGAAGACGGTTTCCAAATTCTGGGGAGAGGCGACAGTGTCCCCTGCTGGCGGCTGCCAATGAATAATAGAGCCATGGAAACAAAGCCTGAAATCCATTCAAAGATTCTGCATCGTTCAGAATCAGAAAAACCGCCCTTCAACCCCGTGCACGGGCAAGTGTCTGGCCGTGGTCGACGTCGGTGATTGTCCGCCATCTCCCAATTCAGTGAAAGGGCGGCGGCCGAAGCGGTGATGTATAGAAGAAGGCTTGTTTTTGGGAGTGACTAGAGTTGTTAGCACTACGTTGGCTGGAGCGAGGAAAAAACATGGCTGCTGCATGGCTGCAAAACGGGTCTGGCCTCGAGAGTCAAGACCCAAGCCACTAGCTACGACTGAATGCCACCGCTCTCGGAGGCTCGCTGCCCCCCTACCAGTTCTGGTCGAGTCCTCAATTTGTACGGAGTAGTCGGCATATTCATGTGCTCGATGAACTGCGTCTGGCCCATCGGCCCAGGTGCCAGCATCGCCGCGTCACCGCCGCACGGCTCATTTCGTACGTACAGCGTCCAGCCAAACAGGCAGCGGCTTTGGCCAAGGGCCAAGCCCAAGCCCAAGCCCAAGCCTAAGCCGCAGCCCAAGCAGCGAAGTTACCGTTTTCGCGCCATGACGGCCACAGAACTTAGAAGTCAGAGGAAGCCAGTACGGAATGCGAGTGGCGATTTTGTTCGGCGCAGGTCGTTTGTGGCTCGAGTCTGGCGCGAGTTTGTAACCAGAAACTTGTGCCCGTTCGTTGGTTTCATAACTTTCGGCCCCTCGAACTGCAGGTGCTGAGCGTCCGGGCAGCCTCGTCGCGCCTTCCCTGCCCGCCCATGTTGGCTGTCTGTCCACTCGGCACTTGGAAGTTGGCCCCTTCCCTCCTTCCTTTGCCTTTGACCGTTTGATGTCTGGTCCTACCCAAAGTTAAGCCCCCGTTGTTTAAGTATGTTTTGTGTGTGATGCTTTGTGTCCCTGTTCTTGTCGTGTCCAACATTTACATGTCGAGCCGTTTGACTGTGTGCTACTGGTACTACCGATTCGCGCCTCTGTGCTGAGCCTGTCGCGAACTCACATTGGAACTCGCCTGGCTCGGCGTCAAACATCCAACATCCACGGTCCGCGCCTCAAGGTACTCCGTACGGAGTACGGGCAATGCAAATTCATCGGACACGGCGCAGAGGCGAACCGCCTGGTCTGCCATCTCCACCTCGCAAGTGGAACCACACTCCTTTGGCCGGGGGGGCGTGCGCCTCAAATGTTCCCGGCCTTCTCGTCTTGATTCATCGTCGCCCGTCTAGCGCATTTTCTCAGCCTTCCCTATAAAGGCGGACCATCCGCTGACGCAAGGCCTCCATCAGCCTGGTTTGTAATCTCTCCCTTTGTCCGTTGTGACTTTATAGCCGCCCGCGCTTCCCAAGCCGACATCTCTTCTCTGCCTTGGAATCTCCTAGACGAGCAGGCAATCCGTCTTCCTGTACTGACCCTGCATTCCTTCAGAGTCTTGCCGTCGTCACTCTAGATTTGCCCGTCTCGCCGCCCATCGCCTCCGTCCCCGGCCGGGCCGTCGAAAACACGCTCAACCTGCGCTCAACGACACAGCACGTACGAGACAACTACATCAACCGTCATGGCCGGCAAGAAGATCCGCTGCAGTACCAAGGACTGCCGAGAGGTCGTTCAACGTATATTTGGCGACTGTAGCTTCTGCGGCGGTCACTTTTGCGGCAAGCACCGCCTGTTAGAGGACCACAAGTGCAGCGGCCTCGAAGACGTAGGTCAACCCAGGCATTGATGCACCACTATGCGCTCTAGATGCGAGACGAAGAATACTGACTCGTCGTTCTTTTATTCAAGTGCAAGAAACAGTCGCACGAGCGTAATGCCGCACAGTTGGAAGCAGAAAGAACCCAAGTTATCCGTGGCGTTTAACTGGGTCAGCACCACATGACTCCTGTACCGGGTCCGGCCGGCGCGAGAAGGTCCGAATCTACGACGGAGTGGGAGAATTCAAAATTGAGTTGGATCAACCCGTCAATCGACACACCGACACTTTTTCCTTTTTCCTTGATGAAATATGACTATACGACATGTCTATATCGAGCGATTTCAAGCCCGGCGGCGTGGTTCTTGGGCGGAACTAAAGGCGCAGTGGCCCACCGTTGTGTATTCTACTTGTTGGCGACGGCCCGGTGTAACGGTCACACGGCGTTCCGGGTTCTATTCCTGTTGTGATTTTCTGGATGGAGCCCATCTGCTTCCACTCTAATTGGCACTTGTCATTATCATTTATTATTCCAGGTGAAAATGAGATTTCTTGTCCCTTTTACGGCCCTTGCCAGAACCCAGTGGCCCGTGTGATGACTGTAGTATCTGGTACTGGTACTGGTACCGGTACTGGTACTGGTACTGGTACTAGTACCGGTACTGGCACTGCGTTTCAGACGTTTCATTTCCCGTCTAAAATTGCCCCCACCCAACAGCGGCTACAGCGTTTCGCAGTGTCAGTACGTACTAACTTAACTAGTAGTTAGTACGGGATGTGTACATGATGAAGTCCAATCCCGGCATGGCTGACTGTCGAGTCGTGACAGCTCACTCTGCCAGACAGCCATGATGCGAATGGCCACATCGCTCGTGCTGGTCCTCGGGGTCCTTGGGTCGTTCATCTCCGTCACGTAGGGCATTCATGCATGCGCGCCGTGCTTGCCGTCCAGTGGTCATGGTTGTTTGTGGTCGTGGTTGCGATGCCAGATGTGCAGGTTGTGCAGACCGCCACACTCGCGCGCTGGTGATGGATCAAAGTCCCGCCGCCAATTCGCCAAGTGTGATGGAGGAATAAATAAATAGCAAATAGTCTTTTCCCTGCACGTCTACAGTTGTCACAGTCGCGGTTGTTGTTGTTGACGTTGACGTTGACGTTGATGGTGTGGTTGGTGTTGATGCTGTTGTTGAAGTTGAAGTTGAGTCGTTGTTGATGCTGATGTTGATGTTGATGTTGATGTTGATGTTGATGTCGTTACCGCTGTCAATGTCGCATCATCATCGTCACAATGCACTCCATCTTCCTCGCCGTGTTCTCCAGCTCCTACCTCCCAACGCGCAATTCCCCATTGACCGCCTCTTCCTTGGTGACTACGACGCCGGCAACGACCTCGCGCCTCCTCACCGCCACCCCGCTCGCCTCTTCCACCTCGACCTCCTCTGCCGCCCTCCTCCCCTGGAGCACCTTCTTCCTCTCCGCGGCCTTGCACAGCCCGTCCAGGCCCAAGTCGCAGTCGCCGCACCTCCTCCCCACTGGCAGGCAGACCGTCTGTCCGAGCCCGACGAGCAGCCAGTTGATTTCCCGCCACTTGTCCCTCGGCAGCCACGACTGCAGCGCGCGCCTCGTCTCCTCCGGGCTCCTCGTCCTGTTCCAGCCCCAGAGGTTCGTGATCCGGTGGACGTGCACGTCGACGCCGACGCCCTCGGTGCGGCCCCACGCCGCCGAGAGGCAGAGGTAGGCCATCTTGGGCCCGACCCCCGGCAGCGACGTGAGGCCCTCGATGGTGTCGGGGATGTCGCCCTTCCACTGGTCACGCAGCATGACGGCCGCCCGCTTGATGTACCTGCTCGTCCCCCGCCTGGTCAGCTGGGCTCTCGACGTGGTTGGTTTTCGGGTTCCGTTCTGTTGTTCCTGTTCCTGTTCTTGTCCTTGGTCCTCGTGCGCAGGCGGGGAGGAAGCAACAGCAAGCGGATACGTACTTTGTCTTGTTGTTGTGGAAGCCAACGGCCCAGATCAACTCGTTGAGCAGACCTGCATCCACGGCCAGCACGTTGTCCAGGTTCAGACCGGCCGGGGCGCCGGGCCGATGCGGCGGCAGCTCCGTCCGGAGCCTGTGCATGGCCACGGCGTTGACCGTGTCCTTTGTCTGGCTGGACAGCATGAGCGCGATGAGCGTGTGGAAGCGCTGGTCGCGGGGGGAGGCGTTGGGGTCCGCGAGCCTCTCGCACCCCATCGTGTCTACTGCCGCGCCGTGGGCCGCGCCGCCCGGGCCGCGCATCTTCTTGACGGTGTTGTAGACTTCTTGCCAGTCCGGCGGCGGCGGGACTGGGGGCGATGCGCCTTGCTGCCCGGTCGTGCGGTCCGTCTTGTTCTTTGCTGGCTTTCGGCCCCGACGCTTCGCGGGCGGTGATGGCGCCGAGGGCGAGGGGTCGGAGGAGGGCTCGGCGTCGGCGGCCTCCGTGGGCGAGTCTGCGGGTGTGCGCCGGCGCCGCCGCTTGCGAGGCGGGCTTATGCTGTCTTCTATGTCGGTGGTTTGGGGGCCATTTTGATCCAGGGTCGTGGACGTGGTGTGGGCAAATCGTGAGAGGGATCGGGTCGTGCGGCGGGGAAAGGACGTTTGGGTGGCGGCAACGGAGCCAAGTAGTTTGGATGTGTCTTTGGATATTCGTGAGGACCTCATCTTTTGGATTTGGGCGTTTGTGATGCGTCCTGAGGGTCCTGGCGGCGGATTGGGAGGTGAGGGAGTAGAAATTTGCTCGACGCGCGACGCGCGCTTTGGCGGTGGGTGCCGATGCATCGTCATTGGAGGCGCTGCGGGTGGCTGGTGATGACGCTTGAATGTCAACGACTGCTTTGGAGCATCAGCCAGGCAAGCAATGCCGAGAAAGCACAGGGACGGTGCTTCGAATGCAGTACTAGCCATGTTTGAGTCTACCGAGACACCGTGCACGGCACAATACGAGCGTCCTACACATGTTCAGTCGGATACTTCGCGTGCCTGGGTGGTATGAGGCATGTAGGGTAAGTGCTCTGATATTGCATCTCTCCGACCTTGGGCTGTCTGCTTGATGGAAGCCACGGCCGTACCAAGTTGTATCGCATACGTCTGTGCATTTCTTCCTTGGCTCGTGGTCATCGCACCATGTCAACGCATTCTCATTTGCCCATTCATCATGTATACTAGGCCATCAAGGTTCCGTCCTGCCGTCATATATTACCGGCGCGTTCCCGCCACTCCCAGTTGCTGAACCTCCCCTTTTCCAATGCTCGAACTCCATGACTATTTATAAATGTCCATCGTAAACCCACTTTGGCGGCATCATGATATTGGTAACCAGTTTCACAGCTTTCTCATGTCGACAACGGCTCGGATACAGTCACCGCTCTTCATGGATTCAAAGGCAGAGTTCATCTCGTTCAGCGTCTTGCGGTGCGTGATGAATTCATCGACCTTCAGAGCACCCTTCATGTAGTCGCTAACAAGGCCGGGAAGCTGAGAGCGACCCTTGATACCACCAAAAGCGCATCCCCTCCACACTCGTCCAGTGACGAGTTGGAAAGCTAAATGGGCGTGTTAGCGAAATCAAAACTCCAACCATGGCTGAGCAGATTACTCACGTCGGGTGGCAATCTCCTGGCCAGCAGCAGCGACACCAATGATGATGCTCTCGCCCCAACCCTTGTGGCAGGCCTCAAGGGCGGCCCTCATGACACTGACGTTACCAGTGCAGTCGAAAGTGTAGTCACAGCCGCCGTCTGTCATCTCCACCAGCTTCTCGACAATGGTTTGACCCTTCAAGTCATTGGGGTTGACGAAGTCGGTGGCACCAAACTTCTTGGCCCACTCCTCCTTGGAAGGGTTCACGTCGACGACAATGATCTTGCCGGCCTTGTTGACAACAGCACCCTGCACGACCGACAGACCGACGCAGCCAGCGCCGAAGACGGCGATATTGGATCCCTCCTCGACATTGGCTGTGACGCGCGCTGCACCGTACCCAGTGGTGATGCCACATCCCAGCAGACAGGTGCGGTCCATAGGGGCATCGGGCTGGACGGCAACAACGGAGATGTCGGCAACCACGGTATATTGAGAAAAGGTCGACGTGCCCATGAAGTGGAGGAGATCCTTGCCCTTGCACTTGAATCGGGATGTGCCGTCGGGCATCACTCCCTTGCCCTGGGTAGCTCGGATCTTGCCGCAAAGATTTGTCTTTCCCGACTTGCAGAACTTGCATTCCTTGCACTCCGGGGTACTGTAGACGGGGCAGAGGTTAGAAACCACACCACGGCCCGCGGGGCTCATTGTGAGCTTTTGCGAGATGCAAGCACATACTAGAGAGCGACGACGTGGTCGCCCGGCTTCACATTGGTGACACCCTCACCAACGGATTCGACAATACCAGCACCCTCGTGTCCCAAGACGATGGGGAAAGCGCCTTCGGGATCCTTTCCGGACAGAGTGTACGCGTCTTTGCCCTTCTTGTTAGCTAGGCTCGAGCAAATTTTCTGAAAGCATGGGGGGGTTTTAACCTGTATGGCACACGCCAGTGTAGTAGATTTGGATTCGGACCTCGTGGGCCTTGGGAGGAGCAACTTCGACATCCTCGATGCTAAGCTCCTTACCAGCCTCCCAGGCTACGGCGGCTTTGCAGGTGATGGTCTGTTTCACGGCATGATGGTCAACCGTCAACCGTGGGGTCTCTCAACGGAACGAGCGGGCGTCAGTTGGTGGCGGAGAGTACACACCTTTCCGGCAGTGTCGGTCATTTTGAATGCCGCAAGCTCTGGGTTGGCGATTGTGGGCTTGCAGAGATTGAGGCGAGTCGACGGAGCTTGCCGTGTGCGTTGAGCTTTCAATCGGGGCGACGATGTTATGGCAGACAGCGTGCGGAGTTGACAGCTTTGTTAAAAGTCGAGTCGACACGCCGAAGAGCGCCGCCGGCTGCTACCCCGCGCCGGCGCCGGATGGAATGGTCTAGTCGTCGATGCCATTACGTACCTTTCAAGTACCAATAACGTTAGGTAGGTGGTGTCTGGGTAGATACCTACGGAGTAGGAGGTACCTACCTAAGGTAAGGTAGTGTACCCAGTACTTTGTCAGCGGACAGAGCCTCGAGCGTAACCGGCGGCGTCAACCTGACATTTCCGAACCCCGAACATCTCCCGAAACAGCACTCACTCTCAGCAAGATTTGTCTGCGCCGGGATCTGGAACCCATATGGATAGGGCCGAGCAAGATGAATGATTCCACACCCATCTCGTCATCTTTGTTCAGTATCTTGAACGGACACCCCCGTGCACCTAGTTGTCCCAAGTAAATACCTAGGTACCCAACATCTAATCCAGCAGTTACGGAATGCCAGTTTGAGCGTCTTTTTTCTGTATCCCGTTTGCAGGAGCGCAAGGATATTTTTCAAAACGAAGAACAGTGAGACATTTCCATAGTTTTAGTTGGTCTTACTACATATATATAAATTTTTTCAAATCGCATGGCAACTTCGTTGGGCATCACAACAGGCGGGTTGCCATGGCTTTGGTGATCGGCTCGGCTAAACCCCGGCCGGCTGTGTTCAACCCGGGAGCTTCCAGAAAATAGTTACGGAGTACGTGAACGCGTTTTGGCAGCTCTTCTTCAACGCTGCGCGCACCAGGCGAAATTGTTTGCGCCAAGCTGCAACAAAGTGCATACGTACAAAGACACCGCGACGTATGCTCGCCTATCCCTGAACACCGAGAGCGCGGGGGCTCATCCCATTTACCATCGCATTCAACTTTCATCTCGCTCATCGAGTCGACGCCAAGGTGGTCGCATCACCGTCGCAATGGCACACCGGTTCATGGTTCCCGACTCGAGCCCTGCGCCGTCGACCCCGGACAAGAAATCAAGGAATGGCATGACCTTCTCATTCCTGGGGGACATGCCATCGACGACGCCTGCTGGACCGCCCCCGTCATCGCAAGCCTCCTTCACCCCGGCGGGAGCCCCTTCAGAATCGTACCTTGGCAGCTCCATCGTGCGAGGAGTAAGCACCAACAGTAAACCTTTCGGCTTTGCCGGTGCTCAATCACAGAGTGCGTCGGGAAGGAACCTGTTTGGTCGCACTGAGCCCTCCGGTGCACCGCTCGGCCACTCCATCAGAGGAGGTCCCCGCCAACCTTCGAGCCTGAGCAGGCAATTTAGCATTAGTGACGAAGAAGCAGAAAAAGAAAAAGATTCTGAAGGAGAGGATGAACTCCCGCCGCATAGCCTCTTCCGTAAATCGAACACCTTCCCCCCTCTACACGGCGGGGAGGAGGATGGGGACGCAGAGGGCGACGACATCGAAGCCGAAATTGAACGGTACATTGATGAAGACATGGAGGGTGACGAGGATGCTGAAGCGGATGAGCAGGAGGAGGAGGACAAAGGGATGTCCGAAGGGGCCTCTGATGAAGGGGACTTGTTTCTGAACATGCGACACGACGACCGACCCTACGGACATCCCATCATCGGGGAAGGCGACGACTTGATGATGCTCAATACTCCAGCTGCGACAGACAGAGTTCGAAAGGAAGCTGAAGATATTTTCCGACGATCATCTGCACGGCTTGGTGGCTCCATGCGACGAGAATTTCATTTTGCGACTATTGCTCGAGACATGTATACGCAGCAAGATGCTGCGAGGATTACAGAGACTGCTGATTTGATTCTCAAAACAGAGGACTTGGTGTGCCGTCTTTACGACGACGGCATTGGACCGGTGGATGATGCGGAGAAGATGGACAACTCTTTGGCCAATATCACATACCGACTGGTCAAGCTCTGGAATGACTACGTCGAAGACTTGCCTCCGCCTGAAGGGGAAGATTTTGCGACGATTGGGCCCGGACCCGATGCTGATTCATTTGAGAAGGCAGCATATGTCGCTCACTTAGTCCTGCGCTTGCACCATACTAGGTTCGACAGTGACATGGAAGATGACAAGATACCGCCTCTGCCCGAAGTTCTTTTCGATTGGCAGCAAGCCAGCCACAACCTGTACCCAGACCAGATTCGCGAAATCAGCTGCTACAAGCCTGGCCCGGCTAGCCATGGCCTGTTCTGGCAGACGCTCCGTAACGCTTTACTCAGAGGCGACGTGCGCGGGGCCACTCAGCTTTTGAAAAGTGCCGGGTGGGAGAATGTTAAGAAGGGGCCAAGGGGCGACAATGCGTACACCGGCAAAGCGCTGGAAAACGTTCGCCGATTTGCGGAAGCAACCTGTGACATGCTGGAGAAGTGTCCAGCTATGGCGGGTGACTGGGACATCTGGAACAGCAGCTGGACTCTGTTCCGCGTCCAGGCCCGTGGATGTCTAGATAGGCTGACGCTCTTTGCCGAGGGCCGCGATACGCAATTCTCAGGGTCCCCGGACGACACCAACTCCCCTGAGCCACGGTCCATGTCGACGATGGCTCGAAAGGCATCTAGTCAAATACCTTGGGATGTGTACGAAAACCTACAAATCGTTCACGGTATTGTTCTCGGAAAACATGAATCCATTTTGGAGACGGCCCAGGACTGGTGTGAGGCCACGGTTGGGCTGTTTGGATGGTGGGATGATGGAAGCCACCACAGAAACCTGAGGCTGTCTCATGCTCGAGGCTTCCGAGCGTCGTCTGGACCGCAATTCGGAGCCTCGCCAGATTACTTTGAGCGGCTGAGTTCCGCATTCCGCCTTGTCCTTCAATCGGACATGAGCCCCAATCCTGTGAATGGTGTTGAGGTTGCTATTGCCTCGTGCTTCGAGGGCAACGTGAACGGCGTTATTGGGCTCCTTAGGACCTGGTCGCTTCCCATAGCGTCCTCTGTAGCCGAGATCGCCTCACTTGGCAAGTGGTTACCCCCTACAGAGACTGCCAAGCCGTTGCCAACAGACACCTTGGACATGGATGACCTTGCTTTGCTCGGTGTCGTGCCACCCTCGACTGACGAGCGGCAAGGAATCAAGGATACCACGCTCGTTTTGTATGCGCGGGAATTGGCTGGAATCGACCGACTCTCTGCGAATAAAGATGGGTGGGAAATGGCCATCCAAGTCCTCGGCAGAATGGACGTGCCAGAGAGGTCAGAGGAGACCGTCGGGGAGCTTCTCCGGGATCTGTTGGTCAGGCTGGACGAGAACTCTAGCAGAACCGTCGACAAAATGTGGAGGATACTCAGTGATCTCGGCATGATGACGTATGCCGAAGAGACGGCAGAGGTTTGTTTACCGATTACCCAGTGCGACAAGAACTTGTTGCTGATTTGACGACGCAGGCGTTTGCCGACATGTTGTGCAAAGAGTCTCATAGATACGGCGAGGTGCTCTGGTATTATGCTCTATCACGCCGACCAGACAGAGTGCGGGAAGTGTTGAATCTTCTCATATCGTATTCACTCATTCAGTCGACTGCCTTCCCGCCTAGGAACGACCTAGACGTGGACCTTGAAAACTTGCTTTGCAAGAGAACAGAAACGCTGGAAGCTAAAGCCAAGCAAGATTTGGAGGCTGCACAGCTGCTGGGCCGGATGCTCAGTGGCTATGCGACGTTGCGGAGGTTTTACGAGATTCGCGACGAGCAGAACCTGGCCGAGATTTCAAATTCGAAAGCGAGAGCGCTCAAGAAACAGGCTGCGACTGCATTGATGGCCGTCATCTCCAGTGCAGATGACAATATTCGAGGGGGACTGTACGACGAGTCCCGCGACGCCGTCGTCAGCGAAGACTTTTTGCTCGCCCTGCTCGGCGAGGCGACCGTCTTCATCAACCAGACACCCTGTGCTCTCTCTCTGGACCAGATCGACATCCTGCTCAAGGCGGTGGAAGATGTGCAAACTGTGGGATCGCGGGTCTACGATTCTTGCGCCTGCTTTTTTGACCTGGTCCTCTCGTCAGGCCAGGGTCTGAAGGGATCCACGCCGGCGGACCTCATGGCGAAGTCGACGGCATCGTTGAGCGGAAGCAGTTATGTGATGAGCGGGAGCTCAATGCTTGTCAGCCACATGCACAAGTCAACCGTGGCTGGCGGCAAGGCGACACGGGGCTGGGACTGGAGGAAGGCATGGCATGTGTCGAGCAAAGGCGAGGATGTGCTCCGGAGGCTGCGACTGGGGTTGTCGAAAGACCTTGCATCTCTGTGGCTGGAGGATGCTGACGGGGTCGCTGTATATTGATGACATGGACATGGGATGGAAAAGCAACATGTACAATAATAATGCCCGAGGATTATGCACATGACTCTGTCCTCCAGGATGGTGCATCCGAGCCGTCGGATCATCGGTCGGTGCTGTCGGTGCTGGTACTGGTTGCTGATGCCGGGATCGGCATTGTGATTGGACACGTGAATCGACAGACCAATCAAGCGGTGCCAATTGACAATAAAAATTCGGGCCCCACTCTTGCGGTCTCCCGCGCAAGGTACTCCGTACCGACCGAGTCATCAATCTTGGACTTTTGCTCTCAACGTCCCGTCGTCTGAAAACACCATGGCTCCAATTGAACTGGCCAGCCGCCCGGGAGGCGCCGTGACGGTACGGGCATGCTTGAACAGTTCCCATCCGCTCCCAATCTCGGTCAATCTCATGCTAACCTTTGTCTCCTCCATGCAGAGTCTCTTGCGGCGCGCGGTGCGCAGCTGCGGCTCCGGCTCCGGCTCCGGCTCCGGATCACACGTCCATGCGGCCGCGTCTGCGTCGTCACCAGCATCAGCGCGGTCCTTTGCAAGCGGCAAATCCCTCCCCCCAACGTACGAAAGGCTCTTCGCCAAGTACACCGACGTGCGCAAGGTCCTGGCCACGCAGCGCCTGACGCTCGCCGAAAAGATCCTCTACAGCCACCTCGACAATGTGGAGGAGTCGCTCCTCACAAACACCTCTGGCGGGCGTGACATCCGCGGCAACGCCAACCTGCGTCTCAAGCCGGACCGCGTCAACATGCAGGATGCGTCGGCACAAATGGCCCTGCTGCAGTTCATGTCGTGCAATCTCGAGCGGCCCGCCATCCCCGCCAGCATCCACTGCGACCACTTGATTGTGGGATCCAGGGGCGCCGGTCAGGACCTCGACGCCGGCATCGCTGCCAACAGCGAGGTCTTTGATTTTCTCGAGAGCGCTGCCAGGAAGTACGGCATGGAGTTCTGGCCCCCTGGCGCCGGCATCATCCACCAGACCGTCCTGGAGAACTACGCCTTGCCCGGCCTGATGATGCTCGGCACCGACAGCCACTCGCCCAACGCCGGCGGCCTGTGTACCGTGACGATTGGCGTGGGCGGTGCCGATGCCGTCGAGGCATTGGTCGGCGCGCCGTGGGAACTCAAGGCCCCCAGGATCCTCGGGGTCGAGCTGACGGGCAGGCTGGGCGGCTGGGCGTCGCCCAAGGATGTGATTCTGAGACTGGCCGGCGAGCTGACGGTTCGCGGCGGGACGGGCTCCATCATCGAGTACTTTGGCGACGGGGTCGAGACCTTGAGTCTCACGGGCCAGTCTACCATTTGCAACATGGGGGCCGAGGTTGGCGCCACGACCTCGATCTTCCCCTACACGCAGGCCTCTGCCCGCTACCTCCACGCGACCCGCCGTGCTCGGGCGGTCGACGACGTCGACGCTCTTCAGAGCTTCCCCGGCCCGGGAGCCTCCGAAGACGCCCGTTTCCGGTTCGAGGCCGATGCTGGCGCCGAGTACGACCGCGTCATCAAGATCGACCTTTCTGAGCTGGAGCCTCACATCAACGGCCCCTTCACGCCCGATCTCGCCACCCCGCTGAGCAAGTTCAAGGACGTCGTCAGAGACCAGAAGTGGCCCGAGAAGCTGTCCGCCGGCCTGATTGGCAGCTGCACCAACAGCTCCTACGAGGACATGACCCGCGTCGAGAGCCTGCTCAAGGAGGCCGCCGAGGCTGGTCTCAAGCCCGCCGCCGGCTTCTACATCACGCCCGGCAGCGAACAGATCCGAGCCACCCTGGAGCGCGACGGCACCCTCGACACCTTGGAGGGAGCGGGCGGCATCTTGCTGTCCAACGCCTGCGGCCCATGCATCGGCCAGTGGAGGCGACAAGACGGCGTCGAAAAGGGCACCTCCAACGCCATACTGTCCTCGTACAACCGCAACTTCCGCGGCCGCAACGACGGGAACCCCGAGACCATGAACTTCCTCGCCTCGCCCGAGGTCGTCACCGCCATGGCCTTTGCCGGCTCAACCACCTTCAACCCCGTCACCGACACCCTCCCGACCCCGTCGGGCAAGCCCTTCAAATTCTCGCCACCCCACGGCCTCGAAGGGCCCCGGACCCCCTTCGAGTCCGGCCTGCCCTCCCTCGGCGTCCTCTCCCAGGACGCCGACCCGTCGGTGCAGGTGGCCATCTCCCCGTCCTCGGACCGCCTCGCCTTCCTCGACCCCTTCCCGCCCTTCCCGCAGTCCGATCTCGCCGGCCTCCGGGTCCTCGTCAAGGTGACGGGCAAATGCACCACCGACACCATCTCCGCCGCCGGCCCTTGGCTCAAGTACAAGGGCCACCTACCCAACATCTCCACCAACACGCTCAACACGGCCGTCAACGCCGAGACCGGCCAGGTCAACGCCGCCTACGACCTCGACGGCTCCAGGCACACCATCCCCGAGCTGGCGGCGCTCTGGAAAGCCCGCGGACAGGAGTGGCTCGTCGTCGCCGAGCACAACTACGGCGAGGGGTCGGCACGAGAGCACGCCGCGCTGCAGCCGCGCTATCTCGGCGCCAGGGTCGTCTTGACAAAGAGCTTTGCCAGGATCCACGAGACCAATCTGAAAAAGCAGGGCGTTGTGCCGCTGACGTTTGCAAACGAGGCCGACTACGACAAGATTGCTGCGGGAGACCAAGTCGCCACCGTGGGATTGTACGACATGCTGCAGAATGAGGGCAAGGGCCACGTGCAGCTCAGAGTGAAGAAGGGCACCGGCGAGGACATTTTGATCCCCACCAATCATGCCGTCACCAGGGACCAGGCTGGCTTCATCTTGGCCGGCAGTGCGCTGAACTTGCTCTCAAAGGGAATTTGAACGGGGAGCCCTTGTCCGGGAGGTGAGCGTCGTCGTTCGTCGAAGCCGTCTACTGTATTTTAAAACGTTTTTCCTTCTTGGCGAAATTCGTTGGCGTCTGGCAAAATATCCAAAAGAGATGGAATCTGCAATTGATAGAGTCAGCTTATATGGCCGTCTTGGGCCTTGCGATTGATATGTGCATGTATTCATTATTATTGTGCCAGTTGCCGTTTTATCTACTCTAACTTCAAAGCCGCCACATGGTAACTATTATTCATCAGTAAAAAAGTGATCATGTCTCACTCAAATGGGGGTATATGCCAAACGCCGTCAAAGACAATGCTACCCGCCCTCAACTCCATTCGCCTTTTTCGCACTGGAGCTACTCAACACCCTTTGTCTCCAGGTTGGGAACTCCTCCCTGCGAAATGATCATGTAGTATTCATTCGCTTCCTGCTCGCATCTTTTGGATTCGCGGTGCCGCACGCCTTGCATATTTCGTTGCTGTCTCATCCATTCACAAGCCTTTACCCAGTCTGGATTCTGCCGTACCTTCTCGGGGAGTTCTAGCTCGGGCACATCCCCAAAATCAAGGGGCCTCCTATAGCCTTGTGGCTCCGGATCAGAGCGTCGTGGCATTTGATTACCCGTCACGCCCTTCACTTTGAAAGATTCGGTCCGCTCCCTTCGCAACCATCGCAGACGAGGAGCAACTTTGCCGAGCCAAAACTTACGACCACCGCGTGACTGAATCTCGAGCGCCATTTTCTCGTGCCATGCTTCAGATCTGTTGTGCATTCCGTGAATAGCCGGGTTTGCGTACATGTAACGGCCTTGGTCTTCGCTCGCAGACCTGCATTCTATACGCGGACCTATCACCACCCCGGCAGGAGGAGGCGCCGCACCGGGTTGCTGATATATAGCAGTGTCAAACGCAGATGGGTCAAATCGAGATGGCTTGACTTTGATCTTGGCGGCAATTCCTGGAGGTCTTGAGATGTTCGCCTGCCGGGGAACTTGCGAGGCAAGCGGATTGTCGTCTACGATGACTCCTTGCGCTAGACTCGGACCGGAAGTGCTTATAGAACAGGTCACTGAATCTTGGTGAACACCATTCGGGGTGTCTGGAGACCTGTCATCATGCTTTCGTTTCTTGCCTGGAGTGCGGGGATTATCACGAGTCACCATTTCACATGGGTGATCTGTGGAGGGCAAGTCAGACGCTGCGGCCAATATGGATGGCGACCGTGGGTTGACTGTGTCATTTGAGCCCTGGCGGTTGACGGGGGCAACCTGCCCAGATTTGGCTTTATGGGGCACAGCAAAATCTTCTCCAGTTACAGCCGCTGAAGCCTTTTCAGGACTAGGGCTTGGGTCATCCTGCGTCAAGTCGATATATATCGGACCATGAAATCTTTTGTCCCCCACTCGACTAGAACTTGATCTCGGCGGCGGAAGAGGTCTGAGAATATTTGACAAGGGTGAGCTGAATGTCTTGACTGGCAGAATTTCCGTTGATTTCCGGCCCATTGATTTGGGCTGTTCCATGATTGGTGCGCTGAAGGTGAACTCGAACAAGTTGTCATTGGGCACAGCAAGTTTATCCAGCGACTGGTAATCTAGCATATGCTGGTGGCGGGTCAAGGTATTAGAGATCGGTCCTCCTGGCTGAGATGTACCTTGATATAAACGCTGGACATTTTCTGGACACCATGATTGCCTGCCATGTGACGAATCCCTCGGAACTTGTGCTGGAGTAGGAAGATCTGGCCTTGCGCCACCATGACGCATGTGCGCACGAGAAGTCTGAGGGATAAAATGTCGAAGCTGGAACGAGGCCGCCGTCGCCGTCGTTTCAATTGGCGTAGCAGGAGCAGGAGGTATAGAAGATGGATTGGACAGAATATGCCGAACAGGAGGAAGTCGTGATAGATTGGTCGCTACAGCAGAGCCTGGGAAAAACCTTGGTGTTCTCTTGGCTGTGTGCTTGTGTAACGCAGTTTTCGCAACTCCTCCCCCGGAAACATTCGTATTTTCACTGCCTTGAGAGAAAGCTGAGGATGATTCCTTTCCTGCGGAGGTTGAATTGTTCATAATGCTTGCTCATGTCCAGATATCGTGATAAGGTTTGCAGGAGGGAGAGCTTTATAGCCTGCATCTGAGCAGCTGAGCTTGACGCGTCCCCCGAAGCGCCAGAGAAGAATTTACCAGCGACAAAACATTAGGTGACGAGAAACGAATGCACCCGAGGGTTGGCCGGTCTTTTTATAAGAATGCGCTGTGCAAAGTGGTGTTAGAATGGTCACTTGTTTCGTGAATTCGACAACAAAAGAGAAAACAAAAGAGGAGACAGCGTCAGATCTTTTCAGTTATTCATTTTGGACTTCAGCCAAGGAACAACAGCGGTTATGAGTCGGTTCCTGCAGACCCATGATAAATCAATGCCTGCTGTTCGTCGCGGCCTTTGGTCTTTGATCCGTCGGGAAATACGAGAATCAAAACTCCAGTTTGCGACGCGTTATGTACGTCGGACATGCTACTGCGAAACCTGTGAGGAAGGCAAGGTTCCCAATGGGATTGTCAACAGCACTGAGACGCCAGCTTGCTCCAACACCCATCCAATGCAATGTCTTCGGGGTTTCGCTTGCTATGAGAGTTGAAGAGACTCAAAACACAGAAGGTTCCGCTCGGTCAGACCTTTTACCATGTGGCATCACTCGCTGCAGGACTGGAGGAATAGGGACAGGATCAAGCAAAGTAGTCAAACGAAGCTCACCGGACTATGTGTAGAAACTCTGCGCCAGCTGTGGAAGAATTCATACAAGATTCCGTGTGCCCTGAGGGGTGGCGGCTGCGGTGAAGGCGATAAGCGGTCGTGGGACAACGAAACAAACGAGGTGACACGCGAGTCGCAGGCAGCGAGGGTGAGATTCGTACGGGCTGTGAGGCAACCTGTACAGTTAAGGAGCGAGTAGGAAACATAGGCGGGGATGGTCTGATGCGACAGACGTAGGATCGAGACCAAAACGCGGCCGAAGAGACGGGGAGTGAAAAGGTGGTTGAACGTTCTGTCTGAGTATTTATTTGGGTTTGGTAAAGGAAAGGGAGCCAGGCTGAGTTGCCCGTCTGCGTCTGTCATAGTCATAGTTCATAGCAGCTGGCGCTTAGCGGGGCGGATGCACGTCCAGAGGCAGGTGGGGTCACCCGTGCTCCTTCCCACCTTTGAGTCGCTGACTGGCAAACCGACTCGACTTCCGCACATGGTACCTGGTGCATGGCTCGCCCAGGAAAGCTGCTTGACGACTCGCCATTGCGCAAAGCAAAACGCCTGATGCAGCATGGTGGCGGTATGACGGCCAGCATGTGGTGTTTTGTCTCGGGGCTATAACGGTTCCTACGCTGTGGGGTCACGTTGATGCGTGGTGAGCTGGCGAAATCTACTATCCTTCCATGTGCTATGTGGTCTATCCGGCCCACGAATATTCAAGGGGGAAAAAGAGCGACGTGCGGCCTAGGTGGGTTCGTGAAACATGGATGCCATGTCATCGGACCGTGGCCTTGTCCTCCGTACCTGGGCCCGTACTGTGTACTTAAGAAAAGTACTCAAGTACATAATACTTACTTCAGTAGGTACTTGAGCAAGTACTTACTCAGCTCGTCATGAAGGGTTCAGCCAAACATGCGAGACTAGGGCGGCGGGGCCCGGAGGGTCCACGCGAACCTTGGCTCGTCAAGCTAATAAGTTAAGTGCTAGCTCAGTCAGCACTTGAGACTTCGTCCCTTCGCGCGACATTTGATCCGTATTCTTTGCAATTGAAGCTTCGTGGCTGCTTCAGGCTTGCCTTGCCTTCTTCTGCCGCCTGGTCCTGCGCGCCTCTGCACCTGCGCAAGGCATGCGCACTTCAGAAGCCGCCAACAAACTCATCGCTGCATAACTTTGTTAGTATCGAGGCACTTTGCTTGGTCATGGACTTTCTCAAGAATGCTGTGGCGTCTGCCATTGCCACGGGGCCTCCCTTTCCATACAGCTTCGGAGACAAAGTCGACATTGACGAGTCTGTTTTCACTCTGTACAACGGAACCAAGAGAGTTCGACATCACCCTGCTGAGCCTACGACTTCACCGAGTGCTTACCCTGCTAACCTGTGGTTTAGGAGGACGGGTCAAACTGCAGCATCTTCTCCTTTGATATCACGGCCAGCCGAGGCCGCCTCCCCCTGGCTAGAAATGCGCTGAAGAAATTACGGACAATGCGACACCCTGGAGTCATAAAAGTGCTGGATACTGTCGAGGTATACAATGCCGATTCGCTATACCAAACGTGAACCCTTTTGCTGAGTTCAGACCAGACGGAAACCTACATATATATTGCCACCGAGCGCGTGGTGCCTCTTCGATGGCATGTGCGCCGAAAGAGTCTCGCCCCCGAGACAATTAAATGGGGTTTACATAGTATTGCGGTGCGTAGATGTGTCTCGCGGAAGAACAACATTGTCACTTGCTTACAAATGCGTAGAGAACCATCAAGTTCATCAATACTGACGCATCATCGATCCACGGAAACCTGAAGGTGGGATCGGTGTACACATCAGAAAGCGGAGAGTGGAAGCTTGGTGGGTTTGAAGTGTTGAGCAGCGTCAAGGACGACGAATCTGCCATCTATGTGAGCATGAAGAAATGAACCGTCCCAAAATGCCGCTCGCTGACCATTCTCCAGACATATGGAAGCTTAGTACCTGACTCTGCTCGCTATGCGCCGCCAGAGCTGGCCCAAGGTGGATGGGATGTCATCAAGAAAAACCCGCATTCAGCTGTAGACTCCTTCAACTTCGGAGTACTCATATTTGAAACATTTAACAGCGACTATAATGGAAGCAGCCAAGCTGGCCAGACGAAGAACATTCCTCCCACAATGCAGTCAAGTTACAAACGACTGTGCAATGCCAATCCCAAGGCCCGTATTGCCGTATCTGCCTTCCTCGACCAAGGCAACAGGACGGGATCCTTCTTTGACAGCCCTTTGATCAAGTTGACGGACGGCATCGATAATCTGGGAATGAAGTCTCCCAGCGAGAGAGAGGAGTTTTTGAGGTGACCCGATATTGCAATGCGCTTTCTCACAGCCAAGGCTAACAATACGGCAGCGATCTAGACCAACTCACTGACGATTTCCCGGAAGATTTTTTCAAAATGAAGGTTCTACCAGAGTTGATCAAGTCGGTTGAATTCGGCGGCGGTGGACCCAAGGCTCTCGGTGTCATTCTGAAAATCGCTGCCAACATGTCCAACGACGATTTTGATACCAAGATGACACCGTTCATCATCAAGATGTTTGCAAACCCAGATCGGGCTATTCGGGTGTACCTACTGGACAGCCTGCCGTTGATAATCGAGCGAGTACCTCAAAAGGTTGTCAACGACAAGCTATTTCCCCACATAGTAAGTAATCTCGGACACCAAAACTCAGAAAAACAAGAGCTAAGACCCTCGCCTAGGTCACTGGATTTACAGACGTTCAACCAGTTGTTCGAGAACAAACGCTGAAGTCTGTTCTCCTTCTCGTTGGCAAGCTGTCTGACAGGACCATAAATGGTGACCTGTTGAAGCAGCTGGCGAAAACTGCAAACGATGAGCAGCCTGGTATCCGCACGAACACGACCATCTGCCTAGGCAAGATTGCCAAACACCTCGGGACATCTTCTCGCTCAAAAGTTCTCATCGCTGCGTTTACACGATCCCTGAGAGACCCATTCGTCCACGCCCGCAACGCCGCTCTCATGTCACTTGCCGCCACGGCAGAGTACTTTACCGAAGAGGACTGCGCTGTCCGCATCATTCCCCTGGTCTGTCCATTAATGATTGATAAGGAGCGAATGATTCGAGATCAAGCGAATCGCACCATCGACTCATTTCTGCAGAAGGTCCGCAAAGCGGCATCGGCTATGCCTGATACAGTCCTGCCCCCAGCTACGGCTGGAGAAAGCCAACCTGCAAGAATGGGGACGCCACAGCAGAGCGGTTCTGCTGGTTGGACGGGCTGGGCAATATCCTCATTCACTAATAAGCTTTCGAGTGCAGCCGGCGATATGCAGACGGCAAACGGTGGCTCGGATGTTAATTCAGCAAAACCAACTGCAGCACCTGGCCCCCAAGGAAGACGATTGCCCAATGTCTCGGCATCTACTGCACACAAACAAACTGTGAGCTCGCCATCACCTCAGGCGTCTAGAACGACGTCGCCGAGCGCCAGCGCAGTGGTGGATGCATTCTGGCCAGATGACGGATTTGACGACGCTGGCGATGGGTGGGGAGAGATGGGAGACGATGACGAGGTAATACCATCGTCGACGACAAGGAAGGCCCCTGAAAAGGCTGTACCGTTTGATGAGGGTGAAGAACCGGATTTTGCTGGGTGGCTAGCAGCCCAAGCACAAAAGAAGCCTGGATCGTCCAAACCACTACCCAAGGGCCTATCAAAATCAACGGCGACGAAGAAACCAGCAGCCAAGCCAGCCGCAAAGCCGATCACCAAAAAGATCGACATGAAACCTAAACAGACCGAAGACGATGACGGATGGGGGGATGGGTGGTAAATCACACGTCGCTGGCAACCTGTGCAGACTACAGCAGCGACGAGTGTGGCAGGGACAGGTAAGCTTCGGGCAAACGTCGAACTGAGGCGCTTATGTGAACATTGGGATACCTTTTAAAGGAAAATTTGGTCATGCATCACGGATAGCCTCGATTTTGGTAAACGATAGAATTGAGTGGGCGTCGATTTTTGCCCCTTTCTGCGTGAAATGGGCGAGAGACGCCATAATCAAAGGTTACCCGAACTTTATGGGTGATGACAATGGCAAGACGTCGCTGTGCAATCCACAAACGAAACATCATCCATCCGTACGTTACATGACGTTTCCATCAGGACCTGTTCAGCCAGAACTCTCGCACCGAAAGAATGGCAAAAAGGCCAGCCACGCGCCACCTTGGTGGGCGGTGAGCCTACACTGTGGCCGGCAGAAAAGAAGCGGTCGCGCCGAAATTTCCAACCTCTCATGACCACGGGCGACTCCTCCCCTCACATTCAAACCACCAACCCTCGAACTCGAACTAGCCCGGTTTCATTGCTCCTCGCGCGACCGACTCTGCGAAATTCCGAGCCCCATCACACGTTCTGAATATATTGCAAAAGAAAGGAAAGGAAGGAGAGCACAGGAACCATGGCCCAAGGCGCAATAAAACCGTCCACCAAGGCCAAGGCCCCCAAGGCAACACACTCCAAGAAACAAGCATCCAAAGTCACCAAGCCTCAGAAGTCAAGGACAAGCCTCGAGAAGGCGCACAAGAAGTTCTCCGCCGGGCTGACAGCCAAGACGGAGGCGTTGCTGGGCGAAAGAGCGGGACACCTCGAGTTGATTGGGAAGGGCAAGAAAGGCAAGGACAAGAGGGTGTCCATCAAGGGCGGGTCAAAGAAGTTTGGCTGATGGGTATCTCTGATTCTGTTTCATCCCTGTGACGCGGCATAGCGGGGGCGTTTTGGGGGTCTTTTTTGTCTTGAAAATGCGGTTCTACAAGGTTCGAAGTGGTTTTTTCGCGTCGTCGATGGCGCGGTTGGAAAGGGACTGCTTGTAGTGCTCTGGTCTCGGTCTCGGTCTCGGTTCCGGTCCTCAATTGATTGATTGTGCGAGGAGCAGCGGGGGTTGGAGTGTACGATTCACTCCGTTGGGGGGTTGTGGCCGTCCATGCGATGCTGCAAAGCTCGTGTCTGATACCCGACGCCTACCTAGTCGATATATACAGGGATGGATCGGGCCCTGCATCAGTCGACCGCAAGTACGTCGTGTCCATCGCTGTTTCCGAGTAAGCGGGCAGCAGGATGGCCGTGGCGTCCGCAGTGCACCGGGCCTCGGGGGGGCATCACGACAGGACGACCAACGTCGCGCGTCCCAGCGCAGCGAAGCCTCTATCAAGAAGAATTTATTCAATAGTACACATTCCTCGCTACCAGATATGCCGTCTATATCCCGAGCTTGATGTAAAGACCCCTGCCCCTAGCATCCCAACTCTACTCGACCCCGAGAGAAACGTACACACCGCCGCGGCGCTTAGCCGCCCAGAGCCCCAATGGGCGCCAATCATCATGAACCTCGAGTGCCGTTGTATTCCCCCGGTCACGGCGTCCATTCATCGCCTCCCTCTGTTTCCGGGAATAAAAGCCCCCCACAAACCTCGATGGGATGCGTCGTCTTCAAACGTCGCGCCCGGCTGAATGCTCGCTCTACAGCTTGGGCGCCTCGGAGACGGTGCCGATCTTGTACTTGTCACCGTACTTTTTCAGCACGTTCTCAGAATGGTACTTCCAGAACGCCTTGGTGGCATTCTTGCCAGCGAAGCGCTTGAGGATGCGGTCGCCGCCGGGGTGCTCGGGGAGGAACTCTGCGGGCTTGGGTCAGCCGCAGGTCTGGCCGATCGCGTAGAGACGGGAGACGGAATAATGGCCGGCATCACCGGCCGACGAGGGGAGAGCGGCAAAGGGTGCACATACTGGTAATGTCGTAGACGTTGTTCTCGACAATCAGCCACATGCCGTCGGCCTCGGTCTTGTGCTTCTGCACGTCGGCGATGGTGTAGGTCTCGGACATGTTGGATGACGTGGCGGGGGAAAATGGCGACTGGAACAATGGGAGGCGCATACGACGAGACGAGGGGCGGGAGACGGGCGAGATTATATAATTGTACTCCGTGCCCAGGACGACAATTTATTGTTCGCTGCCGCACTCCGTAATTTTTGTTGGCATTTGCCTCGGCTCGGCTTGGCCACGCGCCCGCTCTGGCGTTGCCGCGTCGCCTCGCCCGCTCCTTCCCCAATCCGGGGGGCCGGGCAAACTGGTCCCGCCGACGTCATGGGGACTGTGCGCCTATGAGCGATGCGCAATTTGTCAGGGTCAGGGCTCAAGAGTCACGGCGGCCGGGGCTGTGACGGCCCGTTCGGCAGCCGGCAAGAATTATTTATTCATTCATCAGTTCCAAACCGGCTCAGAATACGTGAGAAGCGCGGTGGCAGTGCCGGACAGCACGTTCCTGTTGTCTGTTGCCGTCGGCATCAGGCACGTGACGCCCCCCGAGTCTGCCTCTAGCCTACACCTCATGGACCGGGAGCCCCCTCCTCAGCGCAATCCTAAATCTATCCGCAAACGCCGACGTACCACTACAGTCGCTGTTCTTCCTCTTCTCCATGGCAGTCGGCAGCCACTCCCTGATCTTGTTGATTCGGTCCTCGTTCTGCACACATCCCCTGTTAGCATCGGACGCGCACAAGGCGGAGAGGGCAACTCGTCAGCGGCCACACCAACCGAAGGATGTGTACTCAGCATCTCGGGCAATCCCTGGCCACCCGTCTTCTGCAACATCTCCATTCTCTGCCAAAACCCGATGGCCTGCCTGGGATCGTAGCACGCCTCGGCCATCATCATCAGCCCAATGATATCTGCCTCGCTCTCCTGCTTGCGCCCCATGGGCAGATAGTATAGTAAATCCTGAAGGTAGAAGCCTCCTGCCAGCGTCCATATGCCAAACAGCACCAGGCCGGATATCGCGCCGCCCAAGAAGAAGGCGCTGCCGGCCGTGATGTTTCCCACCCACGCGGCGGAGAGCCGCTCGGCAAAATGCGACGCCGTGTTGTGCGCGATTTCGTGTCCGAGGACGGCGGCGAGCGCGTCTTCATTGCGGCACACGTTAAGGATGCCGCTGTATACAAAGACTTTGCCGCCAGGGAGGATGAATGCGTTTGCTGTGTCTATTGCGTTCCCCCCGCCCTCGTGTGAGTGTCCGTTGGGTGCCAGGGATGAGTTACTGGTTGGGGTTCAAGGTACGTACTGTTGTCTGCGATGACGCGAATGTCCCAGTTCGAGTCGGGCAAGCCACTCACGGGAATCAACCTTTTCATGACCCTCTTGACCAGCATTGTTCTCGGATCCCAGTCGGACAAGAAATGGCCCCCCTGCTGCTCAACAGCCTGTATGATGGCGTCGGCGGCTCGGGAATGCGCCAACTCGACTAGTTTATCCGACAGGAAGTTGAACCGCCGTCTGCCCGTGACGGGCACCGTCTGGGAGTTGTACAAGTAAAAGGCAAGCGCGCCCAGAACGGCAATCACCACGACAGCTCGTGAGTTGCGTGACCGGCCGGCGGCGGTGAGTCGACGGGCGACGATGTCGGGGACGAGCGGACGGGCATTTCGCAGTCGCTCGTGGGCATCACGGTAGCCTTGGAGTCGTGATTGCGAGAAGGGGCGAGGACGGAGGATCGCTCGGGCTGTGACGACGATAGCTGGGGCTTTGGAGCTGCGTGCGATGCACCGGCCGGGCCGTACAAGCCGTGAAGGAACCATTCTGGACCCCGACGTCCGGGGCACAGCTGTGTTGAGCATGTACGCTGCACGGAGCGCGAGGCGTGGTTCGCCGTTGGCTGGGGAGGACAGGTGATGCGACGATGAAGTTTTCTGGAACGGAACTCGGCAGTGCGGGGCTGCTCAAGAGTCAAGATAAGAGACCAGACCACAACCCAACCACATCCGCATAAAATAAATTGTGCTAGTTGCACAGCATAAGTCTTCGTCACATCTCTAGTACTATGGAGTAACTATGATTTAACCTCCCCGTGAAGTGGACTGGACAAGCGTTCCCATCCCCCACCAACTTCAATTATCCAATCTTCTCCCCTTCCTCTGGATCAGGCTTCCTACCCCACACAACATGCACCGGCATCCACGCATGTACGCCGGGGTCGGATATCTCTCGGCGCACATCGACCAACGAAACCTGTGGCACTGTTAGCTCTTGCTGCTGCACGTCAAGACTGCCCGGATAACGCGACACGCGAGTCAGCCGACTGTCGGCATCATACCTCGACTTCCTCTGGGCTCATATTAAACACCCTGTGAAACAAGATCAAAGAGAAACCGCTCAGCCCGGAGAGGAGATTCTTCTCCCACATCTTGCCAATCTCTCTTGGATGCCCATCTCTTGCCCAACCATTGGTGGGGACCTTGAACATGACCTCTTGGACGTCGACGAAACCAACTCGTTTGTAGGCCTCCTTCATTATCGCCCCAATAATCAACGACCGATCGCATTGATTGCTGGCCATTGTCATGTCGCTCAGCCACCGGGCCAAAGCACCACTGGCATTTACCGTGCCGTCATCGCACCCCAGCATACTGTCAATTTCCTGCGATTCAAAGTATCCCCCAGGCTCGAGTGAATCAAAAGCCTGCTGGACAATTTGCTTTTCGAATGATGTCCAACACCCGCTAGTTGCTCGAGTGTGAATGAAGTCAAACTTGTGCGAGTAATCCCAAGGATCGGACCTGGAGACATACAAGGTTTGCAACCTGTCAGACTCGGCCCGTACATGGTGAACTCCCACGCGGCTGCGAAAATCGGCTAGTGACTTACGAGTCTTCGACGTAGAAATTAACATTGGGGGGCACTTCTTCGGGTTGAATGGGGGATAAATCAGTGGCAATAATCTCCGCCGTAGGAAACAAATCACCCATTTGAATAGCCCAATCGCCCAGCCCCGTAGCAATGTCAAGGATATACCGCGGTGGGTTTGTCCTACTCAAGGGGGAGAAAAACAGTTTACCACCAAAGAGTTTTGACAAAAGCTCGCTTTGCATCGTAAGTCGTTCGCGTTCCCATACGTCGTTCGGGAAAACATATGCTGTCGGCACGTCTTAGCCTTGAACTTTGGGTTGGTTGGACCGCCCATAGAGTGCACTGAAGAATGAAAACCAAAATAACACATGTTCTTTGGTCTTTTATACAAGAAATATGACACTCACATCCTGCCCTATAAGCGTGGTATGTGCGTCCGAATTCCTCGGGGTAGTCCAGCACACTATCTGACAGAGATTCAGAGGCCTTCTAAAGGGGGAGAATTGTTCAGTATGATGAGTCATGACGCATCCTACAACGGGAGCTTTGCATATGAGAAGATCCATTGCATTCGACATACTTTTCCTGTACTCTTGGCCATCGACGCAAGAGATTTCAGATTAGCTGCTGTTGACAAGTTGCTGGCGGTGAAAGTAAGATTCAGTTTCAAGCTCCACAACTTACATTGAGCGCCATCAGAGTATTGTTATTAGAAGGTACGTTGAATGTGAACTCAAAAATTTCGAAAATTTGCATTCGACGATTCGTTTTCCCACTCTCTAATAACACTGTGGCTCGAGCCCGTGTCCACCATCATGACCAGGAGGCTAATATCTTGGTGGAAACGGAGTCTCGAACTGATAGCTGTTTTTCTGGAGATAATCGATTGGCCTGTTAAGGACGTGATCATATCATGCCAATAGCGAACAGGGTACAGAACTTGAAATGCAGAACTTGCCGGCCAACGGTAGGCAGGGCTCAACAAGCTTGTAAACGAAGGGCTTGGTCTCCTTGCGTGTGCACCAGTGCTCCGTGTTACGGGAAGGTTCCAACACAATTGTTATCCTAATATGCGGTGAACCAGTTGGCTGCAGGGCAAGCTTGCTCTGATCAGTAGACTTGTGTCCATGAAATACGAACAGGGGCAATTCTGCGTCGTTGTGGTCCAGTTGAATTGACGGATTCGACAAAGGAGAGCCATGGAGAAACAGGCGGCTGTCGATGAAGAAATTCGCGCGAGCCAACGAACGCGATCCAAGTGCGTCAAATATGAGAAATGCCGACACTCAAGTATCTTGAGTCCACGGGAACGTGAGAGGAATGGCAGCAAAATCACAGATGAGACAACTTTTGGTGATTTCGGTATAACGTTGCTTCAAGCTGCTCCAGATGTGGTATGCATCCAGGTGCGCCCCGACCTTCACACCGTGAATGTTGACAAGAGTGCTAATGCAGTAGAATTTTTAGCTACCAGGCACGCGGGCATCTTCCGTCCCATGGTTGTCGTCACGCCGGGGAAGTTGGGAGGTGAAGACTCGGCCACCAAATGTACGACCAGCAGCAGACGCAGCACAATAAGTTGCTCAGCATTTTTGCTTTTTTCATGTCCAGAGGAAATGCTCGCTCTGTTTCAATCCCCGCCGCCTTTGTCTTAGACCTTCTGGAGCCTTTTGGACCCGATACGTTGGTTCAGCTAATCTCTCGCATTGGACATGGGGGTGACAGGGGGGTGGGTGAACGGGGATAACCGGGCAAGGAGCCAGGGTTCAAGAAGTTTGATTGACCATTGCAGTTGCCATAGCGGCAAATGATAGGACCACAGTGTAATGACCCATCTCCATTTCAAGCAAGGAGTACGGACTACGGAGTGGCAGGGAGTTGAAGCAGGCGTGGCGTCCCCCATTTCACAGACTAGATTCAGATGCTATTCCCGACTATCTGGGTCGGGTTGTCGTAGGCTGCGTACACCCGTTGGGAAGGGCCGTGCCATTGGGAGTTGTCTTGGCCTGTGACGCTATATGTCTTACAGGCATATTGGCGCAACCGGGTCCTTTCCTCGTCGTTCCAGTTATTTCCGCCTCGGTGCCCTTTGTCTTGGTGGAGTACGGCGCGGAATTGCTTTGCTAGCTGCTCTTATTATCCGTTTCCAGCAGCCGTTGTTGATATTGACAGAGATCCAGTACCCTTGTCCCGTAGGTGCAGGGGACCGCGGCTGACTGGTCAGGGTGCGGAGTATCAGCTCGGTTCTGCGTTGTGATACCAGAAAGCAAAGCAGGGGCGTGGGAGTCTTTAGCTGTAGAACACAGAGCTTGGAGGGCGTCATAACGCCAGGCATCCACCTATTGACGGGAAATTTGGTGACAAGAGACAGTATCTTCCATGAAACCAGACGCGTATCTGGCACGTTGACGCATGGCAAGCAGGGAGGGAAGGCGGATTTCATACCAAGCAAGCAAATTTCGCCAAGAGGCTCTTTGGCCATTGGAGGAAACACGAGCGTGGAAAAAAAAAAAAAGAAACTACATGGGCAGACATTGCGAGAAGACTGGGTGACTATCTCTGTACGGGCATTTACAGTTTCCGAGGTCCGCAGAAGACTCTCGTGGACTGTGAACTAAAAGGCCCGCCGTTGAGAGAACAAGGTGACGGCACGATTCTCGGGATGACGCATCCGACGGTCCTGCTGCCTGCATCTGCAAACCAGAGAACAGGTAGTCGCCCCGGCCAAGGTCGCACTTTCCCACCTCGCTCAAATCACTCACCCCGCGGAGGTGAAGATGATGAATGGACTGGCGACTGCAAGAACTCGAGCTCGGGAACCAAGGCAACAGCGATGGAGCAGGAAAAGCCTACTCGTGCCTGACTGACGAGTAATTGATACTCAATACCTACTTAAGCAGGTACGCAAACGCATTTGGGAGCGTCTTCTCCAGGTTTTGCATCTTTATACACCTCCCGGCGCCTGGCTGATTCATCGAAGGGTTCATGCACTCCTAAACGTGATTGCCTAACGATGACTCGCCTCAAGCACGCCAACTTCCCAGTGCGACTCGACCACATGCTGTCCGACCTGTCACTTTTCCATGTTTGGTGGCGTTCTGCAGCCAGCCGCCACGTCGATGATACAAACAAGAAGCAAGCGCTCGCCGCTAACCGTCTGCTGCTGGCTCTTGAGAAGAAAAATAATGAAGAGTATAAAGTACACGACAATTGACGAGCTCAAGCAACGGCCCTGGTCCATCCACAATCATCTACACCAGGCAACCCCTTGTCCTAGTTACTATATTCAACCAAGTACGGATTATTGGCCTGGCTCTGTCTGCAGACCCCTTCTCGCATCGAATGACCCGATAACTTGATACTCGCTCAGCACAAAGTGGTGCCAACTCAGGCCCCTGCTAGCCGGCCGAGCTCGTGGAATACGGCGACACGGAGCCACAGCAAATGCAATACATCTGCGGAGTACGGAGTAGTATATCAGACGATTATTAGTGATGCTTTTGCAGGCAAGGTCCTGGTGGTCCTGGTGTGGCCGGGCCCCGATGTGGTTTGTACTGCAGCATGAACAGTGTTGCCGACGACCCATCATTGCCCGTGCCATGGTCCTGGGCCTTTGTTGACCAGGCCAGTGCGCAGCTACCCTCGTTTGACAAGTGCAGCATCTGGTCCCGTTTGGCGACGCAGTATTTGTAACATGTCATTTGGTTTCTGACCACGATTGCTGACGAGCGGGTGTGGTTGCGTGGAATTTCCTTTCGATCCGCAGTCCCCATCGAAACGGGCCGGGCATATTTCCAGCGACGACTGAACCCATTGTCCCTCCCGAGCTCGTCCCGTGTTGATCCCTTTCAGCTATGCGACGGAGCCTCCAGTCACCGCGAATCGCTAAGGGCCTCGGCGCTTCCTTTCTAGTAAGTCATTGCATATTCTGCATACAGCACAAGAACGAGGGAGGTGGACAAAGGCAGCGTGACGGAAACCAGGATGCCAGCCCGACGAGTCTGGTTTCAGCTCAATGGCAGAACTGATATCTATTCGCACCTTGGCCAGACACGGGAGGCAGCAAAGGCAATGCCTGGCAGATAAAGCATGGCCGCTTCCATAAAAACACCGTCTCCATGGACACCATTGGTAGGTAGGTCGGGCAACTCGCTGCTCGCTGCCGCAATTTCTTCATCAGCCCATCAGCTAAATTATCCTACGAACATGTAATGTGCTACACCCCAAAATCCATCTCCATCTCTCGTCCCTTCATCCTACGACTGACTTGAGATATCCAAAGCCCACCATGTATCCATGTGCGGATCTTTACATCTTCTTTTTCATAAAAAAAAAATAAGACTTTCTTGATCCGGCTCCCATTTTCCCTCTCCTCCAATTCAACGGGGTATATTCTAAGTTGGTCATCTAAGCCTCCTGCATCTAGTTGCGCATGCACTGAAATATAAAACATCGGGAACAAATGAAATAGCGTGTGAACAGAAGAAAGAAGAAAAGACTAGCAAGCCTTTCATACCCACTGCAGGGAAAGAGGTGTCCACATGGCCAATTGCAAAGTAGACTAGTATTCACTTCCCTGGTATGGACTGATGATGCCGCTGTTAGTGGCACTCTCGGTATTGGACAAGTATGTCTGGTCGATACGGAAGATCCAGTCCATTTTCTCGCGTTCGCTACGCGCAGCAAATAGCCATGTGTTGTCGGTGCCATAGACGGCAAACACACCTGCTTGCACGCGTTCGCTGAGGCGTTGCAACCCGTTCCCGCTGCCGCCAGAGGAACTGCCACCCGTGCCGGTCCAGATGGTGGAAATGACTCGCCCGGAAGCAGTGCGGCGGTGGCCGGGTGTAAAGTCTGGACCGGAATTGCTCTGCGGCGCGTCATAGTCGTCTGGCCCGTGCAAGAGTCCGAGTACACCGGGTTGGCTGTCAACACGGGAATTGCGTAGGCTGACGAGGGCGATTTCGTCCCCGTCGGAGGCGGAGTGAATATGGAGGTATGGGCGGCGAAGTTCGACGAAGCGCTTGACCCAGCGGGTTGAATCGTTGTTGGGGACCAATAAGAAGCCGCCCTTGAGGACTTTGGGGTTCTTGGGCACGCGGATGATGGTTGTGACGAGACTAGGCGGGAGGGAGGACTCCGGCGTGATGCCGTTTGTGGGAGGACTGGTATTTGCCGGGCTGAGCATGCCGGCCAACGGGTCGGGGTATTTTGTCCAGAGTTTCAGCGACTTCTCGAGGAGTTCAACTTGGTGGTCGTTGTACTCGGGCTCGACGGGCTTTTGTTCTTCCCCAGAACCCGTCGGCTCCTCAGTTTCCACTTTGATGGTCTCCTCACCTCGACCTTCGTTGTCGGATCCTTCGTCGATGGAGGGGGCTTGCGATGTATCTGGCGTGTCGTTTAACAGGTCATCATCGTCATCTGGCACAATTGCCTCGGCCCCAGGGAGCGCCTCGGGTCTTGGCTCCTGCTCCGCTGCCGGGGCGGTGGCAATGTCCACGTCGAGTCTTTGAAGAGTCGTTTGTGCGGCGCCAATCTCGGCGACGCGTCTCCTCTTCTTGCGCGCCATGATAAAGTCACTCACAAGAGAGACGCCACGGGGGGCCCAGCTCGTCAGATTCTCTTCGCCCTTGACGTAATCATGCTGGCTGTTCATGCGCCACAGATCACCGACTCTCTTGATGGGGGCGGGCCGCATTGTGAGGGTGAAGATGGCCGTCGACGAGCGGACAAATCTCACGTTCTGCCACAGCGAAGAGAACATGGATGCTTGACGCACAAATGTTCGCGACAGGATTTGCACGCACACCTTTTGGATAAACTTCATTGGTTCCGCGAGCTTCTCCGAGCTGATCTCCCAATGTATCGTCATCTGTACGCGGTACTTATCCGCCGTTACTCTGTCCAACAAGAGAGAATTGTGTAAACTCGAATCCCACTGAGCGTGCATGGTAATACTCCGTGTGCCGTTGGGATTCTCACGAAAGATCGGACTGGAAGAAAGCCTCAAAGCGACGTCGGGCTCACTGGTAGCCATGTCCGGGGTCTTACCCGCCGCATCAACAAGTCGGACTTTGCCGACACGAACCGCAGTGACGTCGCCCCAGGGTAAAGCGTCTCCCGAACTATGAGATATGTTTATTCCGATTCGGCGCTGTAAGCCTTGATGCAGCTGAAATGTGCCCGCGTCCAATTCACTCGTTTGGCTGACTTCGACGGCCTGGTATTCGCCGTCCTCGTTCAACTCCATGATCTGAATGCGAGAAAGGAGGTCGTGCTTTTCTTGAGTGAAGAATTGTGACTCGTTAATGCGTGTCGCCTGAGAGCTGTCACGCCCAGGGCCAGCGTCGCGGATGTCGTCCCAACTGAGGAGCTTATCCAAATGCATTGACGAGACTTTGGCGAAGATGGCAGCTCGCAATGTGACGTCCGGGGGAGAAAATACCGAGACGCTCATGTTGTGAACACTTTCAAATCGTATCGGACCCTCGTCAAAATTGCTAATCATTTGGGTTGTGGTGACGCCACCCTCTTCCGACACACCAGGGATGAACAGCTGCGCATGGACTTCGGTTCCTTCTCGCTCTGCAAACCCAAGCAGCTCGTGCATGACGACATTAAACTTTAACGTGTTCGTCGGCGCTCTTGCATGGGATGGCTCCAGCGACAGCTTGACGATGCCAATGGCATGAAAGGTGTACGGTGATAGCACATGGAGAGAGAAGTCCTGGACCCTGCTCTCAAAGACAGCTCGTAAGGGCACGTCTACCTCCCCCACCAGAGTATATGATGGCATGCAGGTTTCTACAAATGGGTTGTCGAGACTCATATGCTGTGTATACTCTGGTTGGTCGAGGTATTGATGCATCTGTCTCATCTGTCGAACTCGATCGTGCAGTTTCTCTAAGCTCCAGAGGTGCACGACATTGTGCTTGTAGTCGATGACACGAATGCCAATACAAGGCCTCTGGGTCTCTTCCAAGGCTGCATCTTCTCCTTCGCCAGTCAGCCCGTTCAGAACCATGTCGTAAGACGAGCAGATTGCATGCCCTATATCCACAATAGTAAATTGAAACACGACGCTCTCGGCCAGCTCGTTACTCATAATCTGAGCCTCCTTCAGCACTGCAGCGTTCTGAAGTACGGTTTCGGCCATCTTGACAAAGTGACGGCCACGCCAGACTTTAATGACCTTGCTTGCTTGCTCAATCTCTTCGTTGGAAAGCTTTGGATTCGCCTTGGGCCGCTTGAGGGGGTCCATCTTGTCAATCCTCTCCTCGTACTGCTTCTTTTGCAGGTTGAGTTGTTTCTGCATATCTCCCTTCAGCGCAAAAAGGGCGGCTTCCATCCTAGCTTTTTCCTTTCTAATCTCTTCAACCTCGACGTTGGCAGCTTCCGCGCTCTTGAGCCTTTCTTGAAACTCTTCTTTCTGCCTCTCGAGTTGATTCTGCATTTCCTCTCGAGCTTCCTTTAAACGTTCATCCTGATCTCCCTGTTTTGGCGTGGATGGCATTGTCAATACTGTATCAAGAGAAAAGTTGTCAATGGTCCCGGTTGACATGTACTTTTCGCGCATCTGGTACGAAGTGACGGAATCGGTGTCCTCGCCGTCTTCTCGGCCGATGACACGTTCGGCTCGGGCCCGCTGTACTTCCTCGAACAACGCGTTAAGCTCCTCATCCGTTAGACTGGCAAAATTCTGGTCAGTGCCAAGGATAGCACCAGCCGCCTCTCGTCGAGCGAGAGACCAGTCCGACTCCCTGCCGTTTCGCGAAAAGGGAGCCGGGGATTCTGGCCGAGAGTCACCAAAGTCTGAGACCTTACTCATCGACCTCTCGTGACCCGACCGAGGGGAGGGCGTGCGATCCACAGCTTGAAACTGGCTGGCCGTGATTGACTGCCGTAACAGGCTTTGCCCAACTTCTGCTCTTTCAGCTCTCGCCTCCATGGGGTGATTGAATCGGAAGATGTGGAAGTCACCCAAAATGACCCGATAACCAGAGTGAAGCTGCTTAGGCTCCGTTATTCGCTTACCATTGACCATGACTGATGCTCCTTCTGAAGGAACTACAGTAACAGTCCCATCAGTGTTGTTTTCGAATTTGCAGTGGTCGTGAAGAATTCTCGTCCCGTTAAGTCGAATATTGACCTGATGATCAGCGTTCGTGTCGACGTTGCCAACAGTTGTAGTACCCGGTTTGAGATTGTAAACAAGACATTCGGCAAGGAGAGGGTCGTCTGACAGGTTGACCAGATGTGGCATCTTCTTCGGCGTATGTAAACCGATGAAGCCCTTCTCAATGCTGATACCAAGCTCTTCCAGGGCAGCCTCCCGTTCCTTGTGAATTTCCTCGGTTTTCTGGAGCTTCTGCTCCCATGTCTGGTTCAAATCAGAGAGAAGTTTCTCACTCTGGTTGAGCTGTTCGGCAATCTCCGCCTTGGACACCTTCTTGACAATGCCTTCGGAAGTAGTGATGGACACCATCTGTTGCTCTAGGGGTGTGCCCTCCGCATAAACTGGCTCGCCAGGAACTGCGGTTTGACCAGACCCGACCACGCTACCGCCAAGCTTGCTTCTTAGCAGCGCCAGCTCTTCCTTCAGTTCTCTGATCATACGGGCATTGGCGTCTTCATTGACAACGGCGTGGTTCTTAATTCTCTTGGCTGAGTCGGCATATCGCAGGGTGCTGAGAGTTTCGTCATAATTGATGTCGGCAGGGCTGATGGCTGCGATCATTGCTGTCATACTGTTTCCGCCCAGTGAATCCTTCAGCAACCACGTTAAAACACTATCTCGGTAAGGAACTTGAGTTGTGCCCTTTTTCTTTTTTCCTGTCGACAAATCTGCAAGCGCCGCAATGACTCGGCCAAGTGTTGATAGCGAGCGGTTGATTTCGGCACCTTCTTTCAACCTCGCGCCGGTGGCGCCTGTGGATGTTGCACGTTCAGAACCGGCTAAATCTACCAGGCTGATCTTGGCCACCTTTTCCATCTCCATCTTGGTTTCTGCATCATACTTCTTTTGAGTCAGCATCAAGGTAAAGACGGCGTGACTTCGACTAGATGTTTCGTTCATATTGGTAGCAGCAACCGTTCTGGCCTTGTTCCCCTCGTCCATGAGATTCTCGATTTCTTGAAAGCTCCCAACAACGAGTTTTGCCAAATCTTCTACATATGGACCTGTCGATGGATGCTCTCGAACTTTGAGGTTGCCTTTTGTTGCCGGATTAAGAAGATCGCGTACTCGCTCGTTATAGATTTCGAGGTAGGAGACCTCGACGGTACATTTAGTCGCCTTATCCTCTTGAATGGAATCTATTCGATTGAACATTTCTTGGCAAATGTTGGGAATGATACCAACTTCCTTCCCGTAACCCATCATGGAGTAAGATTTTCCTGAGCCCGTCTGGCCGTACGCAAAGATGCAGTTGTTGTAGCCTTGAAAGGCATTGTCGAGTAGTGGCGCTCCAAGGTCATCAAAGAGGTTTGACTGGCCAGCATAGTTGGAATCCTCCTTGTTGAAGGACCAATATGATCGGTCGAAGGCAAAGGTCTTGGCCCCAGTGTCTTTTGCACCCTTGCCGCCATGTCCATCTGGTATGGTGAGGACGGTCTGGTTCTCCTTCATTTCGACGATGCATCTTGAACCTCGGTCGATTTCTAGGCGCGAGTAAGTACCTCGGGCACTGGATGAGCGGCTTCCTGTCTCGGAAGCAGCGGGGAAAGCACGCAACCTGGTGCCGAATTCACCTACCTCTGCCGTTAAACGGGCGCACTCTCACAACCACCTTGATATTTCCACCACCCGCAGGCGCCATGGCTGCCAACTTGTCTGCGGGGACCTTTGTTGGTCCCCTGGAGACCGAAAGTCTCTGGACGGAATGCGCCTAGTCGGTTTGCTTCAGGAGCTATGGATAAGGGGCATCTGTCCCGAAACCACGCCAATCGAGGGGATGTACATAGGCGATCTCGAAACATAAACAACCGTCAAAGACCGGGGTACAGGCTACTTGTCATGCGCTGAGGAACAGACTTGCGGATGGTTGCAGAGCAGCCAGCGGCGGCGTCGGGGAGTTTGCGAAGCGGCCACAGGGTTAGGGGACGAAATGACGACGGAACGGGACGAAGGGTGGTCTCGAGAGCGAGGCGTCGCGGCTCGAGATAACACGCCCGGGCTTTTGCCGCGAAGCTGCGGATTGCCGCAGTGTGCGCAGCGGCTCGTAAATCGCACAACAAAACTCGTAACGTCGTCAAAGGCTCGCCCCCCAGAGAGAAGAAGGAGCCGTGGTTGTGGACTGCGATGTTTTTGTATTGTTGCCAAGAGGTGAGACGCGGTCCAGTCGGCCGGTAGCGCGCAAGGAGGTTGAGCTGTCATTGACAGGCTGGCAGGCTGGCAGCTGGCAGGCGGCAGGCGGCAGGATTCACGTGCATCCGCATCCGCCGTTGCAGCTCGGAAGGCAGGAGCAGGGGCTTGCGGCACCTGCCCTCAAACCACAAGAAAGGCCAAGGCAAATAAATACATAACAGGTCCACACATCGAACGTTGAACCGCAACCGGGCCCTCGCAAATGAATCATGATAGCCGAGGAATTTAAAACAGCCAAGGCTCAGTGTTCGCCATGGCCACATGTCAGAACGAATAAATAGAGCAGATGTCTCATGCCATTCAACTACGTACTATTTTCTTTTTCTTCTGTTCCACTCACTTTGGGACCGCGTGCAAACGTACCACATATAACGGTCACCGAGTCATGTCTCGTGTCACCCGGGCGCCATACCTCGACGACTGTCTCTTCAATGCCGTCGAAGGGCCAAACAGTATGGAACTGTACATGAATCAAGGCCAAGCACTGATACGGCTGTCAACCTCCCACCACAGACGGCGCAAGGCGCGTCATCAAATCGACCTCCACACCAGCGCAGACCATCCCTGCCGTTTAATAAGAAAATCACAACAAACGTCTCGAGCCCCCTGGAACAGACTACAACAAGCAATGCCCAACCGCCGTCTCATACCGCTGAACATCCAACGGCCCTGTCGTCCAGACCATCAAAGCCTGCACATGTGCGCCTACTCTCCCCGTGGTCTCCACATCCGGAGCCGAAACATCAACGACATAGCCCATGATGTTCAGCCATTCGCCGACACGTGCCAAGCCAGGCTGAAGGGTTTCTAGTACCAGCTCAATATTGACTGATACCAAAACGTCAGTGTCTCTGGGATACACGTGGCCGAGTATCAGACATGCTGTACCAGCATTGTATGCCGTGACACTGACAATGCCCGCCGTCAGCCATGTATGCCTTTTTCCATTTCCTTTTGAAGGGTCGGTCTGAGGAGAGCTCACCATCCAAGGAACCTGACCTTGTCGCCAATCTCTTGGTCAGGTAGGGAAGATAGCAAGCAGAGCTTGGACGCACGAGGTCCACGAGACATATTTGCTGTCTCTGAGGATTGCAAGTTTTCATGCTGGCGGAATCGCCATCGCCATGATCACCGCTCTCTTCCACCCAATATCAGAAAAACGGGATGCTGATGCCGGACCAACGTGGATAGAATTGAAGCTGGGCAACGCGGGAAAGGCGAGTTGGTTGAGTGGGCGGGGTCAAAATACGTACAGTCAGCCAGCCAACCAGGCCAGGCCAGGTAACCCACCCGGAACGAAGCCATGATGAATGCGAGCACGCAAGACTCCCAGTCCGACTCGCTTCATCGATGTCGACGACTGCACCACCGTCCACCGTCCCTGGCAAACATGTCCGCCGACTCGCCCCCGAAACACGTCTACAAAATCATCCCAACCGCCCCTCCGGAGCCCATTCCCCATTACTTTCCCCTCTCTGATCTCGACAGGCAAGATGGCTTCATCCACCTAAGCACCGCTCAGCAAGTACAGCACACCACCACAACTTCTATCCAAGCTGCTCTTCTTACCACTTGCTAGGTCCCTCTTACTTGTGGCAGATTTTTCTCAACTGAGCACGCTCTATGGGTTCTCAAGTTCCAGCTCGACAAGTTTGCAGATCCAATCAAGTGGGACGGAGGGTTTCCCCATCTATACGGCAATTTCGGCGGAAAGGATGTCCTCTCTGTGCAAAAGTACGAGCGGGATGAGGGGAGGACGTGGGTAGAGATTATGAGTGCTTCCTCTTGGCTCGAATAGAGCAAGTCGAAATTGGATCTCTTGTGCCACGTTCTATTTGCGCGTTTATTATTGATTTATTTATTTTGTTTTGATTGCCCCTTCAATCTACCCATGAATGGCCAAGTCCTTCTCAACCATTCCCCTGCAGATTGGATGGTAAAACGCCTTATTCTTCTCAAACGTCTCGAGAGCTAATTGACGGTCCACCTTGTTCAGTCCTCGGAACAGAGGTCGGACAAACTTCATTCGGCCTACGGAGCCCAGCAGCTCAGCGACGCCATACACGCATGTCGGGTCGTTGGCGTCCAGGGCGACGCGGTAGTACGAGGACTTGAGCTCCACGTTCTTGGAGGTGATGAAGTCGTACGTCTTTCCAAGAAGCTGAGCGCGCTCGGCAGACAGCGGGCCGGATACTTGAACCTTGTCGAGGAAGACGAGCTTTTGGTTGGCAGTGAAGGACGAGACGTCCTCGGGTTTAGGTTCGAATGACTGATGTTCGGTTAGCATTCGATTTCGAGTCATGCGAGGCTGAGGGGTGGACTCACAGCATCCTTCCACTTGCTGGCCAGCTCGTAGCAAGCAGTCACCATTGTCAGGTCAAAGTCGGGCTTAGGAGGCAGGCCAGGGGTGTAGAAGCGACCCTCCCAGTCAATGGTAGCAATCTTCTGCTTGATAGCCTCGTCACCCAGGCCGTTGAAGAAGTCTAAAAATGTGTCCCGGAACTCGAAGGAGTCGAGGGACTTGCCGCACCACTTGGAAAAGTAGTGGGGGATGAACTTGTCAAAGGCTTCGCGGCCGACGAGTCGGTCGAGGTAGTACAGGAAGTGGAAGCCCTTTTCATAAGCGACGGTGCTGTAGACATCCTCGGGATCGACATTCTTGTGGCTGATGATGAGCTTGGTGTACTCGTGGTCCTTGCCGAAGAGCTCGACGGAGTCCTCTGCCCATGTTTAGTTTTGCTTTTGCCGATGCGGGGGGTGCTTTGACGTGATACGCACCAAGAGCCTTCCACCCGATGATGGAAGAAAAATCGAATTCCGCCTCACCGTGGATGGCCGACTGGATCCTGCGTTCAAGATAGACGGTCCATCCTTCGTTGAGCCAGCTGCATCAGGCGGATCAGCACAAAAGCGTGGAATACAATGTCCCGTCTCACACAAGGGGAGACCACTCACAAGTGCTCCCAGCTGGCGTTGGAAACCAGGTTACCGCTCCAGCTGTGACTCAGTTCGTGGGCGATGACATCTACATTCTGACGGTCACCGCTGATGATGGTAGGGGTAGCAAACGTGTAAATGGGGTTCTCCATGCCTGTGCCCTCGTCAGCAAATGCAACCCACTGAATGCGACTCCTGGACGAGACTCACCTCCATAGGGAAAGCTGGGAGGCAGGACAAGAACGTTGTACTCTCCCCACTTGTAAGGAAAGACAAGCTTCTCGGCAACGTCCATGAACCTGTCCATATCCCGCTCCAGCTCCCATTTGCACGCGTCCAGCTCGTTAGGCCCCGTGACAACCACGCTCCTGGATCCGATCTTGGCGGATACAATATCACCAGAGGCCACGGCGAACAAGTACGACGGAATGGGAACCTTTTGCTCAAACTCATACGTCTTGTCGGTGCCCACGGCCGGGGTGTGATCTCCCACGGGAACACCACTAGCCACGACCGGCAGCGAAGAGGTGAGCTTGAAAGTAAAGGTGGACTTGACGTCCGGGGTGTCCTGGCAGGGGAAGATGGACCGAGCATTGATGGCCTGGCACTGCGAGAACATGTAGGGGTGCTTTCTGTTGGAGGTCTGGGCAGGGGTAAGCCATTGCAAGGCAGTGCATCTTGCCGTCGTCTCGAGGTCAATTGCGAGGTTGATGACATGTCCCTTGGCAGCACCCTCGGGGACAGAAACATGAAGAGGAGCACCAAAGGGATCGCTGTGAGGCCTCAGCTCCCATTTGGTCTCGGCCGAATCGACATTGACGCGCTGTACGTTGACGAATCTGGTGTCGAGAACGACCTCCCTGCTCTCCCTTTCGGTCTGGCTTTCGAGCTGCAGCGTAGCGGTCCCCTTGAGGAGCTTGCGGTCAAAGTCCAGCTTGAAGTCGACAGAGGTGTGCTTGGTGCGCCAAGCCGAGTAGTTGGACAGCGTGGTGGGATCGCGGTTGGCCATGGCTGCAAACCCGCGACGCAGGGGACGGGATGAAGCTGGGAGGAATGACTTGGACAATGGAAGAAGACTAGTAGGTCTTTTGAACGAGGACAGCCACGACATGTGATGCACCGACAAAAGCACCTTTGCGCTTTTCATACAGGACCGTCCGGAGTGGTCACCCGGACGCCTCTTGACGTTGACCGGGATGAGCTGTCGACGGTACCCCGGATTGGTGCCTCGTTTTTCGGCCGTCACGTGTGGGCCACTCGCTGCCCGCTGACCAGCAACCACCGGCTATAAACTCACAATCAACTGCACAAACCAACCCTCTGAATAGGCCCAAGCTCACAGCGCCAAATCTGCGCAATGCCCATCGAGCAGCTGCATTGAGTCAATTCGGTCTCTGATTTCTGAGATATTCAGTTGTATCGGGCACGCCGGGCCGAGAAAAAAAAAACCCCCGAGACCGAACAAACTGTGTCTGCCCCGCACCCGAAGCTAAGCGTCGGCCTCGAGCAAAAGTACCGGCATGTGTCTACTCAACCGACAACAATGAGGCGCACGCGTTGCTGCCCAGCTCTGGATGCCCGCCCATCCTCCATTAGTCAATCGCAGTCTCTGTACACTCATCACTCTTGAAACCGCCGGGGGACGAATCAGACCGACAACCCATGCTCCCTACATCATCTGTCGTGACCTTGTCCTTGGGGCCTCGCAAACACACCTAACCACCTTCCTTGCAGGAAGACCGTCGCCTTCTCCCTCAGCTTTCCCGCAGAGACCACCGGCTGCTCGAGCACCAGGTCATGGCCCCGGCCTCCAAGCCCACGAGCGAATCAGACTTTGGCGGCCAGATCGTCGGTGCCAGGATCGTCTGTAATTCAGGTGGCTCTGATGCGCTGTCTGGCATGATGGCAAGGAGACCGAGAGCCAAGGCGATATCCAGCGGCGAGCTGTACGTTATTACGGTGACGGGGCCATCGTCTTGATTGGTGACTGTGACACGCACAGCGGGAGGTGAAGTGCTCGTGGCGCCTACAATTCATTTGTAGCCTGTCTCCAACGCCCCATGTTGCTATGTGAGGTTGTCGTCATGAGGGCGGGGGTTCTACCGAGTTGACAATGCTGAGGAGTCGGTACCTGGTTTTCTTGGGGCTAGGAGCATACGAGAGAATGACGGCTGACTGAAAATTAGCTCATGATGCGCGCCGCGTGCGGCTTATTCCCTGACAAGGTCGGTACGACTTTCTCTCCAGACGTCACTCCAAGCTGCGCACCCCCCTTGTCCCTGCGTGTCGCGCTATAAGATGGGGACGATAAGTACGTCGATAGCAGCTTCGACGTAGGCACATTCAACGTCTGGTAGATCAAGCAAAGGCTGCGAAACCACCGCCGAGTGGGACTGCGTAGTCGTTGCTCCGCGCGGAGCTCGTGAAGGACTTGGCTGCCGTCAGCGTTAGTAAACACCACCACCGCTCACTAAACACGGGCGCGCAGCTCACAATTGCTCGGTGGCAGCTGCTTGTCCAGCCTGGCCTTGGACTCTCGCCACAGCCTCGCCGTCCAGCAGGCAACCAGCAGATCCAGGTCCTTTTCCTTGAGCGGCGCCTCGACGCTCAACTGGGCCAGCGCAGCCAGGCTCCCGTCCTCGCGTCTCGTGGGCCGTGTCTCCCTCGCGACAGTGCTGCCACGCGGCAGGCTCTTCCACACGATTTGGCTGGCGCTTTTGAAGCGACCAGCGATGGGGATTCTGGCTGCGAAATGCCCATCGGCAGCGCAGCTTGTCCACCCGGTCGTGCCGCTGGTCAGAGTTGTTTCTTTGTAGCTTCGCCTCTGGCTGGCCTTGCCCTCGATCAAGACGTGCTTGCGGAGGTCTCCGACGGAAAAGGCCGACGTCTCCTTGAACGTGTAGATGTGATGCAGGCGGTTTCTGACGTGGCCCTCGCCGTCGGCGCTGGACAGCTGGTACCGGACCTTGTGGAGGTCGCAGGCGCTGGTGATTGCGTCGCACGGGTGACTGTTGAGTTCGTACAGGACACGGAACGGCTCCTGCGCCGAGAGGATTGTGCGCCCATCGAGGACGAGCGTCTGCTGGCCGCTGGCGGCGTGTAGCTCGCTGGAGGGACTGCCGGTGACTTGGTCGTATGTCGGTGGGCGCGGCGGCGACATTTCGGGGGCAAGCAAGCTGACGGACGAGAGATTTTTCAGTCCGGGCTGGCAAACGAGATTCGAACAAGACGACGACGACCACGACGACGACGACCACGACGACGACGACCACGACGACGACGACGGCGATGATGATGGTTGTTTGCTCATCTTTGCAGACCGACTTGGCCGCTCGGCTGGACTCATCCGTCTACTCCATGGACCATGGACACAGCCACCCGGCCGTGTGTGCGCACGGCACGGAGTACTCCGTACTGAAGCTCGATTTCAACCAGGATGAGCTGGCGTGACGTGACGTGGCGCCCCAGGTCTCTTGGCATCCGACCAGACTCCTGTCAAGAACCAGACCATGGTCAGTTTGCTGGAGCCCAAGAGCGCCGAGGCGGCACACTGATGGGTTGGATATCAGGGATGTTCGGTCAAGGACCGCTTCTGCTGGAGCTCTTGCTCCATGGGTTCACCGTCGAGCCCGATGATCGCCGTGACGCTATATGCACCTAGTCTGTACTTTGAGGACGAATCCTTGGCCTTCATGCCGTAGGCGGACACATCTAGTACCCTGTACCTCGGGACCAATCCCACAGTCCACTTCAATCTATGAATAACACAAAACGGCTGCCAACACTCGTGACAACCCGTGTTTAGGGTTAGGGTCGACACCAGCCAGATGGATTCGAAAACGAGACACGAAGCAGCTGGGCTCTCTGGTGATTTTTGCGCTTACAATACGGAGGCTGAAGATGAAAACACTGCCAAAATAGTAGTTTGCAAGAGCCACCGCAAAGTCTCGCCGCACAAGTCTCACTTAGTTGACAGCCTCGATGACACGCATGAGGCGGAAAGGAAAACAGCAACGTCCGGCACCCGAGTCACGGCATGTAGACGCAGAGAAAAAGAAAAGAAAAGAAGCCTCAGATCTAAAAATAACACCTCGCATAGATGGCCAGATGGCCGTCCGTACTCGGTACATGGTAACTACTCAGCTGGTTTCCCTGGCGAGCGGGCCACGGCTCTGGATGAGCAAGACGGCCCGTGAATCGTGATGGACAACAACGGAGGCGTCCACGGCCGATGTCCTGCTATTGGGCTCACCAAGCGGCGCGGAGAAGTCACTCCAGGGCGTAGCTGAGATTGCTGAGCCTGAGTGAGTGCCCGAGACTCCGGAGCACGCGTCACGTACTTGGTTCCGGGCCAGCAAACGCTCCGTCACAAGAGCTTCCTTCTTCTCACAAGCTTGCAGCGAGAGCTGAAACGACAGCATGGAAGGGAGACCAGCTCTTGATTGGGGCAGTCGTGCCCGGTGATAAACACATGACTGTCTGATTATGGCAAGGACGAATACGAGACAGGCCTTGGGGCGTGATAGGATGGCATGTGCCGCGAGGCTTAAGCCACACAACACACTATGTGCCGTAGGGCTGTTGTAAGCGAGGCGAAATCCCGTGTCAGGGATGCTCCTGATAGTTTCCTTGGGATGGCTGCATCTTTTTCTGCTCGATTGTCCACGGACGCGCAAGTACAGCACTACACTGCAGAAGAAGAGAGAGAGGGAGGGGGAGAGAGAGAGAGAAAGAGAGAGAGCGAGTGAGAGAGAGTCTCGTCACCACGGTCCATCCACGTCGGCAAGGCTCTCCAGTCAGATGCTCGCTGCCCACGCCGACAAAACACAAAGCCGTCACAATCGACTCCCCCGAACGCCTGCCCAATCGTGCTCCTGGTCATTATTCCATCGGGCAAGGGTCCACGACTTTCTGGTAACGTGGCTGTGGCTGAAAAAAAAAAAGAAGCTCAGCCAGTGGAATGTGGCCCGTCGTCTCCTCGGCAGATGTGCCTGGGGGAAGCCCATCAGCCGCCATTTTGCGCGCAATTCGAAGCCTGCTGCGGTCGAGACACGTCCTCGAGGCATCAGCCAGTCACTTGATGGAAGCGGCCGTCGTCCAAGGTTCCTAGCCCTCGCCGTGAGTTTGCCCAGCTGAATCTCAGCTCTGGCATCCGGATACGCGGATTCGCCCGTGGCCATGTCAGGTACCAATATTCTTCTTTTTGAGCGATTTTAGGAATCCTCGACCGCGCCCGTCCCGATGGGTTGAACCTTGTGCTAGTCACGTATAACAGCCTCGTACGTACATACGTACATACACACACACACACTCATCAGAAGAAACACGGCCGTGCAGGACAGGGATCCTCGCACTGCCTGGACCGGCGGCGCGGTAATAGCTTCTCGACGTCGGGTGCTGCTGGGCTCTCGTGGTGACAAGACGCCTCCGCGCGCGCCCAGTGCCGACGCAGCCACGGGCCATGGCGGTCGAGTTGACGTCTGGCGGAAAGCCGCGAGCCTGCCTGCGCGTGTTTGTGGTTGGGCGGCCGTGGTCAAGCCTCCTTTTTCGTGGTCGAGAAATCAGATCCATCCATCCCCAGAAGCTCTCTGTGCAGGAAAAAGGGGCCGCTGAGCGGCTGAGCGGAATATCGCCTCTCAGTCTGCTGATTGGGGACACGATGCTTGACTTGGTTGACAGCACCGCGATGGCGGTACGAGGGCTCAGCCGCAGGCGGCAGGAGCCCAGGCCCGGGCACTCCTCGTCCACGACGGCGAGACGAGGCGGTGATGCGTGGATGGGTGAATATAAAAGGGCCATGGTCCTCTGATGCTGCTCCAACAAGGCCCATCATCATCACGCGATCCAAGAAGCACCGCAACACTCGTACCCTTCACATCCAGCAAGCCCCCTCTGCTTTCTACTACGTCCATACCCCGTACCGTCTTGTCCCGGAGCCTTTGTGCTTGAAAAAAACAAAATGCTTCTTCTCGGACTCCTCGCCCCCCTCCTCGGCCTTGCCGCCGCCGCCCCCAGCACTCCCAACCCGAGCAAGGTCAGAATCCGCGGCGTGAGCCTCCTCGGGAGCGGTTGCCCTGCTGGCACCGCCGACGTCCAAGTCGATGCCACCGGCACACTCTTCGAGGCCACCTTCTCCGTCTACGAGGTGCAGACTGGCCCGGGCACCCAGGCCATCGACTGGCGAAAGAATTGCAAGCTCACGCTGAACATGGAGTTTGACCACGGATTCCAGTAAGCCGGCTCCCGGCTCCCGGCTCCCGGCCGCAACGGGGACGGGACGGCCTGCCTCCCGCTAACACGCACAGATTCTCCATTCTCGACACCGACATGATTGGATTCGCAGAGATCCCCAAGGGTGCCAACGGCAAGTGCACCAACACCTTCTCCTTCACCGGAAACCCCCAGATGGTCAACTATGTCTTGAACCTGCCGGGCCACTACAGCGGCAACTTCGACCTCCAGTCCCGCGCCGGCATCGAGTCGTGGTCGCCCTGCGGCGGCAGCACCGCGATCCTCAACATGAACACGGCTTGCGCCATCACCCCGACACACCTGCCTGCTCTCATTGCCGTGAGTCCCAACGTCCCGACATGCCAACGTGATGAGTCGTCTTGGTCTTGTGTGGCATGCCGCCGGGGTCTCCCTCGTACTAACGGAGCGCCAACAGGTCGATCACATCAGCGGCAAGCTCAGGGTCAAGTTTGCCGTCCAGTGGCGCAGATGCGCCAAGTAAGTCACCGCACTTGGTGGCGCCGGCACCCTTCTCGACGACGAAATCGCGTGTGCCTGTGCCCCGGAAGAGTCCGCCGTCACAGGGCCCTCGGCAGTTTGAGCTTTCCGGGGCATCTCGAGAGATTTGGATCCTTGATCGACCCAGAGGTTTCATGTTTGCAAGTTGGTTCGTGTTTGTCAGCTTCGGCACCTGCTTCATGTCACTCATTTAGATGCTCGGAATTTTATCACATTTTTTTATACCAAAAAATACCTGTCCCGTGTCCATTTTTGCGAGAAGTTGTCTGCCTCGGACGTACTTTATGTCGTTGGCTTTGCATCGTGACGACTTGTCGTTGGTTGCGAACAAGCCACACACATACATGGTGACACGGCGTCGGGACTACCTTTCGCGTCAGCGACAACCCGAGTAAGCAAGCAATATTTGTCGCAAGGCCCCCCCCCCCCCCGTGGGGCCCAGAGTCAGCAGCAATATAAGACGGCGGCGCCAGTCATCTGACCATCGTGTTTCGTATATCGAGGGGGCCTCGTTCTGGTTCGGTTCTCGCAAACGCAGACGACTTCTTGACGGCGAGGTTTGCGAGGCGGTCCTTTGCTACGGTGCCGTCGTGGTGAATGAGGGCATGTCGATGCGTTGGAGATGAGAAATGACAATGGGGTGGTTGGGATAGACTCATAGGGTAGCTGACGAGCATTGAAACAATTTGGGACGTATTGCTTGGCAGCTGAAGGCCCGATGCTGTGTTGGCGTCTTTGTCTTGCGGGATCCATTGGCCAGTTGTCGTCTCGGAAGGATCAATTATTAGAGTTCACAACGCGTGTTGGGGTTTCGTGTCATGGGGTGACTGCCAGGCCCGCCTACAACGCCTTGGGAATACGTGACGCCTCCCAGAGGGGCAATATTTGCTGCGAGGGATGTGTCGAGTGCGTGGCTGGCCTCATCATGTCACCAGTTGGGCTTACTGATCTTTGGTACGACGAGCTCGTCTCGTTGTATCAGGACTCATTCAATTGAATCCGTTGCTTGACTTTGACCAATCCGTGAAGCAATATGCTCTGTTCGACTGCCGAGGCTGATCAGCGCGTGACAAGCCCTTCTCCAAACCGAGCATCGGAGCCCGAATCTACGGTGCCGGATGCCATCTCATTGCCAAAAAGTCCCCGTTTCTCAGAATATACAGCCCGGTCGGTCCTAGTGCTCGCAGAAATTGAACGTAGCTTGCTCGTATCTCTCGGTCGTTTGTGTCTGCAGGGCAGACCGCTCGTTCATGAGTTCTCCCCGGATTCGCACAGCCTCTGCCCAGTCTATGACATCGGTTGCCGCGGCACCTGAAGACGAGGCCGCTTCGGCTGCTTGACCAGCCCTCCAGTGAGGCTGTTGGGGCGGTACTTGTGCTGTGGAAATGACGGGAATTGCCGGATCTACCAAGAACAGAGCCAGTATTTTCCGATGGCCGGGGCGCGACGGGTCGGCCAGGGAAAACGGCCGCACCTGATGCTGGTAGAGGTTGGGGAAGAAGACGGCGCGGCCTTGCCGTGTGAGCACCGATCCGATGTCCTGCACGGTGCTGTCGTGTCCCGGTCTGGGATCTATCGCGAAGGTGCGGGCGATGGACCTGTAGTCGGATTGCCCGTAGTCCAAGCCGGTGTCAAGCTCCTCGCGGTTCGACTTTGTCCGAAATGCGAGCCGAGATTCCGTAATGTTTTCATTGTCGTAGTAGAAGAGAGCGGTGCCGCAAATGTGCTCGTTGAGCTGCCCCTCGATGTGCCACGATCCGCCCTCATAGGTGGGCTTTTCGGGCGTCAAATGAATGTTGGCGAGCTTGACAATGACTTGGATGCGAGATTCTCCGTTGAAGAAGTTTGATGACCTGACATCTCCCGGCCCCAGATGGAAGAACCGATCAGGACTCAGGCCTTCTTCGGGCTGAGCATCTGGCAAGATGACCGGGTGAGTTCTGTCGAACCACTCATTGTCCAATTGGTTGCGGACAGAACTGCTTTCGGAGTCTGAGGAGTAAGGGCCAAACTCGTCGTCCTCCTGATCCAACTCGCGCTCATCGACAGGCCTGTTCCCCGGGAGGCATTCGTAATGGGCTCGGCATACGTCGGGTGTCGTACAGTTCGGACCAACTTTTCTTGCTGTCAATCGTTGAAAGCTGTATTCCTCTGGCCAGCGGTAAATGACATCCCATGCCGGAAGAGATTGTTGAATGAATCCGCCGATGATGCTGTACAGTTCGGCATGCTCAGCGGGATTCAGATTGTTGATGTAGCTGTCGATCGAAGCATGGCCGTCTTCGTCAATCTCCACGTCGCATGGCAGCCACTGAAAGTTAAGGGATAACGATGTAACGGATAGGCCATCTTGTCCATATGGCCAGCGCGGTGTCATAACCAGCTCAGCCCTGGTTGGCTTGGATAGGACAGTCCCTTGTCCGCAGGCGTCCATGCAATCCTGAACATTGCAGGTTTTGTCGGTCAGGATGCGCGTGCGGGCGTACACCAAAGGCCAAAGGGATGGATGGACGAGATCAAGCACTTTGCCGTCGCTGCCGGGGTGCCAGTCTTTCTGGTCTTCGGGAACATTTTCCAACGGCCTCACAGCATCCCTGAGCTTACCGAACAAGTCTGCGGCGACAGTATCGGACTTGACAACACAGGCCGAATAATCCAATACGGGAACTAGGCCTGTCTTTTCGTACAACGCAGCTTTCTTCTTCATCTCGACAATGCACTGCGGCACTCTTTGTTAGCATTGGGGTACATGGGTCCTCCGTTTCCGCCAAACATACCGCGTCCGCCATGGCAGTGGTGAAGTCGCCGTACTCGCGATAGGCCGTCCAGTCCATTCCCAAAGCCTCGGTCTTCCATCTAGATGTAATCTCGGCATCATGGACTTTGAGCCACCATTCGGGTTTATCGGTGAGTTGATCAAGCATTTTGAGCATGCAGACTTCGCGAATGAGCAAAGTGGCGGCGGACCAGTCGCTTTCACCGTCTCCCATGAAGATGGGAAAGTGTTTTTTCGACGGCGGCAAGTACTGCAACGGCAAGCCGGATCCTGGGCGCTTCAAATTGGGTCGAGGCGCAGACGCGGCATCGTCAGCTGTGGGAGCCACGTCAGGCTCAGCCCGGATCGTGTAAGACCAGAGCATAACCCGTCCAAGATCAGAACCGGCCGTGGCGAAAAGACGCTGCGCCGGCATGGAGGTGACTGACAATACAATGTTGCTATGTCCATATACCGTCGCCTGAGTTTGTCCAGATTCCGAGTCCGAGATCAAGAAACTTCCGTCTTTAGAACCAGATATGACCCAGCGTCCGTTCTCTGCCCAACAAACGGACAGGACCGTATCCTACACAATGAGTTTAGTCGGGTTACGGTCAAAGGATCGGCGTCTCAACGTCGCCGGACGTACCTTGTGGCCCTCCATGGCACGGAGAAAACCAGGCTTGCTGCCGCCAGTGGATGGCATGTCCCAGACGCCCACCGTCTTGTCCAAACTGGCCGTGGCAAGTCGGCTGCCATGAGGAGAAAACGCGACAGAGTGAACCGCATTGTCATGGGCCCCGTCCTCTCCGATTGTTTCAACAACCTCAAAGGTAGTCCCTTCCAGCACCACAGCGCCGTGCAAAGTCCCCACGGCGAGAATGTTTGCAACGGGAGAAACAGAAAGCGACAGGACGCCATGGGCCAGGACGCATTTTGCTACCTCCTGACCCGAGTTTGTGTCCCAACAACGCACGGTCCTGTCTTCAGAGCCCGATACAATAAACCTGCCGTCCTTGGACAGTTGCAGGCAAGTGACTGTGGCCTCGTGCCCGAGAAACGTCTGGATGACACTGCGACTGTTGACGTCCCACAATCTGACCTTTCCGTCGTCACCAGCCGCAGCCAAGATGTTGCCGACCGCTAGAAAGCACAATGCACGAACCAAATCGGGCTGTCCCCATTGAATCAGGCCGTGCTTCATCTCACAAAACATCTGACGAGTGTCTGTTCTGAAGATTTGAACCCCGCAGTCGATTCCAACGGCCACGAGGCCGCCGTCTGGTGAGAATCGGACACAAACCACCTCGGATACACTGGGCATGAGTACGTGCCGAAGACTCAAGTCCATAGTGCGCGGAGCAGCTGAATTAAACTTGGCCGCCCAGCCCTGGCCCGGAGTCTTATGGCGGTCTGGCACATCCTCAAATGGGTCGAAGTCGTAGCTGCCCATGCTGTCTATCGGCTGGAGGGAATGAATCTTGTAGAACAACTAGGGAGACGCAAAAGAGTCAGTTGCCAATATCAAGATCCTAATTCGTGAACTGGTGCTAGGCCAGGGCATCAAGTTGGCGGTTGAGAAAGGCTGGCAAGTTTCAGCGTCGTGGTGCGGTAGCGGCGCGCGCAGACGTGATTTTCATCTTCATCATGGTCCCGAGTCCCGACTCTGGAACTTTGCCATCTGAGAGTGGGGGCTTCTCGGAAGCCTCGAGATGGCAGCGGTTCCTGACTCGCCTTGCACAGCCCGAGACGATCAGCATCAGCCCGTCTTGCAGGGGAAGACGCCACTCTCCTACCAATACGAAGGGCACAATACGGCATGGCTGTCTTTCAACCTGTCATCTCCAGTCCCGCTCGAGTCACGGTTAATGACGGCCTGCAGGACATGGCAAACTTTTCGCACCAAGGACATGATGGTAAGCCCTAGCGGACCTTCTGATAGGGGAACAGCGGGGAGAGTTTCATCAGGGTCTCCGGGGTATCCAAGGGGTATCCAACTCGGCGCCGTTGCCGCGAATCGTCGTGAAAATTAGCATCGGGGCCCAAGGTCCCGTACATCTTCCTGAAGGCACCCGTCTTGTCCCGAACCGTGCCTAGTTGACAGAAGCAATCTCTCGTCTATTTCGCCATTTCCGAGGAGGAATCTGTGGAGCCGGGATCCCCCTCCCTCACCAACAGCCGGCATGATGCAGCAACGTATAAAGGCTTGCGTACATGTGTCGATTGCATTGTGCGTAAGTTTCTGTGCCCGTACACACTGCCTGAGCCAGCTCAATATTTACTAAACTTGCATGTTCAAATTGATGGGACCTTGTCGGAAGTTGCAGTACCCAGATGGAGCTGAGGCTCCAGCCGAGCAATAAAAGTATGACTTCATCCTGATGCGGAGACATGTGAACAAAGCCCGACAGTGCGGTCAATGCCATGATTTTGGCAGGTTGTAGAACCCCAGCGCTCAACGAGGCTTGAGAAGCACCCTCAGAGCTGATGCGTGGACGAAATACAAGATTCGATGTCGATGCATCCTTCGCCCCCTCTTGATTATTGAATGGTGATGTATTTTGAAAGGTTGGGACATTTCACCCGAACCAATCTCGTTCGTCAATCATCTTTCCTGTTCCTTGCCTCTTCAAGGGCAGCGAAAACTATCTTCGCAATGGCCAAAATCTTTTCCTCTTCAAACTTTCGAGCAACGAGCTGGACTCCGACGGGAGCCCCATGATAGATTTCGGGATCGTCTGCAAACAGAGTCAGCATGCTTCGCAGCGCCACCCTAGAGAAGCAAACAACATACAAGCATCCCAGTTGCGCTGGTCTATTTCATTTTTGGGACGATAATCGCTGTCTATGGCGTCAAGGGCTCTATCGGCTTTTGTCACGGGTATAACGACCGCGCTGTAATTTAACAAATTGATAGCCTCGGTATATGCTAAATCATGTTTAGCTTTTGATTTCCAGAATGATCGAGACGACAAGTGAGCCCACCAGTGTGATAATATTTTCCAGGAATTACTGCCGCGTGAGGAGCGACCGGCATGATTACAGCATCTACAATTTGACCTAGTCCGCGCAAGGTCAGGTTCAAATCTCATTGCGTCTCGATTACAGCTCCAAATGCTTACCATCATCACTCGCAGTCTGGTTCCAGTAATCTGAATACTTGGCTTCATAAGCGAGTCCCTCTAGCGTATTGTGCTGGTATTCGAGCAGCCCCATCGGAGGCTTGAGCCTAAATGACTCCTGAAGCTCCGGTATTAGTGGCTCTCCAGAGAGACCAAGGTGACTGTGGATGTCGTGTGCGCCGTCCGCCTTTAGAAACGATAGCTATAATCAGTTTTAGTGGGCATACCCAGCTGTGAGATGTTGAGCGTTTCTTGTTCTTACATGCACCCTCTCGGCTGTTCTTTGAGGAGGGGGACGCCAATCCACGACCTGCATTTAGAGCACGGTCAGTCGCACAGAAGCTGACAGTTAATACGATTGAGAAAAACTCACGAGATGACCCGCTTGTTGGAGTGCAGCTACCACAACGTTCAAACCTCGGGTGACCGGAGGGTGAGGCTGGACAACACCGTCTGTCCGCAGAACGCCAAGTTTCAACGACTGCTTGGAATGGGTAACTGATCCGTTAGGCTCCGCACGAGAGACGTATTCATCGAAAAGAGCCTGACGGAAGGGTATCGGAACAACGGCAGGATCTTTCAGCCATGGTTTTGTAGACAGAATTCCTTTGAGGATGAGCTCCAGACCACCTAGCGAGGTGCTGAGAAAGCCAACAGCAGAGCGGTAGGTATTCTGTCCCGGGTTCGTGTTGGCAGAATTACGGTAGGAAACCCTTTCTGGCGTTGGTTTGATGGAGAATATCCCGTTGAAGGAGGCGGGAATGCGGACCGAGCCCCCAATATCCGTGCCGACGCCCAGCGTGCTGCCTCCCAGAGCCTGCAGCGCCCCCTCGCCACCAGACGATCCGCCGCACGACAAGTTGTGGTTGTGTGGATTGAGAGTCTGGCCGATGATGTTGTTCTTGGTCTCGCCAAATAGAAGAGTTTGCGGCACGCTTGTCTTGCAGTACAACACAGCACCTAGAGACAGCAGCTCGGTGACAATCTGGCTTTCAAGCTTGTGTATTTGGCTTGGGTCGGTGATGCCCAGGTTGCTGTCAATCCATCCCACATAGCCCATTGTTGTATCGACACCTTTGACGTGAAATTGGTCCTTTAGGCTGATAGGGAGGCCATGAAGCGGTCCTAGGACGGTTTTGTGCTGAGCAAAGTATGCGTCCAGATGCTTTGCGCGCTCAATGGCCTCGTCAAAAAATATCTCGTGGAGACAGTTGTTCTACTCGGCCCGCTTCTGTCAGCTTTCTGTTTGCCGTGCATGAGGGATGGAGGAAAAAGTTGCCAGGCGACTAACAATCTGGTGTGCGACAGCAGCGGTATTGCAAAAGGCCGTCGTGACCTCGACGGCGGTCAGATGTCCCCGCCGCAGGGACTCGACCAGCTGGAGGCTATCCTTGGCTGTGATGGTATTAACACTATCTGTTAGAAATCCGCGAATGAAGGGTCCCGTGAGATTTCGCTCATCCTTGGCCCTTTGAAGATCGGCTGTGCTTAGCCTCCATGCAGGCGGGATCTTGGCAATTGTGCTTGCTCGCTTGGCAGCAGCTTTAGCTTCCCACGATGTCATTTTGACTTTGATGAAACCTAGATGCGATGACTTGGTCGTACTGCGCTTCATCGGGGGCACTCGTGCTATAAATACACACGCAGTGACTGAGAGGAGGCGGTGACATCGAACTGCAACAATTGACCTATCCGCACGTGACTACTCGCGTATTGCAGCACAATACTACCTACCACTCTTCCGGTAACAAACTGTGCCCCTCTCGTCAAGATTCCCAATGCTCGTTTGAGGGTCCCATGGAGGGCAGAGGGCAGCTGGCATTCCTGGACTTCAGCGACTCGTCGTTCAGCCGTTCGCTCTGTACCTGGTGGTTAGTTTACAGCGCAACGCTGCGTCGAACTTGATGAGAAGGTATAGCTTCAAAAGTTGTCAATTCCTTGACCCTTGGGGAATACTCTAGGTATAGGTATAAACACCCTTTCAGCCGTATGTTTTCCACAGCTACTACCCACTCGTGACTAGTCGCTTATTCCAACATTCAAATCTTAGCCAAGACGTGTTGGGCCCAATCTGCCACGTCTGCGCGGGAGTGTTCGCGTTTCGGGACCACGCAGGCCCCAAGGAACGGCTTTCTGTCGTATCTCAAGCCTTGTGATTGGGGATTCGTCAAAATACAATAAGAAAAACTGCATGACGCTTTCTATATGACAGGTTGCGTCAATCACTCACCCACTAACTACCACGTCACGCTCACCCACTCCACACTCACTCACTTCACACTCACACTCACACTCACCCACTTCCCACTCACACTCACCCACTTCACACTCACTCACACTCACCCACTTCACACTCACTCACACTCACCTTGCGGTCCAGTCAAATTCAACACAGAGGCTGCGAATAATCTTCAATACGACAAGAGCTAGAAAATTACGCTTACAACCTGAATATCAGGATATTTTGATGTACTTCCGAGACTATTTTGCTTAGTAACTTGGGAAACTACAACCGGATGAGGCGTTTCGATACACATGTTTGCCTCTGTTTATCGCGAGGGGAAATGTGTTGACGGGCCTTGCTGGAAACCTATGAGGGACGCTGGACTGCTGAGTGGGCGTGGGGTGAAGGAGTGGCTGTTGCGGGGAAGGTGGGGGCAAAACGGGCGGGAACTGTGGGCCATATCAAAGTCCTGGCCCGTATCCGTACTCCAGAAAAATCTACACGCTTGGTGGAGACCGGATTAAGCGAACAGTGAACCCCACTTGCATGAGCTTGAAGGACAGCTTGTTGTTGAGTTGATGGGAGACAAAGATGGAGTAGTTACATGGTTTTGAAACATAAAAACGTGGGCATGTCGCAGTAAGCATATTCTCAAGGTAGCTCGCAACAGCCGTCTCGGAAAAAAGCTCCGACGACGTGCAGCATGATGAAATTCAAGTGGCGACTTGTCAGGCCCTGGGGGGCGAAAGTTAATGGCGAAAGGTGGCCGTTCAGGACGCAAACCAAGGACTGATCGGGGCAAACTTGCCGGTTGCCTGGCCCTGGTCTACTTGCGAGGAAGCATGGGGGACACGGTCGAGACCAGACGCTTCTGGAAGAGTTGAGAGAAGACAAGTAGGCAGGCTTGGCGCCACGGTTGCTAGCTGTTTGGAGGCAGCGTGAGGGCGGTCCCTGGTGACCATGTTTGGACGTGAAGAAGTCATGACCATGTCCATGGAGTCGTAGTCGGTCGAGTGTCGTCTCGGGACCAAGGGCGTTTTGACTTGCCATGACTACGAGATGGCGCCTGAGGCTGAATTCATAGCCAGCCTCCACGTCCCAGACAGACCTCCCGAGCTGACGCCGTAGTAAAACATCTCGGAAAACAAGAACGCAGGAACCTTTGGACCAGGCTGCAAACGTCAAGTAAGTAGGAACAGACAGAAGGCGCGCCCCCGCAAATTGCCACCCCAATCCAAGGCAAACGGCGGAACAGAGTTGCCGGCCTGAACGGCTGAACGGCCTGAACACGCCACGGTCTGTGGTCAAGTCATTCCTGTCCTGTCCTGTCCTGTCACACCTGCACGCGCGCCACCTTTTCGAGGCCGCCGAAAAAGTCCCTCTAAAACGCGGCAGATGACATGACATTCAGGCTTTCACCGTGCACACTCCCCATCTTCTCCTGGATAGGCATTGCAGGCTTTCGCGCCGGCTGACACTTGCCGATGACAAAGCGGTTTGAGTCGGACTCCCGACCATGTACCTTGGTATGATACTTTTGGGCACTTTGCTAATCGTATCATCGCGGCGTCTTAGTTGCAGACAAGTCTTCCGCGGAGACTAATCCAGTCGCGACTCACGATCCATCAGTCGCCATCGTCATTCGTGACGGGAGTAAGCGCACGGCGCGCCCAGACCGTTGCGATACGGGGCATCGTCTACTCCGCAGAAAGAACGCCTTGTGTTGCCACGGGCTGGAGCCCGACGCCTGGCGTGAGCTACCCCTGCAGCAACAAATCGACAGCTGTGCCCACCACCTTCGGTTCCCCGACCAGAAGCAGCAAATGACCAACGTTGCGCGAGAGCAGGGCTAGCAATTTCTGGAACTTCTGCGTTGGAAGGAAGGAAAGTTGCCAATCATGCAATGGACCGCAAGCCACCGTTGGTGTGCCCCGAAGGTTTTACAAGAAAAGCTTCAAATGAGCCGGGACTCCCTCCCCTTCCCCGGAAAATCCTGCCTCTGACAAGCAGCACGCTTCCTCCTGCACTTGGCTCGACTACAGCTATCGAGAGCGAGGCAAAACATGTCGGACACACACAAGGAAGCCGACGTTGCGCCCTTCTCCGACGCGGAGAAGGGTCACACCCAGGCTCCCATCGAGGGCACCACCCAAATCACGTCCAAGGAGTCAATCATCTGTCAACCGCACCCTGATTGCATGACCCGGAATGGCCTCAATATCGAATCTTTCAAGAAGCAGCACTATGGCCGGGGCATTGTTGAGCTGGAGCGCCCCATCAAGGCTCGCCATCTCAACATGATTGCCATTGGCGGTTCTATCGGCGCTGGCTTCTTCGTCGGCTCTGGCGGTGCCCTGGCGAATGGTGTACGTGTATCCCTATCCCATGTCGGGGTGTCTCTGGTGGAAACGCTGCACCAGCTGACGTGCAATTCAAACGACCAGGGACCGGGTTCGCTCTTTGTGGACTTTTTGATCATCGGCATCATGATGTTCAATGTCGGTACGTTTTGTGACAAAATACACCATTTCCGTGACGAGCTTCAGGGCCTCCGATGCTAAGCGATTCTAGTCCATGCCCTGGGAGAACTGGCCATCATGTACCCCGTGTCCGGCAGTTTCTATACCTATTCCGCCCGTTTCATCGACCCGTCTTGGGGTTTCGCCATGGGCTGGAACTACGTTCTGCAGTGGGCCTCGGTATTACCGCTTGAGCTGACAGTGTGTGGTATTTCAATTCAATATTGGAATCCTGACATATCTGTTGGCGTGTGGATTGCAGTGTTCTTTGTTGTCATTATCATCGTCAACGTATTCGGCGCCATCGGCTATGCTGAAGAAGAGTTCTGGGCATCTCTATTTAAGCTATGTGCCATTGTCATCTTTATGATTATTGCGCTTGTCTTGGTCTGCGGTGGCGGTCCCTCTGGCGGTCGATACGACTCGTATTGGGGAGCGCGCTACTGGTATAACCCAGGTGCCTTTAAAAACGGCTTTAAGGGCTTTTGCTCGGTTTTCGTTACGGCAGCCTTCTCGTTTTCCGGCACCGAATTAGTTGGCCTGGCCGCGGCAGAGTCCAGCAACCCCGTTAAAACCATGCCTGGCGCCATTAAGCAGGTGTTCTGGCGAATTACCCTCTTCTACATCCTGGGTCTCTTCTTCGTCGGGCTCCTAATCGAGGATACAGATACAGCCTTGCTCAACGCCGGAGCTTATAATGACCCCAAGGCATCACCGTTTGTCCTTGTGGGTAAATACGCAGGCCTCAAGGGGTTTGATTCTTTTATGAATCTTGTTATTCTTATTTCCGTGCTGTCTATTAGTGTGTCAGCTGTTTATGGAGGCTCACGAACGCTCACCGCCCTCGCACAGCAAAAGTACGCCCCCAAAATCTTCACATACATCGACAAGTCTGGCCGACCGCTGTTCTCGGTCATTGCCATCATTCTCTTTGGCCTCATTGCCTTTGTCAGTCTCAGTGCTACCGGCCCGGTCGTCTTTACCTGGCTACTCTCCATTTCAGGTCTCGCCACCCTCTTCACCTGGGGCTCTGTCTGTGTAGCTCACATTCGGTTCCGCAAGGCCTGGGCGTACCATGGACACACGGTTGATGAAATCCCCTTCAAAGCCGCAGGAGGCGTTTACGGTTCTTGGCTAGGTTTATTCCTCTGCGTTGTCGTTCTGATGGCACAGGTGAGCTTGTCCCCGGACCCCTGTCTTTTCGTCGACGCTGTGCCACTGACATGTAAATTCCAGTTCTACTCTGCGATCACGGCACCGCCCGGGGAGCCCGGTATGGCGACGGCCAAGAGCTTCTTCCAGCAGTACCTCGCCGCTCCTGTGATTCTTTTCTTCTGGGCCGTTGGCTATCTCTGGAAGCGCGAGGGCTGGTTGCGAACCTCACAGATCGACGTCGACACTGGACGTCGTGAACTGGACTGGGACGCCATCAATGCCCACCGAGCCAAGGTGGCTGCCTGGCCGGCATGGAGACGCCTGTTCCACAAGATGTTTTAGGTGCCACGCCCATGTTTCGAGGTCGACTGCGCGGTGGAATGTAAGTGCGTTCATCTCAGAAATTCAGTAGACCTGCACATATGTCTATAGCATACGTTTTCCTTCTGTTGCAAAGAGCAGTCATCTCCAGACGGGATCGTCACGGCCATGGTGCGTAGCTCAAAACAAAGTTGCCCCGTGAAACAAATTGACGCTGTCTCGGCCGAAACTTGCTGCTCCCCGGTGAAACGGTGTACATCTATTGGCCGATCCGAAGAACTGGTGGCACACCTGGCATGGAGATGATCTACCGTATCAATCAATGGCGGATGCCAAGGAAATGGGCATTGGCAGTCTCCATCCCGCCGGGCCTTGGCGTCGGCGTCGCCAGGATCGCCCAGCTTGGCAGACTTGGCAGGTTTCGCGGGTTGGAACGAGCGAGTAACCGTAGACACGGGTAAATAGCGTTGTGGATCATGGATACGGGGGTTGAGCGTGTATTTATAGTGAGTATCCCCCAGTCACAAGCTGGGGGTAAGGAATCGATCGATCCATCGTCGAGGCAGAGCGCTGCGCCAGAATTGGTTCCGCGTCACAGAATCACAATTCCAAGCGCGGCCAATGCAACAATCTCCAGCCGTGCCATGGCCCTGCTGCCCACCGACCCCGACCGAGGCATGCCGTCCAACACAGTAAATTGCTCCGCGTGCTCCTTGTACAAGACGCTCGTGTCGAGGACTTCCCCGGTCCTGGACCGAATAAAGTCGACCTGCAGATGACGCCTGTCTTTGAACGACACCTTTGCGAAACTAAAGTCGTCGGCGTACGCAAATGCATTGTACGAGACGTTCTTGCCTATTGGGCGTAGGCCTTCGATGTTTCCCGCGCCACCCGCTACGATGTACATGGGCGCCTTTGGATCTCTCATGCCATTCGGGTCGGGGGTGCCGTTGTGGATGGGCACAAGGCGCTGCGAGTTATGCACGTGGCCGAACACGGCGAGGTCGACGCCGTACCTGTAGAGCAGTGGCTCGAAGGCCTTCTGGCAGGGCCTGCAGGCTTCGCCTCCGCCTGTCTTGTACCAGGGCCGGTGTCCTGCGACGACTAACCAGGGCGTGACTGTGCGGTCGACCGACGCGAGGTCCGCCTCGATAAAGTCGGTCTGCTGACTTGGCGAGCCAAACGGGCCGCCGTCGTCGCCGGTCGAACCGCCAATGCCGTCGGGGGCCTTGGGGAAGTCTGTCTCGGTGTCAATCATGACGATGTGGGCCATGCCGTATTCAAACGAGTACCAGAACGGCGGCCGCGCAAGCTTCTGCGCTGCCAGGGACCTTGCCATCGCCGTGGCGTTGGACGAAGAGGACGGGAAAGCTGTGGGTAGAGTCGCGCCGAACCGGTGCATGAAGTCGGTGAAGTTGGTCTGGCCGGAGGGACAGTCGTCTCTGACGTGGTGGGTTATGTCGCAGGTTGCTTCGTGGTTGCCGGGACTAGCCATGTACGCCTTGCGTCCGGCAATTGGAGCCAGCTGCTGGTAAAACTGCTCCAGAATGGACTGGTAGGCCGCCTCGCCGTGATGGCGATTTTGGTGCTTGTCGTACCAGTTGTCGGCGTAGGCAAAGTCACCGGGGTGTATGATGAGCTCATAGTCGTCAGTGGTGTCGGCGAGTCTGCCAATGGTGGAGTGGTTGAGCGCCGGTTCGATCTTGGGAATGGCGTCTCTCTTGCTGGTGGTGAAGCCGTCGGTTCCATAGACACCCAGGTCAATCACGACGTCCATGGCGAAGGGGGTCGCGTCGCCAGATTCCCTAGGGCTCACAAAGTGATGGATGCTGGAGTTGGTGGACACAATCTTGTAATAATAAGTGGCGGCAGGCGTCAGCCCATCCATGACAACAGTGTTGAACCACGTGCGGCATGTTGAATACGTCTCGGAAGCGTTTGAGCAAGCTTTCTGGATGAGAGCGTCGCTTGCCAGGCCGTACTGAACGCAGGGCCTGCTCAGGTGCTGATAAGTGTTCCAACCGACGGATATTTCTGCATGAAATCGGTAAGAGACGACGTATACACTGTTATGAAAACGCCCATTTACATACTATTTGGACCGAAGATGGCGATGCGTTGCTGGACGGGGGTTGTCAAGTCGAGCGGTTGGGGAGGATATATATCAGAGGCTGCCACGCAAAAGCTCGCCAACACGAGAACGACGTTGATCACGCCGGGTAGCAAAAGCATTTTTCGAGATGGCTCCGGGAAGCCCGGCGCTGCTGGTTGCTATGGACGAAGAAGCCAAGGAGCTCGTCAGCTCGGCGAAATCGACCGACCGCTGGGCGTTGGGTGGCGGAGTCTGCGCATGTGGTTGAAAGGATGGATGCCAGACTCCAATGGATGAGCTGTCGACTCCCAACTCCTCCATTGCAGCTTCAGCGTTTGACTGACAAGAAGCAAAAGAGTACAGTAAGTCCTGCCATCGAGGGACTCATCCCTGGCGCGCACTCGGTCCTGGACTGGTCACAATCCCGAAGCCAGCTCGAGGCCTGGAGGGCAGGCCAGCATCGGAAGCTCCATTACCCCAGCAACTCGGTGGCCGTCCACATGACGCTCGGCTTCGGCGAGACGTTCGTCTACCTCAATCTCCTGTACTACGTGAGGTAAGAATCCCCTTCCCACAGCGGTAGCGGTCGACGGGGCTCCCAACTTGCCGCCGCCGCCCCTGCTTACGCCTTGTCAGCACCCTCATGCTTCACCGCGAGTACTTCCCCTTCCTGCCGACCCCGGAGTCGGAGCCACGGGGTCCAGTCGACCAGCCCATGCTGGGGGCGCCCGCCCCCGAGGGCTGGTGGGACGACAGCTCCCGACTCCTCTTCGGCGCGGCAGAGCACATCGCCGCCATTCTACACGAGGCCTCCGAGTGTGGCGTGCATCTCATGACGCCCTTTGCCGGGTTCTGCGCATTCTCAGCCGGCTACCTCAACCTCTACGTGGCGAAATACCCCCGAATGAACCTGGGCCGCAGCCCGCGAGCAAGCGACTGTCTCAAAATGTGTCTCGACTACCTGGAAAAGTTTCGACTTGTCTGGAAAATCGCCGACGGATGGGTAAGCCGCCCGCAAGCATGACACGACCGTGGCCACCGTTGCGCTAACATTGAGAGGGCGGCACGCGCAAGATCAAAACGATACACCATGCATCCGTGCTCTACGAGCGAGCAACCGAGGACCGGACACGATACCAGGGGCGCACACGAGCAGACTTTGATACTCTACACCAGTCTGTCCACGAGTTCCGTGTCGTGGATAGATCCGACGCGCATACTCGGGAGATTCGGGGCGCGGAGCGGCCCTCGGCGCAGGCGACTTGGCCGGTTCAAGGGCACGAGCACGAGCACGAGCACGAGCACGAGCTCGACACTAATACCTTGTTGAACCAGCTTTTCGCGGAAGTCAGCAATAACCTCGACGAGCAGGGGGCCTGGTCTCAATGGTGGCCGGCGATTGATCAGGTGGATCTTTAATGAGCTGCGTAATTACATCCGGGGTTTTTTTTTTCGTTGAAGCTTCCAATGAATGAGTGACGACCTTTGATTTTTTTGATTTTTTTTTTAAAAAGGGCTGTAATATCTGGTTTTCTATACATGTCCTATTTTTATTTCCCGGTCTAGAAAAACAGTCAACAGATAATGCACCTCTTCATATGGCTCCCCTCCCGTCACCGCCAACAAATGCATACCTGTCGCGTCAACCATTCGCCGTTTCTCCTTCCAATCACGCCTTTGCAAAGACCTTTCTCGAGTTCATCAGGCGAACAGCAAGCATAAAGAGCATGCCGACAAAAGGCGCCACAACCACGCCAAGAGGACGTTTTTTGAAGCAGCTAAAAAGGCACGTAAATGGCGTCTGGATTCTGTACTAGATCTACTAGAAATTTGGGACGAGAAGGGTGTACATTATAGGCGAAGAGGTTAATAGCGTTATTAGGTTGAAAATTGGCCCGCCTTGGTGTCCGGCCCGCCTTGCTGTCGAGCACCACCTTTGGTGGTGAGGGCTTTTGCTAGCCGAACCACATAAAGTGGGGCGGGCACGATTAGTAACTTGGGTGGATCTGGATTAGAGTGGCGGGGGTTAGGGTGAGGGTTACGGTTAGGGTTATACGGGCCAACCACGTGGGTCTCGGCACTTTGACTGACAACTCGGCGCTCTGTCCGGTCAGGCTGCGCAGTGCGCGAACACCAAGGACTCAAAAACCCTACACCGTGACACAGGTCCCCAGGGTCGACAATTTCTCCCCGGGGAGGGGCTTGACATTTTGGAGGCGTGAGTCCACCGGGTGAAAGTGCATAGAATGATTTCTTACATGCTATGAGCCTGGTGGGATTCGGTGCACAAAAGCTTTATGGGTCAGTCTGTATGGCACTTCCAGCCGACCAAGCTGGATGTTGAAAGGAGCCTCCAGCTTCATGAGTCTCATCCCAGAGGCAAGGTCCCCTTCCCGACCGCTCGTCGACACAGCAGGAGACCGAGCAGAGCAGCGGGAGCGATAATGCAGGACTGAACCCAGCGGGTTGAAGGCGGGAAATGCCAATAATGGCAGTCGCTACTGACGAAGGAGTCTCATGATGGAACATTTTGGAACCACGGCGGAAAATGTACACCTCCTGAATTTGAAAGAACTACTTTGACTGTGAAAGCCGAGCCTGCCCGCGTCGTAGCCGATGGACCTGCAATCATTCGCAAAGCCTGCCGCCATCTGTCCGCAATACACTCTGCATCCACGGCGTAAGCTGAGTAGTATCAGTGACAATCTCTGGGGCCTGTCGACAGCTCCGGCCGTACGACGATATCCCAAGTACAGAGTATCTCCTAGAGCCCGGGTTCTGCCACAGCAACACGGGCCCCTCGAAGGCGTCTTGGCACTCGGCCGGTTCCGTTCCGTATGCACAGAACTGCGGTCCGCCAGATGGGCGAGCACTGCAGGATGCCAGGTCATGAGTCTCAAAGGTTGCTTGCAAAAGCGGCGAAACGGCTTGTCCTCCATCCCACGTCGAGTCCCACGCCACCGCAACGGCTTTCTGGTTGTCTATATGCTCGAGATGATCAAGCACACATACGGCACCTGTCGAATGTCCATCAAAGGTCAGGGAATCTTGTAATTGAAGCAGGGAAATGTCGTAGACAAGTCGTTCCGGGTCCCACTGAGGGTGGTTATGGATGACCATGACCGTCTCAAGCTTAGCTCCTGTCGCATTGAACCTGTTTGATCCGGCGTAAACACCGACATCATCTGCTCGCACGCCGTTGACGCAGTGCGCAGCAATGAGTACGTGATGCTCATCAATAATGGCGCCAGCGCATGGTGTTCCCCGAGGCTCGGATTTGTACACAACCGCGGCTATGAATGGATATTCCTGCGGCCCCGTCTGCTTCCCGTTCCCAGCAGCAGCAGCAGATTGCGAATGTTCATCTGTACTGCCTTGTTGTCGGTCTTGGGAGATGGCCTCTGCATGCGTGTCAGCCTGCTCCGGCAGAACGGAAGCGCCATCATGCTGGTTTGCATATCCGCAGATACACTGGCGACTCCAAGCTTTGAGCGGAGCCAGTAGCAAGAGTACGTTGTTGTATTTCATCTTGTATTGGTAAAGGACGACGTTGGAACGAATAGACTTTGAGTCTTGCAAGGAGGATCGTGCCAACACTGGCCGTCGGTGCCCTGTCTCAGTATTTAAATCTTCGTGGCATGCAGTAGGACAGTACTACATCCGTCTTGAGTCTTGACCGACACCATTCATACTTGCCCCGGCGTCAAGAGACCAAGCCCGGTATCCGCTCCGCCGGGAGAGTCAATTGACAAAAATTGTCATTTGACGAGCAACCGAGGCATTTGCGATTGCGACACCACGATGCACTCACTGTCCAATGGGAGGTCCGACAAGGCGAGCTACTTGGACCAAGAACTAGCCATCATCCTACTGCAGCAAACTCGGTCTGAGCAACCACATGAATGCGACGGGCCATGGTTTATAAAGACCAGAGTCGGAAGGAATGTCACCGCAGCCACCAACTTTTCGGAGCGCAGTGCAACACACTGTTGTCCAGCGTCATCTCGATCACAGAGATGGTGAATGCCCGTGTGCAGAATGAGTCGCGGCTCCCATTGCATCATTTGACGCTTCACGGTAATCCGAGGAAATGGGAAATGTTCAAGCTGGCGGCGTAACTAGAAAACCTGCGTCTTGAAGAGGATATAGATGATCTTGTCAATGGGCATAAGTCCCTGGCTGGCCGACTGGGCAGAAGGTGTCTTGGCGTGTGTCGAGCACTGGACTTGTTAAAATGCATCGAAAGCCAAGAAGTGTTTGGGAGCAATTATGCTCACTTAGAAAAGGTTATTTTGCACAAATTTGGTCCTGTCTGTTGCCGCCAGTCGACCATGAAACCTGAGCAGAGACACAAGAGGGGAACCGCAAAAGGCCTGCGCGGCTTGTGGAATAAAAGCCAGTCTAAATTTGCAAAACTCAATGTTGTCCAAGCGCGTCGACAGCTGTCCTATCCTCTCCAGCCAAATTTACCGGAAGCTCTCACGCATGGTGACTTCCTGGTGGTGGTATTCTATCTAGGTGACGAGAATAAGTTGGAGATTGTAGGCATCGTCGACTGATCCCGGGTGGCGCTTACGCCTTTCGGCAAGGGTTCAGACGTCCTCCGGGGCTCACTTTAGTTGAGTTCGCCTCTGAGGTGGAAGGGATGGCGTGTCGACCCCGAACATGTCGATGACTCTGAACATATCTACTCTCGTCTCCCAAATTGAAGGAACAGACGGAGTCGCATGAGACGAATGAGCGTTTGGACCACGCAGGTGGTTCCGGGATTTATCAATTCTCTAGGCGACAATGAGGGCTTATGAATATGCCAAAGACCAGAGGTGCTACATGGTGACTTGTAGACCAGGCCTGACACGGCTTTGCCTATCGCGATAGTTTCATGTGACGGTTCACATCCTTGTAGAGCAGGTAGCGGAATTTGCCAGGGCCGCCAGCGTAGCAGGCCTGCGGGCAGAAGGCACGCAGCCACATGAAGTCGCCCGCTTCGACCTCGACCCAGTCCTGGTTCAGGCGGTAGACAGCTTTGCCCTCCAGAACATAGAGTCCGTGTTCCATAACGTGGGTTTCCGCGAACGGGATGACACCGCCCGGCTCAAACGTGACAACGTTGACGTGCATGTCATGACGGAGATCGCAGGGGTCGACGAAGCGCGTTGTTGCCCACGCACCGTTTGTGCCCGGCATGGCCGAGGGCGTCATGTCGGCTTCGTGGAGGAACAGAGGCTCGGGCGCATCCAGCCCGTCCACATACTCGTAGGCTTTGCGTATCCAGTGGAACCGGGCCGTCGCCGCGGCCGCGTTGCGCAGAGTCCAGAGGCTCTTCGGTGGCAGATAGGCGTAGCCGCCCTCAGCAAGCACATGTGTCTCCTTTGCCATTGTGATGGTCACGCTTCCCTCTACCACGAACAGCACGCCTTCTGCCCCTTGGTCCAGTTCGGGGCGGTCACTGCCGCCGCCCGGCTGTACTTCCATGATGTACTGCGAAAAGGTTTCCGCGAAGCCTGACAACGGACGGGCAATCACCCACAGTCTCGTCTTGTCCCAGAAGGGCAGGAGGCTCGTCACGATGTCACTGAATGTGCCCTTTGGAATTACGGCGTATGCCTCGGTGAACATGGCGCGGTCGGTGAGAAGCTGCGTCTGCGGCGGCAGTCCGCCTGCTGGTGCGAAGTAAGTCCTGGCATTCTTGTTGTTGGCCATGGCGAGGAATTGTGTAGGGCGAGGGGATTCAGCCTTGGAGGAACCAGCAGGTCGGGATGAGTTGATTTTGAATGGGGCCTCGTGCTCTCAAGTAGAGAATCGAGATGGGGACAGCAGAGTTGAGAAGGCAGTCATTGCACACGACGAGTTCTCGCATATGGAGGTCAAGGACATGTGCGGCGTTGCCCGAAGCTTGAACCATCACGTTCGGGTCGCACCGACCGACTGAGGAAGGGACGTGAAGCAGGTACCTGGGTACTTGAGCACTAGGTCGCACCTACCCTAGCTTGGGCGGAAACTTCCGCATTAGATACTACTTAAGTAAACTACTTAGCTTTTAAGTACTTAAGTAGGCGTGCCTTGTACTTGCCGATAACGTCATCTGGTTGTTCATGGTTTCAATACCGAGTCGAGTGGTTGAGTCCGTGATGGACATATTCAAAGGGGGGGAATTTCCCATGTTGCCAGTTGCTCATAAGGTTGGTCACGGTGACAACTGCATGAGAGCTCATTGGGTATCTAGTACCTATAGCCCTGTCGATGCCACAGAAGCTTGCATGTGTTTTTCATACAGGCAAACCCCACAATGGCGTGTACCGGCCACTTAGGTACTCAAGTACAGGAACTTGGGTGCCAAGGTGCCTGTTCGGATTGGGGCACCAAGATTCGCAACTCGACGGGTTCAAAGGCATACAGAAGAATCGGCGCAACACCTCACGTGGCCGCTCGCGCGACCATCAGATTCCTACTGAGGTAGACAAGTAATTATCCCAACCGCATCCTCACCCATCCGGGCTCTCTTCCATTTCAACACACTATTGCTTCCACTCGTCCCTGCCCAGCTTCACAATGTCGGCCTGTTCGAGAACCCAAAACTTGGACGGCGCCTTTCCATCGTTTGCCGCTGCTGCGGCCGCAACCGCCGCCCTCCCGATGACGGTCTGATCTTGACCTGCAAAAGCGTCTCTGTCAGCACTGAGCCTTGTCGGGTCGCAGAGGCACTATTGACATACCGACACGGTCCTGCGCCCACTGTCCCAGCTTGTTCAGGTTGCCGACCAGACTCTCGAGTAGCGGCGCCTTGGGCTGTTCCCTGCCGAGGATCAGCCCGGGCCTGAGAATCACGGCGTATTCGAAACCAAGCTCCTTGATGGCGTCTTCCACGCCAATCTTCATCTTGGAGTAGGGCACGAAACTCGACGCGAAGCCCCTGGTGCCGCCGCTCGAGATGAACACAAACGTCTTCACGCCCGCCTCCTTTGCCGCTCTGGCAATCTCAATGCACAGGTCGTGGTCAATCTTCCACTGCTTGTCGATGCCGCCCGCCGCGGCTCTTGTGGTGCCGACGGCGTTGAAGACGACTGTCGGCTTGGGCGTCATGGAGGCAATCACGCCGCCCCATTTCGAGCTGTCGGTCTCTTCGAGGGCTTGGAGCTTGGGCGACTGCGCGCTCGGAGCCCGTCTCGAGATGGTCCTGACGGGTGTGAAGGTGTCTGTGGCCAGGAGAGTGGCGAGGATCTGAGAGCCCACGGCCCCGGTGGAGCCGAATACCGCCGCCGCCTTGGTTGTCATGATGGAATTCTTTCGGGTCTTGTGCTGGTGTTGCGTAGCCGGTGGTAGCTGACGGTCGAATGGTGACGGGGAAAGGTTGGAGGACCGGCATGGACTAGATGAAGTTTTGAAACGTCGATGGCGAGGGGCGTCCTCTGTTCTCTGTTCCAGCTCCCCCAGCTGCTCCGTCGACTTTTGCGATCCCCCGGCGCCGCTCTACCGCTCCGCTCCGCTCGCGCTCCACTTGACGAGTGAACGTTTACCACTGGGCCCAGGTTAGATGGTGGCGGTCGTTAGTTTCGCTTCCCCGTGGGGCGAAGTGAACCTACGTCGGGAGGTGTTGGACTCGTCGAGATTTGCTCATGCCGGGCATCTCATCACCATGCTTCTCGCATGGCCTTTTCTACCCATGGTTTCCTGTGGCCTGGCTACGCAGCAGCGTTTCAATGAGACGCATTTAGACAGGTCTGAGTGGGTATGAAGAACACAGCCAATTCTATTCATCGACGACGAAAAGAAAGCTAACAAGCCTTATCTATACAGTGGTAGTATTTTCTCTTTGACATAAAAAGAAAAGAAGTAAATACAAAGGAACCATGTCCCTTCGAAATCCCAAATACCAGCCAAGCAGAACAGGGCAAGTTGCCCCAAGACAATACTCGGTCCATCTACTGAGAGCACCGCTGGCTGCCCTTGTCGGGATCAGCGCGGTGGTAGAGAGCATTAGGGCAGCAGACCTTGCCGACAGGGCAGAAGAAGGAATCGCCGCACTTGGGGCCAAAGGTAGGAGTGGACGGCGATGCAGCGGTCGTGGTCGAAGGCTCGTCGCGCCGTTGCGGCTGCTGGATGGGAGGGCACTCGGCGAAGCAGCCGAGCTCAGCGACGCCGTTGACAATGACTTCGCAGCACTTGGCCCTGTCGGCTGGGCAGACTTGGTCGCTGCACTTTTCGGGGTATGCCTGAGGAAGGGCGCCGACGGCAACGCTGAGAGCAAAGGCGACGATGGCTGCGTTGAGAATCATGTTGAAAAGTGTGGTGGTGTAAGGGGGCGGTTGTCAAGGTTGCGTGTGTGGATATCAAGGCGCAAAGAGGTGAGTGAGAACCAAGGACGGTTCCTTGTATTGCCCAACTGGTCTTGACAAGAAGAAGGAGGAGGAGGAGGAGGAGGAGAGGAGGAGAATCTATAGTTGTTGCTGTTGTTGTTGATGATGATGATGATGAGCTGACTTTCATTTGTAGTTGGGAACCACCATATCCAAGTCATCAAGGCCAGCGCAACCACGATAGTTGCAGCTTTGCGGCATCACAACCCGGCGTCGGCCGTACATGGCCCGAGTCAAAAGGACCGAACATGGCACGCCTCGGCGAACACGGCATGGGCAAATCCGCCAGGGCAGCCCGGTCTAGCTACCATCGCAAGAAGCTACGTGCTACTCGGCACCGGGGAGCCTGGGACCATACGGATACAGGGCTGTTCCATCCCATCATTGCCGGCTCTCGATGGCTCCAATACCGACGGCACGAAAAATTGGCCCGTCAGCCTTGCGGTGAGATATATTGGCTACAGAGCGCTGCTTTGTGGCATCAAGGTCAGACAAACATCTCTAGGGCTGTGGCATGAAGCCATCGTGGGGTGGCGTTTCTACCAGCGAGTGAAATAAGGCGGCCTTCATGGTCCGGGGTTCGATTGCATGGACATTCTACGGCGGGCTGTCATTTGTACGAATGCTCCCACAAGTCTTGGGCTCGCCTTTGCCGTCACAGGGAGGGTGTCACGACACACCTGGCGCCGGCTCATGTTGGAGGACGACGACACTAGTATGTATTCCTTCGCTATTCTATGGAGATGCCCATAACTCAGGCTTGTCTACATTAACCTATAGACAGACGCTGTCTCTCTGCATGCGAGGCTGCCAAGGTGTGGAAGGCCGGCTATGGCGTCGCATACCAGACATATCATGACACCACACGACATTGAAGCCGTATTGCTGCTTTGATTCCGCGCATATTCCATCTCGAGGCAAAATTTTTCGATGCAGTTTGTCTCGTCACCCCTCTGAGGCCCTTTGTGCGTCTGTTGTAATTGGCCTCGACTGCGAGACGGATAGATTCATGCCCGCCTTTTCCGCATCTGGGCTGGACACGGCACGGGGAGAGCGAACGCCGCACGCCAGCGGCCTTTTGAGGCCATCTTTGGAAAGCCGGCCTGACCAGTGATGATCGTGTATGATGACCATGCACCTTGCGTAGTGGTGTCCTTTGCCCTGGTGGTGATGGTCTCCCGTCTGGTGCCCTGGGTTCAAGTTAAGCCCGGCGCGGGTATGACAGTATCGAGTGCACACCTTTGACTCTATTTTCCCTCTAGCCCTCTCGTCCCCTTTATCTGCATCGCTACCGCCGAGAGATGTGGTCTCTTTCTCATGGCCGGAGACCACTGAGAGGGCCGTCCGGCTGTGGGTTTGGCATCTGTCACTTCCAGGCACTCCGATAGCATGCCTGGCAGGCTGGAGACATCGCAAGAGAGTACCGGAGACATATCAGTGCCACATTTCCAATTTTGTCGAATCAGTACGTATCCCACGCTCGTTGCGCCGTCGGCAATGTCCACGGAAACCCGGCTCCAAGAGGGAGAAGCAAGAGGCACCGACTGTCACGCTCTCCAATAGCATCTCTAGCTGGCTGGTGACTACTACGAGGGAGTAGCAGGGAACACGTCAGCGTGACCGAGTTTGGATTCCATCTTGGTTCGTGGACAATTCAAGCTCAAAACTGGACCTGGTTGAAGGAGGGAAGAACAAAAGGCACCGTATGAGACCAAGATGAAACCGGTACTTGAAACTGCGTGGCCGATCCTTCATCTCTGACAACATGTCGATCGTCGGTCAACTTCTGCCATGTGTCGTACATCTCTGACTGTCGAGCCTGTTTCGCCTGCGCACTCTGATGAACAATTGACCGACGACGGAGCAGAACTGTGCATGTCCTGATGCCTCACAACTCACAACCCCACGGTCCTCTTTACGTCATCATGTTTCCGGGATCACAAACTTCTCGGAACGGAAGGCTGACTGTGGCTTTACCGGGAATTTTTGGGTACTAGCCGGCACGGAGTTCAATTGCCGGGCTCGCCAATTCTGGCCTACAAATCCCCGCCTGATGATTTAGATGAGGGCTCAGACCGTCACGTCACGTTCGGACCCTAGCAGGGAGGGCAATCCGGCCCCGAGCCTCGTGAGTAAACTTTGGAACCCACGTGTTTGCGGGTTCTTGCAGAGTGCTTGCTTGGAGGGAAGGGGGGGGGGGCAAAATGTCGCGTCTTCGATGTGGAACGCGTCCACACGTGTAGACAATTGTAGCCTGGGGCTTCGTATTGTGAGATGCATTCACGCTGTCGATGGCGATGGTGCTGGACAGGGCTCACAAAAGCGTCGAGCCCAGCCAAGCCAAGCCAAGCCAGCCAAAGGAGAACTGTTGTCCTAACCACACTTGGGGACGGCTTGCGAGGCACAGGCCCGCACGTTGGGCGGTTAGCGGTGCCTCACGGACATTGGAGTGAGAAATCGAACCATTAGGGTTGCATTTCAGCTGGATTGAGACCACAAGTCGTCTCGTTTCCTGAATTGTCATTGATGAAGCCCCTCGACTGGAGTTCCCGCATCACGCTTGCAGGCGGAGAGTGTGTCAGGAAATCAGACGATAAAGGCTGACAATTGTGTAGGGCTCGACTGAAGTCCCAAGGGAGCTTCAACCTGCCGTTTCAGGCTTTGCTGTCAGCCCGTCATGCCTCGACGGACAGATTCATCCAACGCGGCACCAGAGTCCGTCCACTTGGACGAAGAGCCTACTTCGCTAGCGGAAGTCGACCTCATCGTTAGCTCGAGGCGCGAGGCGCGAGGACACCAACCGCTGTTTGATGGCTCAATCACAAAATTTTGACTGACTGCTCATGTTGACGATGCACTGCCAGACGGTTCGGGTTTTCGCGTGTTGCCCTCGCCGTTGGGGAACCACCAAACGATACCATGACCGGAGCGAGTTTCGTCTTCCGAGTCGCCTCGTCCTCGGAGCAACGACCGCGGAAACGGATGGATCCGCACTGCTTCGTTTCTTGTGCTCTAGCCATCGGCTCAAAGGCGTGTGAAAGTGTATTATTAGTTCAGCGAGGTGTTTTGAGAGAACACGATCAAACACCGGGCGACACGATTGAAGTTTCCCCGGCTCTATGCGAACACGCGGAGGACGAACCGAGTCCTCGATGACAGTTGCAAGACATCAACTTCTCGACAACGTTTCCATGACATGTCCTTCGCACTGCTTTTGGCAGGCTTGGTACTAGTCCGCCCCCCGCATCAACGTGGGCGAGGGTTTTGTGCAACCAAGGCACCGTCTGGTTTACCCAAGTTGTGTATGAGTTTGGTACAATGTCTCAGATGCAATCTCGGCCAGCAAAAGGACAGCAAAGGTGCAAGTTTGTGGCGCTGGCGCGTCGCGCAAGTGTGCTGTCATCTCAAAGCCGCACGAGCATCCCGAAACAGCAGAAACATGTCCAGTATCCGATTTATTGCGTCGATCGTGTGCATGACAGGCCAAATATTTGTTACGCGAGTTTCAGTGTTCCTCCGTCGTACGCCCCCGTCCTCTCATCACCCGCATACACAACATAATATCACATTGCTGCCTTTCCTCTGCCTGCTGTACTCGGTACCGAGTAATCATTTGTCTGTTGGCTTTCCGTCCGAATCGGCCCCACGTACCCATCGACCCGAGGCCGGCAATAAATGACGGTTATTTGCGATTCATGCGTAGTCGCCTCACCTAGAGTGGCGTAGTATGAACAAAGTCTCTGTCTGGTCTCAAGGCGGCGGACGGGAGATCGACTGGCTCTTTGGGCCAGATCAAGGCCAACGCGGCAACGGCAGGGCGGGTAATTACTCCTGCCGTGCTCTGTATGTATTGCGTTCCCTTGCTTCGGCCAGAATCTCATCCATCGCCACCGTCAGTCAGGCTGTGCCCCGAGAGGACCACGGTTTAATGCCGGACTGCCTGCCCGACTAATTAGCCCCGGCTGGATGAACTGACTCTGCTCGGTCTCCACTAATCACAGACAATCCAACCTCTAGCGGGGGAACGGCGGAAGAGCCTCGAAACCGCAGATGCTGGCCGCTCGGACGATGGGCAGAGGCAGAACTGGACTCTCTCATGCCTGTGGTTTTCCTGCATGAGCCTGGTAACTTGTGCTGCTAAATGCCGGGTCATGGCAATGCAAGCGTCTAGACTCGAAGCATGAAGCCTGCCTCGGAGCGTCAGAACCAGGACAACGGATAGGAGTGGCAGCAGAAACGCACTTGGTGCCAAGTCAACCCTCGAGACTAGAACCCAATACTCCGTGCTCATCGCTCAACTGACAACACCATCTTTGCCTCGCGCAGCGTGACCTCTCACATCCTCTCATCGGACAGCATGTCCATCAATGATTGCGCGTCATCAACCTCCCCGTCCAACGCAACAGGACGGGCCTGGTCTCCGGAAAGAACGCACGCTCAAATTCTGGCGGATAGAAGCCTGCGTATTCCCAGTCGATGATAGCAGCAATCTTGAGAGTGCAAGGATTGACAATAACATTGTTTGCAGAAAGATCGTCATGGCAGAAGACAAGATCCTCCGTTTCCCGGGGCTTCATTTTCCAGGGCCTACCATCGGAGTGTCTCATGATGCGGTATGGAGGCAGAACCTGCGAACCCGTTGACTGTTTATCGTCAACCTGCCAGGGGAGCTCTCACCAAACTGTTAGGTCCGCCCCGGACAAGACATTAGATTTCAACTTGCTCAGGGTTTCCATATGAATGGGAGTTCCCCGGCAACGACTTCCTGCTGCTCTGCGTCAAGCTCGTTCATGCCAACTGCTTCAACGTACTCGGCAATGAGGTACGCGGCACTATCGTCTTCAAAACAAGCACAAAGCTTAGGCGACTGGATGTCCGTATTTTTGAGAGGAAAAGCAGGCAGGCGCACTCATTCAGAA